TCATCGGTTTTTCATGCGTGTTTATTCCTTCACATAGATGCCATTGTATTTCTTAAGTACAAGTTATGGATTAATTATAACTATTGATTGGTTAATGCTAGTGAATACGAAATAGTTTATTTCTGTACAATTATGGAGAGCAATAAAAGCTAGTAACTGTCTACTGCTTTATTCGGTGGAAATAAACAGCTTATGCGTCTTATCAAATATCAACAATCTATTAGATACATTTTACCTTTCGATCTGCATCTCCTATTACATTATGATAATATATGTGCTGGTAATGAAATTATGTAATTACTTGTAAGCACACGCTTTAATCGTAGCCGTAAAATGCAGAATTTAAAATAATATACCAAATATCCTAATCGTGGATTGGTCGAATAAGAAACAAAATTTCTATATCAAAGCTGGGATGACGACCTAAACTCTAATGCTGCCTATACAAAAATCAACATGAGGTTGATTGTAATATTTTTGTAGCTAGTCGTTGCTAAATACTATTTAAGACATGTATTAATTTTTGGTTTGTATTACATGATTGGAGAAAGAGGACGAGGACGATTATCTATCTTCTGATGCATTGTCTCCATACGACTGTATGAATAGCTGCTCTCCAGGATTGGCTACGGTATTTCTTCTTCAATGGCAATGATATAGGATTACTATAGAGCAAGGAGCCATTAAAATTCGATGAACGATGATAAGTTTTAATAGTATTAAGTTACTCATTTGATAAAAATAGCCAATTCTGATATTTTGGTATTTTGTGGACCTTATCAAATAGATGCAAAATATGATCTATGTGCACTCGGCATATATTATATTCAGTTAGTATTATCAATTATTAAGATATTAAGTATATAAGGCAAGCGTAGAATCTAATTCGATCAAATGCATGCAACTAAATCGTTTATCAAGTTTTGATGTACTTAGTTTATATATGAAGAAAGAATGTAATAATCGAATTATGATGATTTTTAGAAGCGCAAATTTTTATAAATGTCATATTATTTTAAAAATAAAAATTATCATCTTTACAGATACAATTGAATGGTTTTAAAAGATTGTACGAATATAATTAATTCAAGATTATATATTATAGATCGTATCTGTTTTGATGTACTGTACATTCGATTACTCGTAAATAGACAATATAAGATTTACATAAAAATTGAACAATAAATGTAGTGTACGAGTTGATAGCCCTAGGTTCGTAATCCGTCAACTCAAAATTCTGAGTTGTTAAAATCGAGCAAATCCCTCATGTGACACAAAATAGTCAACACCGTATAATTGCCTGGTAACAGTTAAGTTTATTAACGTACGGGTGTCGTCCGTCGGAGAAGAATTCTAATTTCTTCCCCTCGTAATAACAGTCGAAAATGGCTAAGATAAACCGGATAATCGACCTAGCCTCCACGATAACAATTCTATACAACCTATACAAATTCTGATCAATTGCTCCTCTACATAGGAGTCATCAATCACATTAGTACATTGCTTAATAACATTACTTAATATGGCTATCAGCTACGGCCTTATATAGCACATATTTTTCAAAGACATACTGTACAGTTCTACACTACATACTAAAACTGTATTACCTACACAAAACTACTGTAGTTAGCTGAAATCACTATAGCAAAGTACTTTAGCAATAGTCTATCAATACGTCAAATGTGAATTTAGTCCAAGCTTAGAATAAAATAAGCAGGTATTTAATTCACTGGTCTAAGTCGAATAAACTAAATTCATACTTCGACACATGTTTGTAAGGTAGATCGACAATAAAAAATGTAGAGCGCAGGAGATTAATCCAATTACTGTAGAAAAGTGAGAAAAGACGAACAACGAATACGATAAAGTAAATTAGGAAAATAATTATTCTTAGTAGTTATTAATGTGAGTTGTAAGATACATAGTAGAATACAATTAGTGCTGAAACACTAGATGATACAAAGATAATGATTATACAAACTTGTATCTGTGTTTTAAGAAGTATACCTATTACAATTTGCGTAAATTTTTGATGTAAGGAATACAACGTTCAACAATTGTCAACCATTTTATCATTTTACTGCCTATACCTGGTGCATGGCGTATTGCACAATGTCTAACTTCATCCAGTGTGTTCTCTGGTAGGAGGGAATAGAATATTAGCCATCGTCTACAAAATTAAATTTACTTTCGACAATGATCATTTGACTGTAGATTACGATATGATTTTGACAGAAGGTGAATAATTTATCTTTCTCATTTGAGATATTATGAATTAAGTAAGAAATATTTACCCGTATACTGGTATACATGTCTAGTATCAGTTTTAACTATGCAATATTGCAGTAAATTAGTAATAGAAATATAGAAAATGTTGTTGCAAAGCGACATAATTAATAACAGAAAATGTCTAGTATCCGTTATTATTTCTGCATTGCAATATTTCTATATACTAAACTTGTTATAGACTGTAATTTACATTTACAGGAATCATTTGTAAATTATTAGTGGTATCCTACATTACAATCAATTCACATTATTTTAATTTCGCTGATAACAATTGTATGTTACTAATACTTGTGAACATTATAGTAATTGCAGGTAAAGATAATTGTATTAGATATAGTCTAAATATTAGCAGTATTGTGTACGGTGCAGTAGTGAATAACTGTGTGTACTCAGTTATACATTTTAATCATAGCATCTACGATATATTTATTTTCAGTAACGGATAAATGTATGTTAAAATAAAAAGTTTCTATAATTGGCTAAAATACGAGTATGTTACTAATTATAATCTTTATCCTTATAAAAGAATTTGGAAAGTAGTTGGTAACTGCAATTAGTGATAATGGCTGCAGATATCAAGATAAGTATATAGCCAGGTAAGTTTAGATGATATACTAGTTCTTTCTTGTAATCGAATGATGTAAAAATCAAGATCCTAAGCTATACTTTTTACAAAACTTTAATTCTACTTGGTGCATCCCGGTCGACTTAATGTAGCTTTGACAACAAATAAAATAGAGAAACAATCGCACAACAATTCAAAATTTACAAAGAAATAGTCTATCAATCTTTCAAATAGCTTGTTGCTACGGCTTACAGAAAAAAGTTAACAATTTCACATGCAATCAATTGACCTACAAAGTTATTTATCTTTAACTATTTCTTCAAATATGATTCTTCTGTACTCAAAAATTTTATGATTGCAACGTCATTTACAGGCTTCGTAAACTAAATCTCCTTATGCAAATTTGATATCGCACCAAAAATTTTCAAGTTTCCAAATTTACAGCAAAAATTCAGTTTCACAAAATTCTTACTTACTAAAATTCCCAATCAGAAAATTCAATACTTTTTATTCATCATGCAATGGTTCAAGCCGCTACCTTGCATGCGTATATAAAATCATATATTCATAGCGTAGTTATGAAATCTGTTGCTATTAATAGAGGAAAATATACGAGGCTATATTCTCTTGCTACATCTTATCATTTCTGCTCGTAACTGAAGATATAGTAATAAACCACTCAGCCGACTATCAGACATTGCATCACATGTAATAAAATCTACAAGTAAAAACAAATTATAATCTATGATCATCATGGTTTACACTTATGCAGCACGCGGTAATAAGTATACTAGTTTTGATAAATAATTGAATTAGTTTATAGTAAAATCATTGTCCTAACATGTAATTAATTAATGTAGAAATTGTAATGAAATTCATAATGGTACATGGCTACAAACTACTTGTAAGTACAGTACACGGTATAAAGTTACTGAACCTCTGACAGGTCTATCAAATGGTAATACTATCTGTTAAATGAGCACATTATCGTAAACCGTCAGCAAAGCGACGGGAGTTTGTACTAGTATTATTCAAATCACGCTTGTATTATTGTAACGAAACTTAGTATTGTGATTGTAGACTTTTAGCCATGTTAGTAAGATGCACGGAAGCGTAACTTTCTATATTTATCTTAAGACGTAATTGGTAACTCGCTACTACAGACTGTCACGGTAGATTCTATGCTATAGTACAGATGACTATATATAGCGAGGTGTTGAGTTACTATTATGGCTAGAGGTAAAAATAGAACTGTAATTCATATATTAGGATATGCTTAGTTTACCGTACTTTGACTGCTAAGAATAATATCTACAGAAATACTGTTGTTGTTTCCATATCGGGTTAATATGGGTCCGCTGTAAAATGTTGCCACTAATAATAATTAGACTATGCGTAAATTAAGGTGGAATGTTGCTATGCTGATTGTGGCTGTGACTGTTATGACATGAATATTAGCTGGTAACTTTAGACTATTCAGTTCGTTCTTTCTGGAAGTCCTTCAATAGTCGTTTACGGCTAGAGTAGAGTTGTGTCTAGCTAGTCTTTGTATTAGACCTAATAAAGTTCTAATTTTCTACAACTTTATAATTGCCGTGATTGGATTTTATCACAATTATGTACATTTCTCGCAGATTGATTTAATGTACGTACTGATCGTGCATTTCTACGTTGTTCACTTCGCTTTCGCCTATTAGATAGCTAACTAACTGACATTATCCTCTTAGAAGCTTTTTTTGTTGTATGAAATATAGCAATCAAAAATAACCGGGACAGGGGAACTACAGTAGGATAACACTATGAATTGCATGAGAGCAATAGAACTAATAGTACCTACTGATGTGTATCAATCACGAATACCTTCTCCATAATATTTACATAAACCCTATAGATCACTCATTTCTATACCAATTCAAATTTCGTTAAGTAACTTTCGTATTAATATGTTTACCGAATAAGGATGGTTACTATATACAGTATTAATGGTATGTTAAGGTTGGTAAGCGAAACTGTCAAATATACGTTTATACTCAATTCGTTAATAAATTAACAGATAGTATTATCATTCGATATTATATATGTCCCAGTAATAGTAATGTACTATGCTATATTAAGATTAGTTAATGGTCCAAAGCACATTATGATAACTAATGTACGGTGATGGACATACCAAGTTAAGATTAGCAGGTACGGTAAGATATCGATAGTGCGGTTCAATGTCCTTAGTACTGGGGTCAATTCTATACCAATCATTATAATGTACCTTTAAGGATCGCTTGCGTATGCAAGCAAAGCTTGCTATGTCGATAACAACCGTTATAAGAAAATGTAACAGTCAAAATGGCTATGTAGAAAACTCTATAACGATTCTATGTTTATTCAATTTTCATCAGAGTATTACATCAAATCAAAGTTGAAAGGCCCAGTGGCCACCCTTAGCGATATAACGAATACTATTTTAAAAATCAGTACTCTGCAGGAATGACTACCTTAGAGCTATTCGTTTTACATGAAGAAATGTTGAGGTAAAAAGTACTGTAAAAAGAACCTTATACTGACCCATTGAAATGAGCCTATAATCACAGTCATCTAACAGTAGTATAAATACCCCCCGCGCTGCTCGTTTCAAGGGAGGGTGGGTACTCACTCTAGTGGGTAGGATTAAAAGCTTTAGTAGAATGGTGGCGATAATGACGCCTGCGCATTTGCCACATTGGATCGCTGATATTATAATGATGTAGGGAATAACTAATGAGCATTAACCAATTGGGGTGTATATGATCACATCAATTTAACAGTATCCTTAACAGAAGTAGACTTTGAAATATCGATTGAACGTTGAAGATAGCTATTCTGTAGGTTTCTGTAGATCTATCACAATGGCCATTCGTATAGTTATCTAAATTTAGCGAATACATCGAGAAGAGCATAAAGTACAAATCTATTTTCTTCTATCCTATCTGTTGGTTCTTATTCAAAACTGAAAATATGGATAATCTGTCTATGACTATTCGCAATAAAATAGAATCTCTACACAGAAAGGGTCGGAAGTATCAAAATCGTCAACGTTACAAGCGGGCGATTTATTGTTATAGAAAAGTTATTATTCAAATAAAATCGATACTCAAAGGTAACAATAATGCTCATCAACTTGAATATAATGTTCGCCTTGATTTGGCTGATTGTTATAGAGAAAAATATCAATGGATAAAAGCCCGTGAATGGGTTAGTAAAGCAAAGAAATTAGCTAAACAACTACAAGACGAAGTGAAGATTGCAATGTGCTTGGACAGGCGAGGTGAGATTAAACGACTTGAGGGTAACTGGAGTAGCGCCTTGGCAAATTTTAAATATTCTCTTGATTTGAAATTGAAATCGTTAGGAAGTGAAAATATCGATGTTAGTGACTCCTATAATAACATTGGCGCTGTATACACTAATCAAGGCAAGTATGGTAAGGCTTTGGCCATGTATAATAAATCAGTGGAGATTAACTCGAAAATTAAAGGCGAGAATGATGCAGGCGTTGCTACATTATATAACAACATTGGTAGTGTCTATGATAATCAAGGCAAATATGACGACGCTCTATCGATGTATAACGAATCGCTCAAGATTAGAGTAGTAAGACTTGGTGACAATCATCTTCATGTTACCGACTCCTATAACAACATTGCGCTTGTCTATGATCATCAAGGCAAGTACGATGACGCTCTATCAATGTACAACAAATCGCTCAAGATTAGACTAAAAACACTTGGCGATAACCATCCAAGTGTTGCCGAGTCATATAACAACATTGCACTTGTCTATAAGAATCAAGGCAAGTATGACGACGCTCTATCAATGTATAACAAATCACTCAAGATTAGACTAGAAATACTTGGTGAAAATCATCCGAGTCTTGCTACGTCATATAACAACATTGGTGGTGTTTATGATAGTCAAGGCAAGTATGACGACGCTTTATCGATGTATAACAAATCACTCGACATTAGACTAGTAACTTATGGTAACAATCATCCGAGTGTTGCCGACTCATATAATAATATTGCAACTGTCTATTGGAATCAAGGCAAGTATAATGACGCTCTAACAACGTATAACGAATCATTCAAGATAAGACTAGCGACACTTGGTGACAATCATTCGAGTGTTGCCGACTCGTATAACAACATTGGTGGTGTCTATTGGAATCAAGGCAAGCATGACGACGCTCTACCAATGTTTAACAAATCACTCGAGATTAGACTAAAAACACTTGGCGATAATCATCCGAGCGTTGCCGACTCATATAACAACATTGCAAGTGTCTATCATCATCAAGGCAAGTATGATGAGGCTCTATCAATGTATAACAAATCACTCAAGATTAGACTAGAAACTCATGGCGACAATCATCCGAGCCTTGCGGAATCATATAACAACATTGGAGGTGTCTATTATAATCAAGGTACGTATGATAGCGCTCTATCAATGTATAGCAAATCACTCAACATTACACTGGAAACAACTGGTGACAATCATCTGAGTGTTGCTAACTCATATAACAACATTGGGCTTGTCTATGATACTCAAGGCAAGCATGATAGCGCTCTATCAATGTATAACAAATCACTCAACATTACACTAGAAACTTTTGGCGACAACCATCCGAGTGTTGCTACGTCATATAACAACATTGGAAGTGTCTATAAGAATCAAGGCAAGTATGACGACGCTCTAACAATGTATAACAAATCGCTCAAGATTAGACAAGAAACACTTGGCGACAATCATCCGAGTGTTGCCAAGTCTTATAACAACATTGCGCTTGTCTATAAGAATCAAGGCAAGTACGATGACGCTCTATCAATGTATAACAAATCACTCAAGATTAGACAAGAAACACTTGGCGATAATCATCCGAGTGTAGCCGAGTCATATAAAGACATCGCGCTTGTCTATGAGAATCAAGGCAAGTATGACAACGCTCTATCAATGTATAGCAAGTCGCTAAAGATTACACTAGAAATACTTGGCGATAATCATCCGAGTGTTGCCGATTCATATAGCAAAATTGCAACTGTTTATGATCATCAAGGTAAGTATGACGACGCTCTATCGATGTATAACGAATCGCTCAAGATTAGAGTAGTAAGACTTGGTGACAATCATCTTCATGTTACCGACTCCTATAACAACATTGCGCTTGTCTATGATCATCAAGGCAAGTACGATGACGCTCTATCAATGTACAACAAATCGCTCGAGATTAGACTAAAAACACTTGGCGATAACCATCCAAGTGTTGCCGAGTCATATAACAACATTGCACTTGTCTATAAGAATCAAGGCAAGTATGACGACGCTCTATCAATGTATAACAAATCACTCAAGATTAGACTAGAAATACTTGGTGAAAATCATCCGAGTCTTGCTACGTCATATAACAACATTGGTGGTGTTTATGATAGTCAAGGCAAGTATGACGACGCTTTATCGATGTATAACAAATCACTCGACATTAGACTAGTAACTTATGGTAACAATCATCCGAGTGTTGCCGACTCATATAATAATATTGCAACTGTCTATTGGAATCAAGGCAAGTATAATGACGCTCTAACAACGTATAACGAATCATTCAAGATAAGACTAGCGACACTTGGTGACAATCATTCGAGTGTTGCCGACTCGTATAACAACATTGGTGGTGTCTATTGGAATCAAGGCAAGCATGACGACGCTCTACCAATGTTTAACAAATCACTCGAGATTAGACTAAAAACACTTGGCGATAATCATCCGAGCGTTGCCGACTCATATAACAACATTGCAAGTGTCTATCATCATCAAGGCAAGTATGATGAGGCTCTATCAATGTATAACAAATCACTCAAGATTAGACTAGAAACTCATGGCGACAATCATCCGAGCCTTGCGGAATCATATAACAACATTGGAGGTGTCTATTATAATCAAGGTACGTATGATAGCGCTCTATCAATGTATAGCAAATCACTCAACATTACACTGGAAACAACTGGTGACAATCATCTGAGTGTTGCTAACTCATATAACAACATTGGGCTTGTCTATGATACTCAAGGCAAGCATGATAGCGCTCTATCAATGTATAACAAATCACTCAACATTACACTAGAAACTTTTGGCGACAACCATCCGAGTGTTGCTACGTCATATAACAACATAGGAAGTGTCTATAAGAATCAAGGCAAGTATGATGACGCTCTATCGATGTATAACAAATCACTCAAGATTAGACAAGAAACACTTGGCGACAATCATCCGAAAGTTGCCAAGTCTTATAACAACATTGCGCTTGTCTATAAGAATCAAGGCAAGTACGATGACGCTCTATCAATGTATAACAAATCACTCAAGATTAGACAAGAAACACTTGGCGATAATCATCCGAGTGTAGCTGAGTCATACAAAGACATCGCGCTTGTCTATAACAATCAAGGCAAGTATGACGACGCTCTATCAATGTATAACAAATCACTCAAGATTAGACAAGAAACACTAGGTGAAAATCATCCAAATCTTGCCAACTCTTATAACAGCATTGCGCTCGTCTATGATCATCAAGGCAAGTATGACGACGCTCTATCGATGTATAACAAATCACTCGACATTAGACTAGTAACTTATGGTAACAATCATTCGAGCGTTGCCGACTCATATAATAATATTGCAACTGTCTATTGGAATCAAGGCAAGTATAATGACGCTCTAACATCGTATAACGAATCATTCAAGATAAGACTAGCGACACTTGGTGACAATCATCCGAGTGTTGCCGACTCGTATAACAACATTGGTGGTGTCTATTGGAATCAAGGCAAGCATGACGACGCTCTACCAATGTTTAACAAATCACTCGAGATTAGACTAAAAACACTTGGCGATAATCATCCGAGCGTTGCCGACTCATATAACAACATTGCAAGTGTCTATCATCATCAAGGCAAGTATGATGAGGCTCTATCAATGTATAACAAATCACTCAAGATTAGACTAGAAACTCATGGCGACAATCATCCGAGCCTTGCGGAATCATATAACAACATTGGACTTGTTTATGATAATCAAGGCAAGCATGATGACGCTCTATCAATGTATAACAAATCACTCAAGTGTAATGAAGGTTAATTTTTAGAATTTTCCTTCAAATTCTTGTATTGTAATTATTCTAGCTTTAAAAATATGACTTATTTGGTTGATTATAATGGTAGATTTTACTTAGTATCTTAGTAAATTGTAAACCCGACTGCTTTATTCGGGTTAGAAGTTGCGATAATCCGTAGCATAATTTTTAAGAATCAGATATTATGATTTTTTAATTCAAGCGATGTATTTAGTTAATAGAATATATGTGTGCTAATTTTGATCATTAATTATAGTAGAAGTTAATGTTACTTTGTAATTTCATACAGTATGAAGCCAAAACATTTGATCTGGGATTATTGTTTTTTTCTTAGTGTATGCTGTAGAAATGTACAGTTTTAAGCTAAACCATACTTAGTATTAATTTAGTAATTTTCGGTAGTCTAGGGTATAATTTATCTTATCATGTGTGTTTGATTGCTAGTTTAATTTTGAGTTCTTAAGAATCATAGCTGGATAGTCTAATACCACCACTGCTCTTCGTAGCATATAAATGGTGGCGTAGTTCGGTAATTGAGAGCGGTTGAAGTTAGAGAAGACAAAAATAGTCTAGGATAGTCGTGAGTTATCTCATTAATTGATAGTTTAGTTGGTTGAGGCAGTAGTTCTACCCGTATTTTATTACTCATTTAAGAAGTTTTGCTAAATTACGGGTAATGTAAGAAATCGTACACCAGGTCAATGAGGAATCTGCCCTAATTGGCAACGTGTTTCCGAATTTTCACCTGAGGTTCCAGGACTTATCAAGGCTCAGTGTGAGAGCAATTTTGGCCGACAAAAACGTCACAGTCAACAGCTTTGATACTAGAAATGTGGTATTCCAAGAGGCATTGCAATGAACTACAATTTGCTCTTACTTTACTGATTATAAAGCTACACACTTTAATTATTATCATTATTATCCGTACGACATCAATTTTTTTTAAAGTAAGTTATGATATCATGTCTACTATTGTCATTATTATCCGCGCGACAAGAAATCTTTTAAAAAAAAGTTGTAATTTATTTGCAAGATGTAGGAGATATGTATATATTTTACATATATCATTATTACCTATGCAATAAGAATAAAGTTTTAAAGATAAGTTATAATTTATGTGTTTTCAAAGCTTGGAATTTAAGTATTGCAACACACCTTTTTTGAAGTAAATTGTAATTTATTTTCAAGACAAGATATGTACATGTATTATTTCGCATATATTTATATGCAATATAAAATTCGATAAAACGATACCTGATTGTAGGTGAAACTGCACATACTATTTCATAGAAATTACACGGCTAATAAAATGGTATGGATGATATAACTAGATCATAAAGTGCAGATTTTGGTGCGTATCTAGGCGAATGCCAGAAATATCATGTTTCAGCGCTTGACGTTGCTCAAATTTATAGTACTTTAATATGCTAAATTACATGTACAAATTTCTTTGTTCAGTCAATAAACTTTGAATGTTTTGTGCGCAAAAGTAAAGTACACCACGAAGCTTCTTTAAAATTTCAGCTATAATACTCAGCTGTATAGATTGTGCATGTAAATGCTATTTATATATTTTAGTGCCAAGTACCGTAGTAGATTCACATATTTTAGGCTGAAAGGCTAGGATTACACTGGCTAGTAATAAAATAAGAAAATGAAATGTGGAACTATTATTGCTTCGTATATAAGATTGAATATTTATACTAAATATCCTTAAACTCTAAGATATAATAAAGAAAAGAAGGAAACTTAAGCTAATTCCGAACGATATTTACAAACATGTTTATTAAAGTGATGCCGCAGCAGAAAGATAAAAGAAAAGCAGAATATCGCCAAACTCAAACTAGAGAAGTTAGAAGTAGTTGTAAGCTGTTATAATACATAGTAACCCTATATTCCCTGTTATATGTATAACTTTAATAAAGCTATTTTAACTACTTTAGCTGTTGGCATATCCGTTCTTGTGTACCTGAGAGAAGTGGATAGAAGAGAACACTATTACAGCTCGTTAACATAGTACACTAGATAAAGAAAGAATTCAAGTAGCACTTAATTGCCCGCTACCCACTTTACACCCATACTTGTTTACTCTTGGGCTCAACTATAGAGAAAATATCTCATTATAAATTTGCTTGAATTTGCAAACACTCCGTGTGCATCTCTTTTTTGATACCCGTACAGGGACTGTACATAGCATGAGTCGAATAGATTCAATAGGACATCAGTTGACCACAACTTATATATTAAACAATATATATAAGAACAAATGGATCGATAAATTAATGGATTCTTTAATATAATCACTAGGCTATTTTTGTTGAATAGGATAATCCACGTAAATCAGCACAGCCTAGCGGTGGCTAATTACAATGAGAACTCCTTTCAGTGCTATCGCTTATGCTTAGACTGCTACATATATACCTCGATAATTAAAAGTACGAGCGCAACAATTAATATGTGGTAGTAAATCTTCCAGAATAGTCAATAATCTTCTTGTAATCATAGCATGTCAAAAAAAGCTAGCGGAAAGTCTTTCCATTGTCTCAAAGGATGATAATTTTCAAACGAAAGTATGAATTCATACGATGTGATGTCTGATCATCATATTTATCCGTAGTATTTTTAGACGAAATTTTTCGCCTCGAAAGGGGAATACCTAAGAGTTAACAATTCGAATCCACTTTCCTTGGTGACAGCGGTAACGACGCGGTATACCGTTAGGAAATAATGTATCGCTCCTAGGAGAACTCAGCATAAATAGTAAGATTTCCTTGGCTTTATCAACAAAGTAGCTTGGTTCAACTTTTGGAGAAGTTGACATATTCTGAAAAGTCAATATGCCGTTAGAAAAGCGTCATATGGTTACAAATGCTAATTAATCGACGAAGAATTCAGTCTATATCATTTACCTTTAAAAATTCTTGATCCGACATTCTCAAGTAATAAATATACATTTCCTTTCGATATTGTCTATAGGCGAACGGTTTAATATGAACTTCACATGTTGCAGTATCATATAGGTTAGTCATCTATCGAGAGATACCAACGATATCAGTACAATACAAGATATTGTAAACAATTGTAGAAATATATGTCTATTTAAAATTACTTTGTTGCAATATCCCCAAGAAAGTCGGCTGTGGCGAATAATCTCGTCTGGACCTTTGTCGCTAAATGAAGCCCAGCTTATTACACCGCTTTGTATATCAATACCTATCAACGTCATCCATAATACGGAAGAAAAAATTACAGAGCCTATGAGTTGACATACTTTCTTCTTTATTATCAAATAGTATAACATTTTTATAAGCATTTCATAAGCTAGATAAGTACGCCCATGAGGTAAAAAATCACCATACCAGCACCATAAATTATAGGCATATGTTCACCATCATCTCGAACGGTATCATTAATTTCTACGTAGAAAAAGTTACATTTTATGTTGATCATTATAACGGGAAATAATCATGCCGTATATCGACGCGAAAATAATTACATATTTAATACGATTTGCTGTAACCGAACATTTAGCAGACCAATATGTAAAGAATAACATTTATACCTCCAAAGCAGGGAGTAACAAGGTGTAGATCAAATGCAGATGATGCTAAAGCACCTAGTTGTAGATGGGAATAAAAATGATTTCAGAAATGAAAGCCAGTGATTTGACCGTGAATGAATATTTCCATTTTTGTTTTCTAGACAAGTCAACGTCAATTTTCACATTTTTAAACATACGCACCAATAATTTCCAAAGATAACTGTAGAGATAGACCCTTACTATCTTTAAATCCACCAATAATATGAATTTCAAGTCTGCATAAATTCGAAAGGAATGATATTAAACTACATTGTAGCGAAGAAAAGCAGGTAGTAGCCAACATGATGGAAGCTCTAATTATTTATTGTTTTATAAACTTTATGTAGTAGATAAATCAACCTAGCTGTAGCCTTTATTGCAAGATAGTTAATGGATGATTACAAAATACGATACCGTCCGGAGATGTTCGATTTGTCAGCATATACTTGAATTGTAGCGATCATTCTGTTAAGACTATCCCCAACATTTGTACCATCAAAGTGCCCTAGGGCCGTTGTACCACATCCTAAAATTAGACAAGATTGATGGCCATAATCCGATCAATTCTATACTCATATTTTACTGTTCATTCTCTTTTCTCTAAAATAGTATATATTTACTGGAACACTACGCAGTATGTAAGATCAAATAAAGCTATTAAGATGATTACTATTGGGTATTGACTATCATCAAACAATCGCTGTTTATTATACAATTCAAGTAAGGGCAATGATGTACATACAATACGTCATCGTCAAACATTGGATATGAATAAATATATCTTTGCACAGATATTTTTAGGTAAATATTACCTGTATGTCTGATGATGACTATATGACAAGTAGTTGCATCTTCTGAACCCATAATTTGGACATTATCTAATGTTAACAGTAAGTATAAAACAAGATTCAGTTCATTTATTCTTCTTAATCGTGCAGATACAGTATATTTCTCGTATAAACTACGCAAACTCTATTCTAATCAAGTTATCAGATGCATCATCCATCAATATTATCAAAAAGTCTATCGGAATAATTGGACTTTATAAACTACTTCCGATGAGATGATATCACCAGTCTTTCTAATATCCATTGGAGTGTAAAATGGTCATGTCCTAGCCTAGCATACTCACCATCCGAGAATTGGACTACTGCATATTCCCTTTGAGCAACGTATAACACCTTGCCGGAATGGAAATTTCTCTTTCCACTATCAATTAAATACTGTGATGATTTCTATCCAAAAGATAACATTACAGCATGTTCAGACGCAGTACTTACAATTGATCAAGCTAACAAGCTACAATGCCTATTGAGCTAATCCTAAGGGAAGATTAGAAATATACATCATACTCGCATCTAGAGTATACTAGACTATCTAAAAAGACTGAACACAACATGCCAGCGTTGCATAACCATGGACTACTGGAAGAAGGCTTCTAGTAGTCCATGACATAATCTCTAGTGTTGCTCCTTGGGATAGGATTGCAATGTTTACGTAGGCTTATACAGGTAAATATCCCTGTAATGAAGACGACGACATACAGCATCAAAATAAGCAAACCTTAAATTCTTCTTTGAAACCGTTGAGAGTGTTCGCATCAGGAGTGATTTCTATAGGTCTTGATTGGAAGAAGAGAGGCATCTTTACTTCTCATAGCGAAAGCTGCACCCTATTTCCTACATGATCCTCTGCAATCCTACCCTGCGATATTATGACGACTGGCTTGTAAATAAGTTAAAATACTGTCTTCTACAGTGCACAAAATGGAATAATGGCTTAGAATTAAGCTCCAGTATAGACATGTAAACGATTATTCGCGTTGTAATACTAAAAATGGCCTCCAATTTCCGGTTCCGTCTTGACCCACCCCGCAATGATTGAAAAGGAAATGGAAAAGTTCTTGTACTCAGTTGATAAATATTTTGTATGCCATTACAGCTACCGTTGAAGACAGTACCGTACCGTAGACTACACGAAGAAAACCACGATGGGAACAGCTCTTGGACAGACGGACAACGCAGGCTGTTGATCGTCTAAAAAATGTTCCAAACACTTGCATTCGTTATTACTTTAATATGCGGTTGCTTGATTCTGTAAGTATAATTAACTTTCTTTTTCTCCATTGCAGCCATGGTATATGGAAAGCAGTTGGTTCAAGCTCATCAATTGCTTTTAAATTAATAGCAGTGGATAAGAAAATAGACTCAGAAGGTCCATAGTAAGCAATAACTGTATCTTTCGACGTTTTAACCTCAACTTTTAAGAAAAATCCGTCCTAATTACTACACTATACTACTTTATGAGCTGTTTGCATAGCAGTCAAAGCTCCAAAACTACAACAGTCACTATGCAAAAGTTGGGCACTTTTACGAAGCTAGAGTGCTTCCATCAATTCTTCAGCGTGTCACGATCAACTTGCACAAGAAGTCAGGATCAATTAATTGATTATTGACGAAATGAAAATTAAAATCTGAATGTACGTTCACACTTTGCGTAGCTATTCTAACCAATCTGTGATTTACAGCATTGGTCATTCAAAATGATTACACTTGAGTTTGGTCAGCCTGGATTTGGCAGCATACTCTTGCATCGAGCTGCAATTTTAATATAGTGCAACACTAGATGAGTTCACATTTCGCTTGGAACTATCCTTGAATCGTGCACGCATGACATCCGATGGATGGAAGACTAGCAGGATCCAGATTATGGGTAGTCATTCAAAGCTTCAATACGAAAAGTCGGACAAGCAGATTCTCTAGTTAAGGACTACAGTACTCAAGAATGGCAATGGTTTTTATACCTTCGGCGGAAGCGGCTAAACGCGTGCTCAACTTGTACTAGACCTCAGGGCAACATCAGAAAGTCCAAATTAGTCTACTATGTATTTTGCAGGTTGGATAAGTAGATAATTAATTGCATGTATTGGATGATATTGCGCTTTTCGTGTCTGATGTTTGCCATAGTAAATACGAATACTCGTACAGTACTGCGTCTCGATGGCAAGTGACTTTGCAACACAAATCAGAAATCCTAATGCTATCCCAATAAGATCGTATAATCGTATAATAAGATAGGCTTGCATTTGCGTGTATTTATTCCTGATACCCTACAGATTACAAGATGCAATTTACTAATAGTTCACAAAAATCTCTACGACTACTGTTAAGTTCATGTATCACGTTGTTTCTAGATGAGTTTCGTACTGAAATTACTCGTCGGTAACGTCTATTTATTATTATAACTCAGTCAATGGCTTCAGATTTTAAATTGACAATCTTATCCTGTTTTTTTACTACAACTACGAGTAGAGATGTTACCAGTTAAAGTAACTAAATTGGAGTTCTGTGATTATGCAGTATCGTAAACAGTCAACATTTTTTGCTTTTGCTAGCAAGACACTTTGACAATATACGAGGATTTTTATCATTTACTAAGAGCGATTACAATGGTCATTTATGGAAGAGATGGCAACTTTGGATATGTTTTGGTATCAATATCGGACTAAACAGTATTAAACTTTGATATCAGCTGTACTATATTGTGAATAATTGAAGGTTACAAGATTGTATTCTGGCAAGCTTTCAAAGGTAAAATTTATTTATTGTACGCAGTAGATGACATCGATGTAGTGGATATGTTGCTCTATGTGATCGTAATAGCAACGTTGTAGAGTACTGTGTCATAGTTGTATAATTAATTCATTATGGTATACGATTATTATATGATGATTAACTGCCTGAACAACGTAATACAACAGCTTAATTTTTCGTTCGAATATTTTAGATGTAGAGTACACTAGTAATATTGAGGCTGTCAAGACATCGACTAATATAAAAGATATCTTAATGTAACGTACCTAAGAATTATAATTTAGCAACGCAACTATCAGGTGCATGCATTACATAGATATGAATGCAATGCGTATAAGTTGCGGACATTTATATATCTTTCATAAATATTATCGACATGTATCAATGCGTAACAGTATAGGATTGAATAAATTTTAAACTTACGACGTGTTAACAATCTATGAACAGAGATATTATGTAGCTATTTGCTAGTCAGGATATTCAATTACTTCAACCAAACTGGTAACTATAGTTGAATCGAATCTTGTTCAGGTAATTATTTAAAGCTATGATAATGTAATACTCGTATATTCCGTAATTGACTGATTTTCCATTCTATTTTACTCAATCATTTCACTTTTACTTTTTATCTTTCTATATAGGCATTCACAGCAATTCCAAGCCTAACTCAATAAGTGGCATTGTTATGATTACGCTGGACTAAGGCAATTATGATGTTTCGATGCCTCTGTACTGCGATACATCTGTATCTGTCGAAAGTATTATTACTAGTGCAATGAATGCATAGCCAACAAAACGTATACGTTGAAAAGGTTTTGCATTTCTATTTGTTAGACCAACTGTATGGATTAGTTTTATGCATTTAGGATAGTTATTAAAGTATTATACGTTGATTACTATTCTTACGCAGTAAATAACTACTTGTAAAACTTTTGTCAAAATTGTAAGGCAAAAGGGTCCTATTTGCTATAAGGATAGTTGACAAGGTTATCAGTTATTTATTGTTGTGGTCACTATTCTAGTTTATTGGCTTGAATGAGATTAGCAACTCAATTAGGTAGATACGTAGATTTAAAAGATACGCTTCCAGCGCAGAAAATCATAGTTTCAATTTGACAATCTTAAAAATATGTATCACATATAACTAGTATAAACTTTTATACAACCGTGATGTTATCGTCAAATATAGTAATGTATTAGCTAAGTTATCTGGTCTATGGCATCTCGATAACATAAATAAACAGCTTATCACCTATTTTAAATGAAGCATATCATCTTAAAAAGCTAGTCATACATTGATAGAAGATGAATTTTAAGATCTTAAAATTGCCATCTTTTACATGTTTCAGTGACTACAAGAAGTTGAATCTATTTACAGCCACGTTACCGTTTATAAAGTACCAATCATTGTGCATCATAGAGCATAGCTATCTGTGGAAGATCTGTAATTTTATTATGATAAAATAGAAATATCTTCCTAGACGGCAATAAAATTCAACTTGTTGGTAAATGACTTTGATCAAAATCCTTAGATTCAAAGAATGTATAAGATAAAGTAATGGTATCTATTCTAGCTAAAGCTGGATCATTCATAATTTCTGGATCAATATAAAAAAACACTGGCATATCCACCTATGAATTGAAAATATGAAATTGTTATTGAAATCGTAATGCATAGCGGTACAAACGCTTTCATAGCGTAGCAATAACGAAATGTCAGCATAAAGCATACAATTTACCTCTTCGTGTGGATTTAGCCTTTGTTCTTCAAAGCAGAAGCACTAATTTATGATGTAGCATCGTTATCGTTAGGAAATGATTGCATACTACTATTCAAGTTGAATCGATATGGCATTCATTATAAAATTATAAAAGTCGTTACCTGAACTTTATTGAAGTAGAGGCCAGCTTCAAAAGGGATAACATTATAAGTTGAAATTCCTATGATTGGTTCATCGGTTGGATTTTTAGCTGCATAAAATGCTAATGCAGTCTCTCCAGGAATCAACTTGAGTTGCGTACGTGGTGCCATACAAATAGAAAAATGATTCATGATTGGACTGCTCATACGATTAGGGTGTATGTATGTATGCAATTGTAATAAGACCATATTAAGCTTGTACTTCAGAACTATCCCTCATGACCAAAAATTACCTGAATTTCTTTTTGCTTGGGTCTAAAATTCCATCTCATTGTAGCTCCTGTATCCGCATTAAAGCGAATAGTCAGAGGTCGTTCCGGTACAGCTTCCATTTCAGCGATCTTCTCTGGATCAATGACACGAGAGGTCGTGCCACCGAATCCGGAAGCCTGTTTTGGTTCATTTCAATCATAAAGTCAATTCCTGTATGCTTATATAGCCTACGTCATCATCCATGCTATATGAATTTCAATTTGCTATGTGCTCTTGCTTTTAATTCACAAGTTGTAAGATATCCATGATACAGCTTAGAGAAGTAAAATTATGCACTTTCATTTGACTTTTACCAACATCTATCACTATTAATTAACATCAGATTCGAATTGAGCAATTAGTACACAAGTATGCCAAGTATTTAAGAATGCTAATCACGTACCTGACAAAATACTCTGTATAGTGGCACAGCTGCGTAGGATAATCCAATCACTGCAATTGCCAATGCTATCACATAGATCATGGTAGTCCTATTTTTGCCCTTGCTACCAGGTTGAATACTATTAGCATTGCTACGTTGTGAACATGCTCTCCGTTGATAAGACATGAACCAGTTACCACGAGACTGGTATAGAGGAGAAAATTGATTGAGGATGGTTAAATTCTTTGCAGTCAGCTGATGACATGCTTTGGAGTAGCTACACCATTGGCGCTGCTGCATTCCAGGTACTAAATTGGACCATTTTCTAGATGAATATTGGTTGATTGTTTGAATCAGTCTGGGATAGACAATAATTTGAGAATAGTATTGATTTGCATAACTGTTTATTCTTCTGTAGACAAGAAAAGCAATGGATGACATGGTCAACTACTAGTACAACATTGAAAATGTTGGATTAGAGCTCTAGCGAAACATTTGGAGGCCTGCTTGGCAGTCGAGTTGGCCTGGAAACAGCCGAATTGATATCGAGGAGCGTCCGCAGGGTTGTTCTCTGTCCGTCTGGTGTACAGTATCCAAAAAAAAATAAAATACAGTAGTAGGTTGTAACTAAAATTCTATCCAGTACAGTATCGTATAGACCGTGTACTGTAGTTTGCGTGCAATCATAGCCTTCTGCCATCTTTTTGGGACTCTGGTCACTTTGCTATCCAATCCTAAGCTCAAATGCTCAAGCCTCAAAGGCTCTCTTTTCGAGCTTGGTGCAACAGTACGGAACTTCGATATCATATGGTTACAAAATGAGATTTTGGTTGGTTATGCTGCTACAGTTTGTATATTATATAAGCTCACTATGACTTTAACTTATTCTGTTTGACTTTAGTAGCACAGTCCCTTTTAGGCATCCAATATTTGCAGTATGGAAGTCTATAGAAAGGGAGTTTGGAAAACGTAAACACAGATCTAGCACATCTTGACCGCAGAGTTTCAAAATAATGTGTCAAGAAGTTTCATCGTAGCTAATTGAGTATTATTTATTTTGATAAAATAATATGATGAATTTGGCTCGATATCATTTCACTTTATTCGACGCCAACTTGGCTCTCTACTATGCAACATATCGAGTGTTGAAAGACTTTCGTCTCGAGATGACAGAACAGTACAGTATATCGCAGTGATGGACTGGTTAATGCATCGATGTCCAATGTCATTTTAAACTGCAATACTAAACCGTGTGTCCACCATGCTATCGTTTACATACAGACGGTAAGAATAGCTGTTTTATTACGATGGCCCCAAAGTAGTACAGTACAGTATAAGGCAGCGATGGACTAGTTCATGCATCGATGTCCAATGCCATTTTTTTAAACTGCAATACTAAACCGTGTGTCCACCATGCTATGGTTTGCACACAGACTGTGTTTTAGTATAATGGCCCCAACGTTTCTGTAGAGAAGCGAGCGCTCTCTAGCACCAATGTCATCCTCCTGAGTAGAACATGCTACTCCCATACTGTAAGCGTCTCTAATAATGTGGACATTGGACAGCAAGATTAATCTGGCGTAATACTCCATGAAGCATTGCGAAATATTGCAAGACTGCATCATAGTGGATAGAGCAGCCAAGCTAAAAATAGACAAGAAAGCGTTAGCACAGTACTGTACTGTAGGCTATTGTACTGTACACTGTAGGCCAGATCAGTAAAGTACAGTACAGTACAGTACTGTACGATCTTGTGACTCGTACACAGTTACAGTACTGTACGCCAGTTCAGTACAGACGTACAGTGTGAACCAGTTCGAATCAGAGTATTTTAAGGTACCCTAAAATCACGAGTGTGAATCCAAATGTAATAAGAATTATACGAATATAAAGCTGAATAAACTTCTCTATCTGTATGTATAGAATTTAAGGCAAATTTTGCAACTTTACCACAATTTATTTTGCCTAATAGCACTCTAAATAGAACTGGCTCACACCGTACTGTACAGTACGTACGCCAGTTCAGTACAGTACGATCTTGTCACTCGTACCACAGTGTACAGTACAGCACTGTACAGTACTGTATTGTATTGTACAGTACTGTACACTGTACGCCAGCTCAGTACAGTACGATCTTGTCACTCGTACTGTACGGTACTGTACCGTACTGTACTGGATTCTGACGTCAGAATGCGGCGTAACAATCAACCCCTGCGCCGGTTCATAAGCAAGCTGCCGGCCTGACGTATGTTATTCTTGTACAGTGAGTGAGTGTATCCACTACTGTGCGCTGCAGACTTGCTAACAAACAAGCCCAAGCTACTTCAAATCAACGACGTTTTCCATTAAAGTCAACAACCATTTGCAACATGTTTCGTTGTCTATCCAAGGCAAGTTCTTCATCATTCTACTACTAATCTATCACAGATAGCTCTTCTACCATAGAAATCATGATATTTTGATGCTTTTGATTGACTTAGTTGGATACTCATGCAATAGAATCGAGGATGACTGCCATGTTGATATCAATGAGATCGAGCGGTCATTGGAATAAACTCGACAGTGCAGTAGAATGGATCATGTTGACTTCATTCAATGCTTAGCGATCCCATCTGCTATCCAATCAATCGCTTTTCTATGCAATATTGCAGTCAAAACAGTCGTTGATCATTTTGTATTGATTGATCTTGCAGTCATAAGCTTATTGGTAGTGTAAGTGTAGTGATAGATGCTGTTACAATACAATCATTCGTGATGCTCTCCATTCATACTCGTTTTTCATGTAGAAAGTACCTTTTGCTTACCTTATGGAAATATTCAATTGACTACATGGATGCATGCAGCAACTACCACAACACCTTGATATATACAGTATACTGTATGCATACACACACTTCTATACATCTTGTCAAAATATCCAAATACGTAGTGCATTCAACTGCTCCACCATTGAATTTTCTCACATATACCGCTACAGTACTGTACCATGATTGGATTATCTCATCATCATTGTAGTCGACTAGTGGTCAATGGAGACAACATTGTTATCCTTGAAGCCAAGTCTGTCTCAATGCAATTATAATTTTAAGCCATCTTTTCTCTATCCTCCTAGACTAAGCCGCTATCACCGGCAATATATCATCGTTACATTTCTCAGACGGCCCTTCGTTGTAGCCCGGTAAGTAGATAGTGACGCGTAAAGTAGATTTAAATCATTATTATACAGACATCTTCCATTAATTCCTTGATTACAATGATAGGTGCCTATGAGCAAATTTGAGCCGGATCGTTTCATTAATTTCCAAAAGATGGAAAACAACTTAAAAATCGTCAAAGACAGGTGCAGAAATATCAACCACTGTGATGGATGGTGTAGTCACAATGGTTACACTTGAACAAGCAGCTTACTACATATAGACTATATAGTAAAACTTGATACGCGTACTTTAGCATCTGCTAATTTCAAGGCGATACTCTAGCTTATTCAACAGTGTTGTTATTACACCATTAGCTTTTCACTAATCCAATACTAAGGATATACCCGTGCTATTTCGTAACAGGCTACAACGCCCCTTAACGTTATCAGAAAAGATCGTATATGGTCATCTTGATGATCCTGTTAATCAGGTAAGGTGTACTTTGTTTCTTTGTTGTTTGCTGAATTTCAGTAACTAAAAATGCCTTGTCACCAGATGCGTTTGCATTTATATAGCAAATAAGTGAGTATTCCGTAAATATTTAGGTATCAAGTTTCTGAATTTGCCTTTATTTATAGGATATTGAACGAGGCGTTTCTTACCTAAAGCTAAGACCTGATCGTGTTGCTATGCAAGATGCAACAGCTCAGGTAGTGCATTGTTTTTGATATCATTAATTGAACTCATTTCTGTCTTAACTGACCAAGACATAATTTGTACTAATACGTCTTTTAATCGCTTGTTGATCCTTATCAATTAGATGGCAATGTTACAATTTATATCCAGCGGCTTACCCAAAGTATGTGCAACAAATGGTATCATTTCGTATTACTTGTGTGAAACAAATTGTAATGAAACATAGCTTATAATCCTAACTATTGATAAAAATCTGAATGCAAAGGTTGCCGTTCCATCCACTATTCATTGTGACCACTTAATTGAAGCACAAGCTGGTGGTGATAAAGACTTAGCTAGAGCCAAGGTAACGTACTGTAGTGTACTAAAGAGTAATATTCAATAAAAACATAGCCGCTATCATCCAAAATGGAAAATTGATCTACCAACATCTTATATTTTCTAATTCTAGGACATTAATAAAGAAGTTTATAATTTTCTTGCAACTGCTGCTGCTAAATACGGAGTTGGCTTCTGGAAGCCAGGTAGCGGAATTATCCATCAGGTGATTCTTTTTGCGTACATTAGCCTACGTGATTATACGAGCATTATAGTCTAGACGTCAACAATGTGTACAACATACTTGCTTGCACAAGATCGAACAAGCACCAAAACAATCTTGACCTGTTTTCCTAATTTACAGATTGTATTAGAGAATTATGCCTATCCTGGTGTCTTACTAATTGGAACTGATAGCCATACACCTAATGGAGGTGAGCAACGTTATAAACTGCTGTATTAGCATTGTAGTAAAGTTGATGTTATTCAGGTGCGTTATAACCTAGATGAAAAATTGAATCAATTTAAATTATTACGCTCCACTAGGTGGTCTTGGAGGTATATGCATTGGCGTCGGCGGAGCTGATGCTGTTGATGTAATGGCTGATATTCCGTGGGAATTAAAATGTCCGAAGGTAATTCAAAGCACTTATTCGAACGAACTAGTTGATTCATTCAAAATTTTAGAGACTAATGCTCTATCTTACAATAGGTTATTGGAGTAAAGTTAACCGGAAAATTGCAAGGGTGGGCATCACCTAAAGGTTTGCTACAAGCACACATTGCTTTTAATTCAATAGATTGGAAAGTGAATCATTGTAAATATTTTATGTATAGATGTAATCCTAAAGGTAGCAGATATACTAACAGTAAAAGGAGGAACTGGGGCCATTGTCGAATATTACGGACCAGGCGTTGAATCCATGTCGTGCACAGGTAGCAACTCGTAGAAAATCATTAATATGAATAGCAATTGACTTGCTATTAATTAAAGTGCCAAAATTACATATCTTACCTAATAGCTAAACTATCTTATTTTTACTTAGGAATGGGCACAATATGCAATATGGGTGCTGAAATTGGTGCTACCACATCAACTTTTCCTTTTAATCACCGGATGGCATCTTATCTTGCAGCTACCGGCCGAAACGGTAAAATAGTTAGCCTTCCTTATAAAAAGATAAATGTCATTATGTATAGAGTCATTATTATAAAGTTTACAATTATTTTATCAATAACTTCTTATAGAGGCTGCTAAGGAAGCTGCAAAATTTCATCATCTGCTAGTAGCTGATGAAGGAGCTGAATACGATCGATGTATCGAAATCGACCTCAATGAAGTATATTGCTAGATAAGCATTGCCTTTAAAATCGAAATCTGTTAGATTAAGTGTCACCTTTATAATTTTTAGCTCGAACCACACGTAAATGGTCCATTTACACCAGATTTGGGCAATCCGATTTCTAAGTTGAATAAATCTGCTGTCGAAAACGATTGGCCTTTAGATATCAAAGTCGGTTAGTAAAGTTCGCGCTGTAAAGTATGTACTGTATTGCACTATCATCACATCATTGCAGAGCTATTTACGTACATTTAATTTTGCTACCTGTATAGGCTTGATTGGAAGTTGTACAAATAGCAGTTATGAAGATATGTGTCGTGCCGCAAGTGTAGCCAAGCAGGCTTTAGATAAAGGAATGAAAGCAAAGTTAGTATCATAATAGTAAGATATGTAGCATATGTAAAGTGAAACAATAGTGATTCGTTCTGCTTTTTGAATCAGATCGTTGTTTACTGTTACACCTGGATCCGAGCAAATACGAGCTACCATAGAAAGAGATGGATTGGTAAATATAACTGCGCCACCACTTCATGAGCTCTTTTAGCGATTTTAGAAATATACGTAATATAAGTGTAGTGCAATGAAAATCATTAAATTATATTAATCATTTGGGTATTGGGCTATCTACAGGCTGATATATTCCGCGATTTTGGAGGTGTTGTCTTAGCTAACGCTTGTGGGCCTTGTATTGGACAATGGGATAGGTTTGTCTTGGCTGATAATTCCCTTTCTATGGTTTATTTTTCTTGATGTAATTAGAGTGCATTGTATTGCCAGGAAAGATATCAAAAAAGGCGAAAAGAATACCATTGTCACTTCTTATAATCGTAATTTTACTGGACGTAATGATGCCAATCCTGAGACTCATGCTTTTGTAGCTTCACCAGAAGTAAGTTAACTTCAAGGTTTTAATCGTGCTAAGAGCATACCGTTTAAGATTCTCCACATTAACGAAATACTTCTATTATCAATTTGAAAGCTCGTCACTGCCATGGTTATTTCTGGTGATTTACGCTTTAATCCGGCAACAGATACTTTGACTGCCCCTAATGGTAAACTATAGCAGCGCAAAGTAGATTTATAAATCAATTATCTACGATAATGTTACGTAAGCTCATAACATACTGTTATAATTTGCTGCAGGAGATAACTTTAAACTCGAAAGCCCCAACGGTGATGAATTGCCTGTAAAGGTATTTCTGGAGGATGATTTTGAATAGCTAGTTATAGATGGTTACCCTATGGATTATAAGTTGATACTTGGGATTTACGATGTGTTCGTGATCTTTATTATTTTCATCTCGGTATGTAGGGTTTTGATCCTGGGCAAGATACTTATCAGGTTAAGCAAGGATATTCCATCATGCTTCTTATTGATATTGAGAACCTTTTAATAATTAGTACTATTATTATATAATTTGTGGAGTTTGTACATTATAAATTGATCTAAGATAACTAAATAGGAATGATATAGCTGAATTTTGGTAAATCTTTATTGACTAACACTTGTTGCGCTTAAGCCTGTCATGCTGACTATTCATTATTTTACAGCATAAGTAAATTTGGTATATTATTAATAATTTGTTAGGAACCTCCAAAGGATAGTGGAAAAGTAGCTGTTGATGTTGATCCTGAGAGGTACTTGGATAATCGATTATTGCATTTCAGTAAATATATTTTACTCTCAGATTTACTGCTAATTGATAATGTGGTAAGAGTTGTACAATCAATATATTTATCATTACCTAGTAAACGTTTGCAACTATTAACTCCTTTCCAACGTTGGAATGGTGAAGACTACGTCGACTTGCCTATCTTGATTAAGGTACATTTAAGATTGTTTGATATAAGTCAACTTGCGTAAAGATATCGGTTTTAAAATCGAGAGTACAGGTTTACTTTTAAGCGTACATACTGCTTTAACTAACGTTATCAATGGCTTTAAATGATATCATCTAGGTTAATGGAAAGTGTACCACCGATCATATTAGGTAATCTTCGTTGTAGTAACCTGTCAAACCTAATGATGGGTTGAAAATATTAATCATTATTATCTTTTAATAAATTAAGAATTCTGCAATATTTCGTAACATAAAAATTATTTGCATAGTGCTGCTGGTCCGTGGTTAAAATATCGTGGCCACCTGGACAATATCTCAAACAATATGTTGATAGGGTGAATATCCCTGCAATTAAAGGCTCATTCTCGTATTACTGTAGTGCTATCTTCATTACGAGTGATATCTTTTTTAATTTACTTGACAGAGCTGTGAATAGCGAAAACGGCAAGGCTAATGAAGTTAAAAATCAAATCACCGGAAAATTTGGTTCCGTTCCGGATACAGCTCGCCATTATAAGGTATTGTCGACAGTCCCTTGTGTCATAATGGGAAAAGTAATAAAATATGAACCTTATTTGATACTATTGATCATCAAGTGCCGCTTCTGATAACGTAGAAAATTGTTTTTATAGGCGCAAAATATTGGTTGGGTAGTAGTTGGAGACGAAAACTACGGTGAGGGCAGTAGCAGGGAACATGCTGCTCTAGAACCAAGGCATTTAGGCGGGAAAGCTATTATTGTAAAGAGTTTTGCTCGTATTCACGGTTAGTTATCAACTGTTGTAGAATATCCGTATCAATTACTTTGCTTTACCAAATTTGAATAGTCTTCAATGTTTAAGATTTTACAGTGCATTAAAACGTTGTATTTGACTTTCTTTTTCCTAGAAACCAATCTCAAAAAGCAAGGTTCGCGAATTTTAGAAGCAATCGCTGATACACATATTTTGCAAAAATGTATATAAATGTTAATTATAATTCATTCTACTTTGATACATCGCTTATAGGATTACTTCCACTAACCTTTGCAAATTCCAGCGACTATGATAAAATTCAACCAAGTGACAGAATTTCTTTGTTAAACCTTAAAGCATTGCAGCCAGGCCAGGTAATAATTGCATAAATCGATCATCCATTGCTTGTATATCCTGTACTATTGTAAAGTATGTGAAGTAATCGCGTGAACGTTTACTTTCTGTGCTGCTAGCCTGTTGAATGCCGAATCAAACATGAAAATGGTAGCAGTGAAACTATACTATTAAATCATTCTATGAACGAGACGCAGCTGGAATGGTTTCAAGCTGGAAGTGCGTTAAATAAAATGGCCATTTCATCTTAAATTTTGGGTTCATTTATAATGATTAATGATCTTGTGTATTTGTTGTACCTGTTCGTAATCATATCTATCATGATTCGTGAAAGTAGAACAAAATTTAATATAAAGCAAGACAATCGTATCTACAACAGTTTAAATAGACTGTAGGCTAGAAAGCAGAAGCAATTGTGTAAGCTATTGCAGTAGCTTAATTTTCTTGAAGCGTGCGTAGATGGAATTGCTAACTATGTTATGCGGAGACCATATTCGTAGTGGCAGTCAGGCTATTACAGTACTACATATAATTGTTGGGTAAAGAGTTGTCTACAAAATTGGTAGTCCTCGCTTACAATTTTAATTTTTTAGTAATTGTGGTTAATTCTTAGTAATAATGGTAAATCATTGTTATGAAAAGTGGATGTAATCTTGAAGGCTTTTGGTTATAAATATGAATTAAATGAGATTTCCTTGTTCAATTTGCTTACAACTGTGCTTTATGTTGCGATGCAATGTGTAGATTCTCAAAATCAGTTGATTTAATGTTTTGAAACTTCATCAATTAGAATTCAATCGCATATAAATCTATGCTCGAGTATACCATGCTAACGGTACAGTAGTTCAAAAACCTAGTAAAGAAATAAATCACTTCCAATTCCAATTTTTGAAATACGGTTTATGGCGCTTCTAATGTTATAAAAAATTTTCTAATCCTTTTGAAGCGATAATGCTCTAGTTGAAGTTTATAGCAGCAATTATGTGATCGATTATTCATGGTTAGCAACATTGTGCTAGTTTTAGGATGCCTAATTCTTTTTCTCACACATACAAGAAATAACCTACCAAAAATCGTTTTCACACCTCTTGTACAAGTAGTTTCCATCATTGCAAACGCAATACCCAATAACTACGCTACATTACTGAAATCGACTAAATTCCGTCTGGTTATTGATTTCCTTCTGTCTGTAATAATTTTCTACTAAAGGAAATAAACTTCTCTATGCTCCTATGTTACTATATTCTAAACCCATGCAATGAAATAGTATCCATACAAGAGGCCATTTAAAATAATCATTTGTATTTTATTGTTAATAGAACATTTTTATTTCTATTGATATTGCATTATTAGATAGATGTTACTGTGTAACAGAATAGTAATCTTAGGATAATGGCTATTTTACGACATTTAAAATATTAAAAACTTCAATATTTCCTCTTTAGCTATTCATTTTCTAGAAATGTCAATTAACATTAAACTCATTACATGATCATTTTAGTATAATATACCATAATTATGTTCACCTCAATGTGGAGGGTATGAAATTTAAAGGGGCATAATCAAAACTCGTTGTATAATTATTTTCTAATAAACATATAAGGATCACAGGTCGGGTTATTTGTTAGCGATATCTTAAACATACTATTTTCCCTCTCAATGATTGATGATTATTAGAGAATTGATAAATATACATATTTGATTATTTCCGCTGTTTCATGAAAAGCCTAATTAAGCCAAATAGGCAAAAGATAATCAAACTGCCAGAAAAGGCAATTGTGCTTGTTTGAAAAGTACGAAGTTAGGGTTTAATCAGAAGATATGAAAGAAATAAAAGGATAAGGTTACTGTTATATCTAACCTGATTTGAGATCAATTTGCATATCTAGATTCATCTATCCATACGTTTTATCTCTTCTATATATGCGTGGATGGATATACAGTATATTTATGTTCGAAATCTGAGATAATTTGCGTAATTAAAAACCATATGAATAATTGCATCTAAATTAATTTGAGATAAACAATACGTACTCGTATAATTACAACTCTCACTTTAAGATATAGTTTAAATCTATGTATAGAATATAAGTATATTCGTATAGTATTATAATCCAAGTTCATGGTAGAACTTAAAAATAAGTTGCATAAACGGAAATGATGAAATTACTGCTAATCCAATTTAAAGACAAGCTTTTCCATTTTGTCATTTCCGTTCCGGTATCTTGATTAATTTTTATTTACAACACATTTAGAGGTTGGAGTCTTTCTTCGAGATGGAGCATTGCGCGATTCAGCACGCATTTTTTCAATAGGTGTTTGCACCTTAATATGCATAGTCATACTACTACCATTTAAACTAGGTGCTAATCTAGATTGAGTAGCTCGCGATTCACAATCTTTCGATGTTAAATCTTTAACGGTAGTAAAATGACCTTTATTATTGCGATTGGCATAATTAGGCCATACATAATAATTCAAATCGTTTAATGTTAATGCCTTTCTTAGTTTCTTCTTTTTAATCTTGCCCTCATCGACTGGCTGACATTGCTGTTGATTATGAGACATTAAATAGGTGCTCATTGGCATCGGTGGTAAAACACTTTTATTCATTTTCAGCAATTGGCCATCTAGAATCTCTTGTTGTTGCACTCTTGTTAACCGATGGGCATACCAACGACTTAAAGGCCTCTTTTTACCGAAATATTCTCTTTCACGATAGTAATTTGAATCGCTAGTATCCCGTTGGGTAACGAGTAAATATTCCATACGTCGTTCAAGATCATATTGTTGATCACTAATATAATCTTGAAGAATTTTATTAGAATCGCGAGGACCATGATGGCTAATAGCATTATTAAAATATTGTAATCGATAAGGTTTTAAATTAACACCTAAAATTTCATCATCGGAAGAAAGAGATTGAACACTTTTACTTGTTTTCAGCATTTTCTTAATTTGGATAGACTTGGCAGTCAGTAACGATTGAAGGATAAGTGAAATAAAATTATCTCGAGATAATAAAAACGTAAACGCTTTCCTTTTATAGCCTTGAATAATCTGTACCGGCTATTATGGTTGTAGGATCATCGATAGGAATCAATAAATATCAATTGTGCTATGTTAAATTATTTTTCTTTTCTTTGATAAACCTAAAATTAAAGCAGGATAAAAATTTAGATATTGGCAATAATAATTTTAAATTTTTATTAGTAGTTAATTGGTTACTAAATATTTTGTCTATGGATAAACTATCTGATTGTCTTGTTGACTTTGAAGTTCTTTCTAGAGATATTCAAAATTATTATCTTGAAATCGAGACTGATTCAATCAAGTCGTCCGTATCCATTTAGCTTTTAGTATTTGTAAGCAAGATCTTATTATAATTGCTAAATTTTAGTGAAGCGAAGATGTAGAATATAAAGTAAATAAGGTTTTCCCAGCTAAACTTTAGTCATCACTGCTTTTGAAATGCTCTAATGCCCCATTCTTGTATTACATTTACTCGATGATGCGATATTTATTCCAACGTATAATTTAATTAACAATATTTATTCTATGTAATCCTCATATCCTCTATACGTAAATTGACATTGCGCAAATATACTATTAATTCTTACGTAGAAAGGTGCGTTAGCAATTTTGCCACTAACTGCAGCTACTATTTTTCGCTTAGTAATTACTGTCAAATATATCGGTTATTCTAATGCAAAACAGTAATATGACACCTTAACTTTTGGCCACTTTATGCATAATTTCTATGGGCGAATCAGATGAACTACAGAATGTACACTAAGTACCAAGAAAAATTCTATTAATATCTACAATGACAAAATTTGAAGCACTGCTTCATGATTCACTTGCTTAAATAAAGTAAATATCTAAATTAATCGTCCTTCTGTCTACTTCTGTATGTTTTTCACGATGTTATTAAGTTTTATTTTAAAATAAATTGCAGTAATTGAATTATGAAATAAAAAGTCCTTTGATAATATATGATAATTAAAGAAGATAAACTATACTGGAGGAATTTCTAACTTTATGCCACCATCTATCTCTGTACATCATCGAAAAATCATGCCAGATACTTTGTTCACTTTACTTATGGCTTATGCGAGCACATAATAAAACATTTTCATCGTTTTTCATCAGTAAGCGAATACATTTTTGTGCCTACACTGCTAAAGCTGGTGTTGTTATCTGTGCAATTCGTATAAGTAAAATTTGATAGATAACTAATAGAAAATTAAAAGGAAGCTTTCATGTCGATCATTATAAATATGATAGTATAGTGTATTAATATAGAAATTATTCAACTAGCTAGAGTGGCGTTGTCGTATCTACTGGAAATTTTCAAGGTCGGATAGTGAATTAAGTGTACTTAAGGGCAGAACATTCTAACGTCGTATAGCAGATTTTATTATGAATTCATATGTTAGATGGGCAGACTATTAATTATCGTTCAATTGCTAAGCAATTACATAAACCCAACATAATTTAGCATTACTGTCATACTATATCCACCATTTTTATCCAGATTTGATCAGCGGAAGATTAAAGTAAATTACTGATGGGCAAAAAAATATTGTGAATAAATAAGTTATAGGCAGAAATTCTACTTACTTCTGTAGATAGAAGAAATCTTTTTAGAGATGCATAATATGCGAAGTTGAAGTGGCTATGGTGAGTTAGATAAAGTGACAAGACAGTGTTGTATAATGTTGCAAGATGAGAAGAAATTAGATCAATATAGTAGCAATTATAATATTTCGAGCGTATTTTTAAAGTTGTTAAGAATGATTTTGCAGGTCTTGACTCCCAATCACTTCGCTGTATAATGCTTTTCAACGAGACGAAATGGAAATATATAACATTGATGAATAATTTTCCAAGTCACGAGTCTAATCATTCTAATTCTATCCAGTTGAAATGCTTCAACGAACTGCGTTGTCTTATAATCTACAATAATAATACTATCGATAAATAATGGCATCGAGTTAAAATAGAATAAAATCAATTGGTGTATTGTTATGGCGATTTATTAATTTTTTAAACCCAATTGCTTACTATTCCAACACCATTCATCATTATAATTTAATATAAGCCCTTGTATTGATTATCATGCCATGTTGGTAGGCGACAGTTGCTATGGAAACCAAACAATACATCATCAGAAGAGAGACAAACCATTAATGCAAATGGCAGGAATAAATAACATCTTATTGCATGATAGACAATCAATTGACGACAATCATAATATTGCCGTTATAGACAGTTTTGTGTTTTATTCTATAATTGTTAATCGATTAAAATTGGTTTGAGGCAAATTTTCCATATATTTATACATTTATCAATGCGACTATCGACTAGACATCAGGCATGATGATAATATCAATAGTTTAAATGTTGCTACTTTTCAATACAATTGTAGGCTAGTAGAATATAGACAGAAACAAGTAAGAATAGCTATCATCGTTGGCTATTCACATCGTCCCGTTGGATAGAACTCTATCCAGATTTTAATCCAATTCTCATAAGCATCAGAGTATACAATTTCTCTTCAATTTTATTCTATGTCTCTATCACGACAATGTTATTTGTTTGCGTTAGTGTTAATAGATTCATTTGTAATTACCAATGATTAAGCTCGAATGAAATCATAATAAGTAATCAAATTGCATAACAAGGAAATCAGTTTACTACTTCGACTATATGATAAGGAGCTGATCATGTCTATTAAAATTATTAGCATTTTATTGGTTAGAAATGCATCGTTTCCTAACGGTTGCATAGCTATTTCAATATTGATTCCCACTGTAAAGCTGTTGTGCTAATAATAGTATTAAACCTGTTGCTACAATTAGTACATGTTGGAAGTAATTATTCATTCTATAATAGCTGTAAAAGTGTTGATATCATACGATAGCCCCTGCTATTAAAGCTGTTTTTTTCTCCATATATTCATTGTTTGACGAATCGAGAATGAATTACAGATGATAAATAGATTTTATGACTAATTACTTTATTGATTCGCCATTTATTGTTAATAAATCAAGTCAATTTAGTGCCTATCTTATCATTTTAATAGTAATTGATGTATATTATGAAGTTGAGCGTGGTAATTTAGTCAAGCAAAGAATGCCATCCTTAGCCAAAATATCAAATCTAAGGTTTACTGTAACTCCTATCCAACTGCACTTAGATGTAAAAAAATAGCGTAACAATTATAGAGTATTAAATTAAAATTATCCTGCTTGCTCAGCTTATTTATTATGATTTATTAGCTGTTTAACTTCTTATTTTGATATAGTATCAGTAATGTTATAACTCTAAATAATAGATCCATAATCTGTGGGAATTAAGTAGAAGGAAGTCTAAAAAAAATGGAATGTTACATCTTATAGCTTCAATTTGAGTCTTAAAACAGTGTAAATATATTAGTTAGCGACGTCAGCGACTTAAGATGATTAAATAAAGGTAAAGAAGATAATTTAATTACTTATTTTATCATTAATGCTTGAATATCAATAGAAAACTAATGGTTATTATGACGTCAATATAGACCAAGGTACAATTGTCTTTCATTTTGTTCTCTTAATTATACTGGAAGTTTATCATCAATAATAAGAAAATTAAAATATTGTAGTACCTAAATCAGCAGTCTAAGTCCATATAAATAGATGATAAACTTTTACGATAATCATTCGAGTAAAATAGTACTTGTATATTGACTTCTGATGCATATAAAATAACGTTAGAATTATACGCGTACTTCCGGATTACTATATTACTTGTTCATACAAATTGATGTATTATTATTCCAACTCATGCTGTTAGCAGTTATGTAATTGTAATTTCATAAATATACCAAAGCTCAGCAATGGTCTAAATTAACTTTATATAATATTTTTGGAAAAGTAATGTCTATGATTCTAGTCCGGTATATTTAAGTTAACTATCTTTAATTTTATTCACCTAAACCAATCAGATACAGTAATTTCGCTACATAACATATTGACCTAAAAAATATACTGACAAGATTCTATTCTCTGATTTTACATTTACCACTTTTGTTGTTACATAATGGAGTGAATGTTTAATTTTAGGTGTCAACAAATTGTTTTTGAATTTAATTTGAACATAATTATTACACCAAGAATATCATGTTTACCGATAATAAAGTAGAAAAGGTCCGTCATCTTGGCTAGATAGAAACAAATAAATTGAAAAGACATTGATAATATCAGATGACTTGATCAACGATAATTTATATAGGATGCTTATTTTATTGAATTCGAAAACTTATAATAAATTAAATGATTGTAGTCATCCATGCCTTATTTGTTTATTGTCACAGTATTAGGGTTCACATTTCCCTACTTATTTCATTGGATCATTATTATTTAGGTTCAAATTGTAGAAATTTAGACTCTAAACCTTGAATTTTGATACGATAAATATATTAAACCATGCGCATTTCTCTCCATTTAACGAACAGCTTTAGACTCGTGCTATAGAGAATATAATATGTTGCTGAGTAGATTCGAATAAATTAATTTTCATGGCCTTATCGCGCAGAGACATTTCTCTCCCCTTCGATCTGAAAGTCTTACAATAGTACTTTAATTTGATGTCTATAGATTATATTCGTTAAATGAACCAGAGATTACTATTGTAATAAATAGCACATAAATTATGCACTATTTCCAGCAGTAAATATCCATAAAATATTTTAGCTTACCATTACCGTACTTTAGGATATTATATTATACTATGTGTATACATTTTGAAATACTTACGTCTTTTTTAACTTTTAATATAGTTTTAAGTTTAAATTATGAAGGTCATACCATATTTCAGAATAGGTTAATAAAAAATTGCTTTGCTATATAATATGATATAAGTACAATCTTTATAATTTAGCTTCCATTGCAAGTATTTATAACTACACTTCATCACATTGTCTATAGGTAGCATCCTTTAACGATACTGGTGGTAATAACACAAACAGTATAGTATGTCTTTCTCGAAATAGTCGATAATAGTAGTTCAAACTCACTATTATCGACTGATTTGAATTCAAATATAATCATTATATGCGTAATATTTCAAAAAATATAAACATGTATCACGCGCACAGAATTATATGAAATTGTTAATGACGGGTCTGTGATTGGATAATGTAAATTTTAGAGTCCTGAAGGAGTATTTTTAGTCTAATAGCATTTTTACTCAGTTGGAATGTTCCCATACTAAATGTACACGGCTACTACAGTAATCATATAAAGGTGCTAATAGTATAAGTAAGTGCCCTAACGATAAGCTATTAGGACATAATCGACCACTAGTTTGGCTATATTTTTCTCCGAATATCAATTAAGTACAATAATTATACACTAACATTCATTCTTCAACCTGAATATCGATTCTACATTGTGCTTACTTGTTTGCCTACTGAATGATCATGACCTTCCTGACTTGCTTATTCATAAATACGTGACAAATATTAGATACTGGAGGTCATCAATAATAATCACCTATTCAGTTTTTCAATTCTATATTGTCTCTAAACTTTATAGCGAACTGAATATTACTTCCAGTTCATAGCCAGAGGTGATAAACCTTCGGATTTTTATATCTATTCATGCCAGATATATTGTTATTGAAGCAATAACAAAAGATGACAAGTGCTAATGGATGACTTAGCCATATAATTGCACTATAATTGAAATATTTGAATATATAATGAGACTAAGAGGTTTAGTCATAGCACAGCTAATAATTCCCCGATAATAATACTAAAGCTAGCTTTTATTCCCAAAGCGTAATTGAAAAGATTTGTTGTTCAATGTATAACAGAGTTCAAAAGATTACTCATAGCCCTGTCAGTAATTCCTGGAAAATAACAACATGACTAATTCGATTCATAAGGTTAAAGCAGAATATATTAAGATTTGATCTGCATTTATGCAATTTCTAACTATAACTATAGAACTATCAAGAGATGTAAACAGGAACTATTGACCCGCTATCTAATCAATTATTGCAGAATAGTGCAGTATAGGAAGGCTATTAATCATAGCCCGACTATAATCCTTGAAAAGTAATAATATAACTATTCAAGTTTATAGCCCTAAAAGATAAAATGTACCGTACTAGTGTTACCGTTAGTTCTAAGAGTTAGCCATTTTCTATAGACAAGTAACTGCTATAAGGGATATTAGGTTACTAAAACCGAAGATCATTTATGCAATATCTAGTATCTACTGCAGAATACGCGTACATTAGCAAAGATATTCACAGGCAAGACGATTAAGTTATAGTCTAAGATATATTTCTTTAAGGCTAATAATTACCATACCGATATTGTAGATTAGATGATATAAGTATAATGTATCCATTTATTCAAATGAAATATTATATGAAGATTGCAAACTTTAAACCGAAGGCAGAAATATTGATCCATTGCTATTAATTGCCGTAAAATATGCAGTGACAAGGCTTTAAGTCGCAGCTTAATCTATCACATTGCTTTCATTTTTGCAATTAAAATGCCAATAATATTTCGTAAAATTCAACTAATTGAGGCCAGCGTAGAAAAATAAGTACATTCAATGATAAGATCAAGGTATAGCCCTGAGTACTGCGTATAGAATTGTTGTTGCTTATCCCAATATTAGAGCCTAAATAACTAATAAAGTTACCCATAATTATAGGCTTAAACTGCAGATTTCGATCATATTGTTGCGTAAACTTCAATTTTCTATTCCAACTTTCAAGATCAGATTATTAATAATTTATCGTATAATGTAGCTAAAAATAACAAAATTAGCAAATCAAAATAGCTGCCTACTTAACCTAAACTCGCTGGCAAATAGTCAATCGTAATGCTGATAAAGCAACTTTACTAAGATGTAACGTATACATATTCCGTGCGCCTTCGATGTAGTCTATGATTAATTAATTTCCCCTATATAATAGTTCAAGCTATTCTGAGCACCTAATGCTGACATTAGGTGGCCTGTCTATCTCTACTTTGATACGGCTGTAAATCATGTCTAATTGTGGTTGGAGTATCAAAATAGCTGAATGAGATGTTATAAAGTACACCGGGTATACCTTAGCATGTTTCATACCCAAAACGATAACATCTCGCTTCAGCCCATTTTTATGTGTATAGTAGAATATTTTGATAATTATCATCACTTGTTAGCTTGAATTAGCTAACTATAAATATAGCATCACTGCTCTTGTAAAATCGAAAATACAGCGAATTTACTCTTTCTATTATGGAACACGTTGATTTCAAAGTAGCATGATCAACCGTTACATGTATATTTTTCGTACTGTTCACTTCATATTTCCATGAGAGCTTCTATATAATATTGCTACTCTATAAGATCTAAAATGCAGCGAATTTAATTCTTTTATTGCGGAACACATTGATTTTAAAGTGGCTTGATTAACCATTAAAAGTGCATTTTTTTCGTTCAGTTTACCTCATTTCTATGAGAGCTACCATATATATATATAAAACATATGTTATATATATATATCATCTTTATGAGACTACCGTGAAAATATCTTTCGCTTCGAGATTGGAGTCTTCAACCAAACTGATAGATAATATTTTTTACAACAGATAAAGTTGGCAATTACTTTCTTTTAAGACAGAGTATTCTCATTGGAAGGTAATGCAATTAGTATTAAATTCAGCATGTAATAATACAAATTACTCCAATTCTGCTACTTTGAAGTAGTAATGCTCCTGTCAAAAAACTAAAAAATTAGTAAACTTTCAACAATTTAGGCTTTACAAGGAGGGTAAAGCTAATATTAGAGCTAAGCATATCAAATAAACGATAAATTATATATAATCTAATTGTTACATTATATGTATTTAAGAATGAGGCTAAAATCGCCACAAAAAAATGACAATTTTTAAGTCGATTACGCTATTTTGAAATTGAAATACTCCGTAATGAGACTATCTATTTTTCAAAAGAATAAGCTTTACGAGTAAACCAATAGTAGTTATTATGACGAACTGCATCAAACTAATGAAAACCTACCAGTTACCAAAATATTAAGTAATATATTTAGAAATGAGATTACTAGAGATAAATTAGTAATTGGAAGTTGCCAAAGTTATGACGTATAATAGTTGATCACGCGGGCTGTTTGATACTGTACCCTCGATTAGACTGAGCTTGCCCGCTAAAAACGCAGACGGACGGAATCTCTTGAGCTTATAAATACCAAAACTTGATACCAAAGTGGCTTCACGTTGTTATACTGGAACCAATGTCTGTGATAGATGTATTGTACAGTATACTGTAACACAAACCACCCATCCCTCGATCATTTGCGCACGCGTGAGGATCCTAGCAACAAGCCTTAGAAACGGCTGCGGCTTGCAGATTCGAAAAATTCCCCTTGACTGCAATAAATTGCGACTAGTAGTTGTTGACCACTTTAATTCGCTTATAGACAACTCTACTGACTATCCAGTAACGCTAAAAGCTGTTATAATACGACAAAACAACCGTTTGAGTCTTAGGAAGCAATTAATAAGATTGTACGTTGCACAATTCATCTCCAACTACATCTAATTGCAGAGAAACCGGCCGAAAATAATTGCTGGATTGATTCGTCTATCTCTTTGGTAGTTCAAATAACTTTCATCCATTAAATAGACATGAGTAAGTTATATGATACCATCGAACCAGCCGTCATTGACGAGCAAATGCTAAAACAATGCGTGGAAGAGCAAGGTCCAAAGGATGAAGCTGGACGTATTGCAAATCAAGAAGGGATTGACTTTAACGAAGTGTTACATCTACGATTGGATTTCAAGAGTAAGCTTAAGAAAACAGTTGAAATAGTATAAATATCGAAATAGTTTAACTTTAATTTTGTCATACATCACAATACGATGGTTGATTAGAAATAAGAAATTGCGTAAAATAGAGTTTCGTTTCTTAATCATAATTCCTATGCCATTATCGATTGATAGATATACTGAAAATTGATAATTTATGGAGTTTTACTAACCTGGTCAGGCTTCAACTGGATAACAACATTATCGAAAAAATTGAAGGCCTTAACACTTTAGTAAATCTAAAATGGCTAGGTTGGTACCGTTATACATAAGCATTTAAATAAAATAAAGTGTTTGGTTCATAGATACTGTAGAACAAACATCTTGGATCGGCAATCCTACCGTCATCATTTTTGCTCTGTGACAATAGCATTGTCAAGATTTATGCCATTAGCAGATTAAAAATTCAGTGATTAATACTTATAATACTTGCTAGATGTCTTTTGATAAACATAATTTTGAAAGGTGAGTAATCTTTACCATTTTTATTATACCTGAATATAGATCTTTCCTTCAATAATATCGAAATTATTGAGGGCTTGGATAAACTCACTCAATTAACTGATTTAACCTTATTCAGTAATCGAATCGCACGTATTGAAAATATGGATGCATTGAAGGAATTGCAAGTTGTCTCATTTGGAAATAATCTATTAAAATCATTAGAGAACGTCAGTAGTAACTTATTTCAAGTGATACGTAGTCATCGATTGAGAAAATTAAAATCTCATTTCTGTGAAATATATTTATTAGATTGCATACCTACGGCGCTTTAAGAATTTGCGTACTATCAATCTGAGTGGTAACCCATTCTCGGAAGACGACAATTATAAAAGCTACATTATTGCTCACTTGCCCTCAGTAATTTACCTGGATTATAGATTAGTGGATGAATCACTAGTAAGTTTCTAACGTATTAAAATAAGTCAAAGTTTATTGAATGAGATAAAGTTTCAGATTTTTTTTCTACCTATTATTGCGCGTAAAAATCTCACTATTTTATAACGTTTTCCTATTTAATGCTTTGTAGAGACACCAAGCACGGGATCAATATGAATTCTCTATCGTAGAATTGGAGCAAGAAGAAAGAGAGCTAGAAAATAAAATGATTAAGGAAAAGGCTATTGAGGAAAGACTACAAAAGGAAAAGGTAAATCTAATAATTTAGCATACATAATGAGTAAAGTAGGTAAGCACAATTGCATGGAGTAATTCATAAAAATGGATATAATTTATGATTTATTAATGAATTTTAGAGAGCGTACGTAGAGTACTTGGATGGTCCGGAATTATTTGATCAGATGGTAGCTGATGATCCTGAAGCCAGCAAATTAAGTTATCTCCCTGGCTTAGCGGATGTAACCGAGGGATATCCTAACATAAATAGCTAGTGTGAAATATAATGCTAGTATAATGTTAACGTAAATACATATAATACATCTGCATCCGTACTGTAAGGATATTATATTCCTTAATTTATCATAATTATAAAGAGAAATTTGTGGAATTATGTAAAGAAATCTTTCAGTTTGGGTTAAAAGAACACAATAAACGTGAAGAAGAATGTAACCACTTCTTTAGTGCACTAAATGATGCTAAAAACGAAAATAGATGCATAGGAATAGATGCTATTAATATTTTTGAAGAATTTAAGAAAGCGGTAGGTTATGTTCTTATATCTTATTTTCTTTTCAAAATAGTGAATAAATTTTGTAATAATTGATAATACCCTATAGACTTTCGATGATATTATGCTTACGAGGGACGTACAAGTTGTAGAAGCTAAATTGCAAGAATTAAGTGATAAAGTACAATCTCTGTGGAATGATTTAATGGGACTGGAAATGCAACTTGTTGATCAGTTGGAGGTGAGTTGTTTTAGAAACTGTATTAGGCTATGGCTTAGGCTTGATGTAGTCATTAAATATATGCCTTCGTATGTAATCCGAAATACTATATAGGATACAATAAAAGAATTTGAAAGAAACATGGCTGAAATGGTGGCAGCATTTATAGAACATATTCAAGCTCTATTTGCTCAATGTCGTGATATTGAGAATCAGCACTTTGAAAGAGCAACAGAAATCGCATTAGAAACGCTAGAGAAATTAGTAAAAAATGAATTGGAAGAAGAATTACCCGATGACTTAAGAGTGGTAATGTTATCTTGACAAACGATTGGCTATATCTAAATATTGAGTAAATAAGAATGACTTTATATGTTTTCATTACAGTTATTTGTGGATAAAGATACAATTACTAATGCAGTAACTGCCTCACACGATGCACATCTTGTTAAAATTGACAATAAGGTTAGCAGATAATAATTAAATTAAGGTTTCATACTTAGATATTAACAAACGCTTTTTATTATTGCGGCAAACATCATAATGTAATTAGGAAGATGATATGGTTACGCGTGTTAATAATTGGATGCGAAATATGACTGATCAAGTTCATGAAGACGAAGTTAAGCGCAATCGTTCACGAGTTTTAGAAGTGACACATCTTATTGATCACTATCGTGATGAAATTGATAGTATTGAGTCACAAATGTAATATTGTTTACTCTTGAATGCATTAGTTATGGCTACTATCGATCTTGTTAACTTTTAAGATAAAATCATAATATGATCATTTTTTCTCACATTGAAATAAATATCAGAAATGTATAAAGGAACGCTTTTAGAATGTAATTATCAGTGTTTATATATATTCTAGTGGATGATGCTCTCGTTATCATCAAAAAATATGAAACTGTACATCTCATGGTAAATAATGTAAACACCTTTAGGTCTATTTCTACCTATTTTCTGATTAAGAGGTAACATTAAATTTCTGAACTTGTAAGCAAACAATACCTTTGTGTTTATATATAAAATTATTACAATAGCCATTACTATCTATAAATGTCTTAAATTATTGGTATCAATAGTCGAGCCATTTTGAAGAGCGATGGTTACAATATCACCGTTACTGATCAAATTATGCACTTAGTTGTAGTGAAGCATTGTAAAATGGGGGAATACTTCTGTATTAAGAAGAATTACTTAAGAATTTATTGATCTAGTTTATTTCAAGGTGCGGATAACCTGAAGAATGGCTAGATTTAGTTAATAGTAGAATCTGATGAATGTAATCTACTGTTATGATATCCAATGTATTAGTATTTGTTAGTGGAAATTCTATTACGGACGGTTATCACGTTCTTTTGCTATATTTCTTATTATTGTATAATCTGTAGGCAAAAGCTTGTTTAAATCACGATACTATTATCATGGTTATACTAGTAGATAAATTATCGCACAGAGCTATCACTTTTAACGAGAATGTACTGGCATTAATGTTATGACTTGCACCAGTCAATATTGGTATCACTAGATAAGATTCGTATCGTTCCACTGTATAGTGTTAGGATGCTTTTAATGTTTGCACCTACAATTAATTCCAGGCAACTATGACAATTAATACATTTATATTTCAAATAAGCCTGCAGTATGTCCTGTTATCAAGAACCAACTAGCCAGTAATTATTTATTTGCAATATTGAGGTGACGAACTTATGAACAGAATTGCTATTATCACATCTATTCAAGGCATAAAAAGTCAGTTACGCAACATAAGGATATACACATTACAATATAAAGAAATGTCTTTTTCTATATCTAATTCAAGTACAGCCCTATTACACTTGTGTAACAGCATTTGAAGAAACTATCAAATTAGGTGGTCATTATTCACAATTGATTGTAAATCTTTCAAACGGAAGTTTTTCCTCAAGTTCTTGATGCTTTCAAGCAGCATTCGCCAAAGTAAATGAAATTTCCAGTTGAGATATTAGCAACACAACCATAGTTATGCTTTTAAAGTTCATTTGGTATGCAAATTTAATCAATGACCGTAACATTTTGGCTACATTGGTAAAAGATTGCAGCTGCAGCAGTTTTTGACTTTAATTCAGAAACCTCCAAGTCGTGTGCCCATTCCACATTTCCCCACTTAGCAGTCTACAATATTTCATAAATATCAGTCAGTAGTTGTCAATTAACATAGTTTGTCACTGTCATCACATACTTGATAGTTTACTTCTAATCTTGCTAAATCAACTGCTTCATCAATAGTTATATGGCGATTAGTAACTGCCAATGCAATAACAAGTGACTTTAAGCTTTCAACGAGCACAGTTAAGCCTAAAAATAGGAAAGTATAATACGTATAATAGCAGTCCATTTCATTTATAACATATGCGCAAGCTGAACAATCCAAGAGATTAGCAATAGTATCCATACCGGTTAGTGACCAAGCATCTAGGCGCGATACTTCGTCTTGAATAGCATTCTTGACAGCTGGAGAATGATCAGCACCAGTAAAACTAGTACTACAAGATAACCGTACCTGAAATCTATTTAGAATGAGCAAAAGTATGAAAGAAATCGCATGTCAAGAGAATGTAATTGCGATAATCGCGAATGTAACTGTACCAAAATAAGTTTAAACTATGTTATAGCTTACCTATCATTCATCCAGTCAAGTAAAGGATTCCAATAATGATTTTGGACAGCAACAAGGTCATTAGGTTCAGTTGCGCGTATGCTAAAGTGGTTATAGTACGCATCCATACAAGACCGATTAAAATTCAGCATGTCTAAACAATAATCAACCAAGTTGCATTCCAATTTCAAAACGTGCATTTACCATATAGTGTCTGTGGCTAAATATTCCATGATTTGTGCTGTTTCAACTCTTAAATTATCGTTACGAGGTCGATCTAGAGCTCCATTACACATTACCGTCTGTCCAAAATAACGGTTACATCAATAATATGCAAGTACAGCATAGTTAGTTGATAGCAGTTTAATTATTCAAATTATTTTTAAGGTAATACTATCCAAATTATAGCCAATAGATAAATAGTTAATAAGAGATTTAAGGTAACGGCATGACTAAGACGTAGGAGAAATAGATAAAGTTCAACGTCTACATGTATAAATCGAATAGATAAATCTTATTTACGAATTAATTGATCCGATGAGGTCTAGCTGCGAGATTGCATTAGCTTTAGTTTAGATCGGCAGTAAAACTGTAGCAAATCTAAGGCATTTGTATCTCTAATTCAGAAAAACTATTGACTTAAATATCCATCAATAAAAAATAGCTTTCAGTTCTAATGATCTGAGAGCATCGTTGGATGCAACTAGCTATACTATTGCAACCTTACCAAAGGCATATTATGTGGAGCAATCTTTTTTCCTTGTACCGCCCACTCTGTAGCAACTGCTACTGCTAGTAATTCATTCGGCACAATCAACTGTTGCCCATTGCGAGTTTTCAATGGCTTAGAATCTAATTTAATCAAAAATCCTCCTAAAAATAAAAGTAGCATAGTATCTACTGTTAGAATGGCAGATATCGTACTGTCGGTCTTAGAAGCGTCGCAATTGATGAATGTTGATCATTTGTTCTCTTTTTTCACGCACTACAACATTTTATTCCATTACAGCACAAATATAGCTAATTAACGGTATTCGATGATACAATTAACCTAATCAAATCGTTATTATTTCGTTTTAGCCCTCTTACCTTGAATTGTTTCTATCGTCACATTCTTATAAAATCTTTTGATATCTGTTTCAATACCAAAGTATCATGGTTAAATACAGCTAAAAATACTGAATAGTTGCCATGTTACAAAGTATCTAAATCATCTATTTTCATGGATACCAATTGTTACATATGCCTATTACCAATACTGATATCTAATTTGTAAATTGTGTCCTATTTTGGACGATAGCACCAGTACTAAATGTCCATTTCTATCAGCGAAAAAGAGACGAACACGACTTTAGTCCATGCAGTATCGTAGAAAGAGGATAGAGTAGAGATTGAAGCGGACGATTTATTCCACACTAGCTACAGTAACGCGTGTATCATCCATAGTATGAAAACTAATACCAATTTAATGTTTACTAATCCAACTCAATCCCAACCAATGCAAATTATTTCTACATCATACATCGACACTAATCGACACCATGAGCAATTCTGAGGCCATCAGGCATCCGATTTCCCATTTGAAGATAACCATCGAGGTCGATGCATATGGTATAATAATCCAAGATTAAACGAAGAGACAAGCATAAAAAGTAAATTACCTCGTAGATTATTGGCAAAGGTAATTTCCGTTTGGTGTACTCGGCGGATAAACTGGTAGCGACGCTGCCAACATGATGCAAATCTGCTTGTGATGCTGCGAATACAAGCCAGATTAGCAGCCATGTTGGTGACCGGATAGAAGCAACTTGGTAGTGATTGGCTGATTTTACTAACTCCACTTGAATTACGCTCTCCTTTCAACTGTTTCCTATGGAATTTTACGCATGTATGATACAGTATAGTACCGTAGTAAGCACTCTAGTCTACCAACAACAATATACCGTCAAACGACGATGACAGCAAACTCGCTACAGACATCCGGACGATTGGAACACTTTCAAGCTGCTAGAAATGCCTGGCAACGACGATGATGGAATTCTTCTTGGTGAATTAACTCTGCTGCAGGAAACAGTTTAAGAGTATCTATGGAATACAATTTGTCAGAATTTCTAATGCTGTAGTAGTGAATATGGATGATAGGAGATAGTCGTTACCTCCGTGTTCACGCCGTAGAAAAATAGAACTATTGACGTCAACACTACCTCTCATGATTGTCTGCAAATGGTGCAATGGTTGGTTATACGCTTACGCGAGTTACTAGCAGTAGCAAGCTGACTAATTTCTTGAATTTGATTACAATAATAAGGGCCGTTTCTCGTTTCCATTAGCTCATGTGAACGGAAGGCAAGAGCGTACTATAGATGGTGCAATTTCACAATGATAGTCACAAGTTGCAACTGTCTCTCATAGCTTTAGTTGAAGTTAAAGCTGCATGCAATTGGTCTGCACATTTGTGTAATGTACAGTACTGTACTACTGTAAGTAGAAAGTTAACAAAGTTAATGTGCAACAGAAAGGATCAAGAACTCTCGTCATCCATCTGGATTTATTTACCTAGAGAATTTCAACCTAATTGACTGCTCAAAATTGGAAATCAATCCATAACCTTTTATAGAGAACGAGCAGTAATAACGCTAAAGACAACAGTTGTTAACTAGCTAGATCTATAGCATGTATATTACATTGTAAAAATAACAATTTTAGTGTTGATTTGCAACGGAAGTACGAGAACAACACATAACAATTTTTTATAGCTACCTTTTAGTACTTGGATTCTCTAGGAATTGCATAATATAAAAATACAGAGCATTAAATACATTACACTGCATATCATTTAGATCGTCCACGTAGCTCATAACTGACGCTGTTGCAACCACTTTAATGAGCTGCTGTTTTATCATTTATCAATTAAACATTGAATAGATGTAACGTAGAAAACGCAAATTATTGATCATAAAAACAGACCAAATTGCATTCCACTCAATGCATAGAATCATTAAACTTAGCCATTAGCGAAAAGATCAGGTTATAATACATTTCAGGTTAGATAGCGTATCTATTATTTTACAAATAGGATCTGAGCAAAAATTACATTCAGTTAAGGTGGTTTTGATTTCATGACGATAGAAAACTAGTGTACTAATATCTATACTGCATTATCAAATATTGTCGATTATAATTCGCAATATAAGCTCTTTCTTCAAATAAAATTACGTAAAAGAATCCATCTCTTCATTCATGATTTATGCCGTTACATTACTATCTGCAATTTGGCTACCATCGGGGTTACCGCCAAAGCCTGTTAAGCAATAATATCAACTTCGTTACAACCAGCATATACTCTTACGATTAAAATTAAAATCCATTAACAGTCTTTCTATCACGGTATACATCTACCTTTACTAGTGAATATTTCGCATATTATTTAAAATATTATACACTTACTGTCGGTAATAAGCCGCTGGGTATCGTTATTAGCAGTTGTTGAGCCTGATTCTTGATTCGTTGTGGTGAGTTTATGGACGAAGTATGCTACCAGAAATAATCCAGAACTTACAAGATACAACATCGGAAATAGCACTATTAAAGCAGTCCGTAAATTGGAAATGGCTGTCAGGGGTGGCACCAATAATGGCATTAAACCTCCTACAGTATATTTCCACAAATACGTAAATTAAACATAAGTTTGTTAGTAATTAATAATTTATAATTAATCAATTATGAGAGTATACACTGAAGTGTACTTGTTATTGAGCAAGCATCATTCATTCAAGAATATCCTATTCAATTTCTCTTACCGATATTAGTGATGATGAATAGATAGATTGCTATTGCTGAAGTTCGAATATTACCAGGTACAATCTCGACAACCACAGTCAGGGTAACACCAATCCACATTTCTCCAATTAAATTATTGGGAATTAGCATAATAAATGCAGCTGGTGGTGGAAGTAGTAAAGCCATGAGAGCAAAAGGTGCAGAGCACACCTATAATATTGTAATTATATCAAATACCAGAATAACTGTAAGAGTGTGCAAGGAAATATGAATTGTGTTCAAACTTATCTATTTGAAAAATGATCTAGATTGAGTACCTGGCTAGCTATTAGTACCCATATACGGGCTTTCAAACCATAAGATGTAACTAAACGATCTGAAATTACACCACCTAATAATGATCCTAAAGAACCAGCAACTAAAGGAATCCAAGTGAGATAATCCGCAACCAACACACGTGGATAATACTGATTAAAGAAAGGTTTTGTATTATAAGCCCATACGTAGCCGGCAGCATTTCTAATCGATCCAGCAATGACAAGGCATAATAAAGTATAATTTTTGAATGGAGCGATGGCTATTATAGGTATTACCGTAGTAGATAAAATAAGATATTAGAAATCCATCAAAAAGTTATTCAAACTATTGTTAGTCATGTGCTATCTTATATTCATAAAACGAATTTGATAAGCAATAGATTCTCTTCATTAAGTTAAAAGGCATGAAGCCACAAACATACCAGCTTTAATACGTATCCATGAAAACCCCTTTGGCGTATTTAATGACGCATCCCTATTAGTTTTGGGAGGTTCTCTGACTGTAGCAAATATAACAATTGCAATGACGAAGCCAGGAATTGCAGCAAACCAATATACCCATCGCCATCCCTGATTTAAAATATTTGCTTTAACGACATAATCGCCTAAGGTAAAAGATAAACTATAGCCCGTATAGATTCCCCAATTATATATGCCAATGGCAGCTGCGCGAAGGCTCTAATCCAAAAATATGGCGTATTGTAGCATAAGTTATTGATGTGCTATTTTCAAGGTATATTAAGATATTTTTGATGTCTTGAAGTAAGCTTTACTATATTATGGAGTTATAGGCTATAGCGTTGACTTACAGAAGGAAAATAATCTGCAATAATACTTGTGGCAAACGGTGTGCAGCCTGCTTCCCTATATAATAAAATACGCCATTAGACTACTAAATAGCATAATGGCATAGTAGCATTTTGTAACGTAATGACGTTAATAGAATCTTGTGCCTACAGTTTTAATAGATTAATCATAACTCTATTCAACTACGTTATCCATCACAATCTATTAAACATGCTAGAAATACTGTTTATTACCCAATACCAACGGCAAAGCGAAGCAATAAAAGCTGCCAGTATTTTTGAGTAAATCCAGTAATGAATGTCATAGTACTCCAAAAAAGTAAACAGCCAGCAAGGAGATTACGACGATTAGTCATGTCTCCAGTTGCTGCTAAAGGAATTCCAGCAAATGTATACACAACTACAATCAGAATATGATGAGAAGAAAAGTTATTCACCGTCAAACGTCATTTAAACACCTGTGGTTGTTAAAGTGATATTATATACATGTATATATCGAAAATAAGACCATTACCTATAAATGCTGGTCCAGCTAGTAATTCGAATAACACTCCTTGTCCATTATAATTATACATACAGACATGTTCACCAAGATGGCTAACTTTACTGTCACACCTAAGTGTAGGTATAGAAATACTGGTAGATTAATCATAAACTTGTATTGCATCGATCTGTATTAATACTCGCTAACAAAATCCTTGTTACAAAAAATTGAAATCAGTATAAACGGAAGAATCTTCACCCTGGATATAAGCATATCGTAATAAAAATAATAATCTTTTCACTTACATTGATTCCATTTGATGAGCTGTTAGAGTTTTATTGATGATTTCACATGATATATTTCCAACTTGGGCTTCGCTATAGGATGTATTAAGTAGGCAGCCTTTATCACCCCAATGCATATCTTGAGCAATATAAATGGACGTAACACCAATAGCATAGCGATCAAGTTGATTTAGTAGATATGCCAGCAATAATATAATGAGTACGTAAAATGGATACCATCCAACTTTACGAAATTCTAAGATACTTTGCTTGATATTCATGATTTGACTTTTGTTTTTACGGACTCAACTTCAGAAAGCTACGCCAGAACTTGAAAGATTTAATGCAGTTTTACGAATCTTATAATATAGACAATAATCTATCAATAAGTTTGAAAACTTTGAAGCATCAACATGACTATCTCGTCCAGTAATTTATTAAAGTTGGTGGCAATCTATAGTAAAGTTCAAATCAAGCTAGGATAAAATATTACTCTATTCAGTCCAAGAATTTGATATTCTTTCTGCAGCCAATCTGTAACTTAATGGAAAAATAATAGCTATAAACGTTCTGAAGCAGTTAATATTCGTTTATAATAGTCTAAAGGACTTGATCCAATTCTAGGATAGCCAAGTAGCCGAAAAGAAATGCCATGTAACACTTTCAATTTGGCAGCAATTCACAAGCAGACAGTCAGTTAGTAAATATAGACCTCGATATACTAGAAATTTATATAATGATCAACTTTGACGAAAATCTTACGCTTATATAAGTCGTATTTTTACTACCATTACTCGATCATGACTACTTATAGCATACGTATACAGTCGATAGGCCTTTATTCTACGCAGTAAAGTGTTTGCATTCTTTTTCTTACCTCTGCTAAAGGTTCTATGTTTCAAGTAGCCACTTTCTGGATATGTTAGTGCCAGGTACCAAGCCCATAACATATACTGTATACTTAATAGAAATACGAATGGGTCTTACTATGCTATGAATTACTAACTACTCTAGGCCCTACTGTATACTATAAGTCCATAATACCGACTAAAACAATTGCTAGTCCTTACACTACTGTAGTAAACTGCCGCAATTTAACACTTTCTCCAGTATAAACTATTTCTTCACGATAAACTAGTAGAAAGAGTAAAATCTACTATTAGAGATCGGATCTCTTGACTGTTGTAATGGACACTATATAGTGTATAGTATTGCTTACAAAGGTCATCTAATATGTAGTCAATAATTATAATAAACTAGTATAAGATGATAGCTAGTTCATTATTTTGCTAATACTTAATAGGTATACTAATGGGTCTTAATATGCTATGAATTGCTAACTACCCTAGGCCCTACCGTATGCTTTAAGTCCATAATTCCGACTAAAAGAATTGCTAGTCCTCACACTACTGTAGTAAACTGCCGCAATTTAACATTTTCTATAGTATAAACTATTTTTTCACGATAAACTAGTAGAATGAGTAAAATCTACTATTAGAGATCCGATCTCTTGACTGTTGTAATGGACACTATATAGTGCACAGTATAGCTTACAATGGTCATTTAATATATAGTCAGTAATTACAATAAACTAGTATAAGATAGCTAGCTCATTATTTGCTAAGAAAATATGGATCAGATCTGATCCGTTTAAGTTATTTGTATCGGCGATTAAAAATGATTTATTCGAAAATAATTTATTAACGCTCACTGACAAACGTCTCACTTTCTAAGCAAGATAATTCTTTAGAAATTATTGGAGTAAAATTGCAAGTCAAATCATCAAGTCAGTGCTAGAAATAATTCATGTTGAGGTAATTTTAATGTCAATAATACTAGGTTAACTAGAAGTATCAATTATAATTTATGCTATAAAAGCAATGAATATATATGAATGTATCTTAGGGAAAGGCATTGCAAATAAAGCTGTAAGAGTGCTTTGAACCATTTTTTAGTGCTACTTCTCTATTCACTCTCTTCAGTTTACACGATACGAAAGTATAAGTTACTACCTCATGAGTATATAGCGCACCGTAATGAATTGAATTTATTAAGCAGCCCATAAAAGAAGCTATGATTGCGATTAAAGGAATTGAAATCCAACATTTATCAGTCAAAAAATGGAATCAGAATGGTAAAATCAATTACCATCTGCAGTACAATAAAGTCAGATATAGCCAATTCTATTTAGACAGACTTCTAACCAATAATCAACATAAACAAGATAAATATCCCTTAATTGAACATTTTTGTTATATTCTAATTGCTATTTTATTCCTAAAGATCGAAAAAACGGGAGTATTTTTAGAAGCACTTTGTATAAAAATACCAATTTACGGGTACTGATTCCATTCTAGTAGATGCATTTAAACTACGATTAGTAATCTAACTTTTAAAGCAAGAATATTTCACAGGCAGAAAAAAGGCCAATAATTCATGAATTGGACCTTAGGGTTCTTAGTTGAACTGTTTTACCATAGTTTATTCGCGGACAAGATCCACATAACAAGCATCTCGACATAGGACGAAAATTTAGAGTTGAAGTCATCGCATCAAAGGATTTAGTTTATCTGCCATCTTGATCACTATTCACTTTCGTCACTTTCTAAAGAAATAAAAGATTTGATAAGAGAATAGCGTTGACATAGAGTAAAGTTTTCGATTATTGCTCTATCTAGCAGTATTTTTAAATGTCAAGACTGTAACAGCCCGTAGTTGAGTATGGTAAACAAAGTATTAATCACAAACTTACTATCAGTAAGCAGTCGCTTCGTGTCGTCTATAGTGCCTGCTGAGACTGAATCTTTTTCGTTTTCTTTACTTGTAAATTTATGCACCAAGTATGTTACCAGAAACAGTCCAGAGCTTACAACATACAACGATGGAAATAGCACTATTAAAGCGATCCGTAAATTTGAAGCGGCCGCAAGAGGAGGCACCAATAATGGCATTAAACCAGCTGCATTTCGATATATAAATTGAATACAGGTGTTGTTATAAATTTCTGTACTAAGAATATTATTGGGAGTACATGCAACAGAACCAAAAATCTTTGAAAGATCATTTATTATTCAAGTACGAATATACCTCCATTCGATTTTTCTTACCGATATTAGTAATGATAAAGAGATAGATTGCTATTGCTGAAGTACGAATATTGCCAGGTACGATCTCCACTATAACAGTCAGAGTAACACCAATCCACATTTCTCCAATTAAATAATTGGGAATCAAAATAATAAATGCTGCTGGTGGTGGCAATAGCAAGGCCATGAGAGCAAAAGGCGCAGAACACAACTATAATATTATTATGATACCTTATTGCGTGAAATATTGTATAACTCATACCGTTTAAAAGTAATCGAATAAATAATTTTAATAATATAGTTGATACCGTAAAATTATATTTAATCAAAGTCAATTACCTGGCTAGCTATTAACACCCATATTCGAGCTTTCAAGCCGTAAGATGTAACTAAACGATCCGAAATAATTCCACCTAGCAGAGATCCTAGAGAACCAGCAATTAATGGAATCCATACAAGATAATTCGCGACCATTACTTGCGGATAATATTGGTTGAAATAAGACTTTACATTGTAAGCCCACACATAACCTCCAGCATTTCTAATAGATCCAGCAATGACGAGGCATAATAAAGTATAATTTTTGAATGGAGCAATAGCTTTTGAAAGCAAGAGTAAAATTAAAAATCATGTAAATAAATCATCGTGATAAGTAAGAGAATATGATATTGCACTTATTATGGTTTATGGCCGATAGTACCTGTATAGTGTACTCTTAAATGTAAGGCCTATGCTTTTATTACAAACATACCAGATTTAAAGCGTGTCCATGAAAGCTTTTCTGACATATTTGAGGATTTATCTTTATGCGCTTTTTGAGGTTCTTTGACTGTAGCAAGTATAAGAATGGCGATAATGAAACCAGGAATTGCGGCAATCCAATACACCCATCGCCATCCCAGATTCAAGATATTTGCTCTAACAACGTAATCACCTAACGCAAAGGATAAACTATAGCCTGTATAGATTCCCCAGTTATATATAGAAATGGCAGCAGCCCGAAGATTCTAATTAAAAATGTTAAACTGGATAAGTTAATGATACACTATATCCAAAGTTAATTAAGAACCTGTACTAGTATCATATGCAAGTTTACATTATGATTAACATGGAATTATCGTATTTACTGAACTTACCGAAGGAAAGTAATCGGCGATAATACTTGCTGCGAACGGTGTACATCCTGCTTCTCTATAATATCATATTAGCAGCTATATTATTATCAATGGTATCATTTATCAACAGTCTAACATATTGATATAATATAGAATTGAATCTACTAATTATTTCATCTAAGGTATCTTGTATCAATAGTTAAACATACTTATATTAATATAGAATTGAATCCACTAAAAACTTCTAATTTTAATAATTTCTTTTACTCTTAATAACTATCAATAATACTGAAATTAAGTACCCAATGCCAATTGCAAAGCGAAGTACTAAAAGCTGCCAGTACTTTTCAGTAAATCCAGTGATGAATGTCATAGCACTCCAGAAAAACAAACAGCCGACAAGAAGATTACGACGATTAGTCAGGTCGCCAATTGCCGCTAGAGGAATTCCAGAAAATGTATATACCACTACGAATAGGACAAAAAGCGGAATAGAAGAAAAATATGACTTGTAATAGCAGGTCATTTTACCAACTATACAAGATTAATGTCATACAGGTAGCGAAAATAAGGCCATTACCTATAAATGCTGGCCCAGCCAATATTTGAAATAATTCTCCCTGTCCGTTGTAATCGTACTTACAGACATGCTCACCGAAATCATTAACTTTGCTGTCACATCTAAATTAACAGACAAGGGATACAGTAGACTAATTACTATATAAAGTCTTTTATAAACTTTTGCTACATCCATCAGCAATTAATATCCGCTAATACAGTCCATGCTATGATAAAATGAATTGGTATAACGGTGGGATAAACATGAAGCTAAGAATAAAGCAAGAAAAGTGAATACCATCAATCACTTACATCGATTCAATTTGATGAGAAGTTAGAGTTTTGTCATGGATTCCACACGATATATTTCTAAATTGGGCTTTACTATAAGACGTGTTAAGCAGGCAGCCTTTATTGCCCCATTGCATTTCTTGAGCAATATAAATGGATGTAACACCAATAGCATAGCGATCCAGTTGATTCAATAGATATGTTAGTAGCAGTAAAATGAGTACATAAACTGGATAGCACCCAATTTCACGAAGCTCCAACACTTTTCGCTTGATACCCATGATTCTACTTATACTAGGATACGGCTTAAAGATTTAGTGTAATTTCATGATATTTTTAAAATAAGTCACAAGCTTTCTTGGAAATATTGATGTATTCCGATAGCTGGTTCGTAGTAAATGCTGATGCGAATTTTCCTAAAATTGAAATCAACTAAGGATTTAAAATGAAGCTTTCAGTTAGAGATTTATTCCTTCTTTCCACAACCAACCTTTAGTCTAATTAAGAGATGATAGTGTTTGGCTTCATTAAGCTTTTAATTTATAATTTATAGCTGGTTAAATCTCATATTCTCATATCTGATTAATTGAAAAGTAACATCATTAGGATTACAGTAGAGTTACAAGTAAAGTTCTGTAGTCGACTCGCGTCAGTAGACTTGTGTTCAAGTTTTGTATGGCACTGTTTTATAAGGCGAAAATCCCATCTCGACCAAAGAGCATGTTATCGAGTCGTAAAATAATATTCCGGAGGGACATTTATAAGGGTTTATTCTTAAGCGATTTGCATAATTGATAATATATTCCAATGGCCGGTCTCTAGGGAACCCCATACTTTCTCTGAGAATTAGTGAATGGATTCCAACTATAGCGTATTAGTAGCACATGACCAGACAGCAAGCAGAAAGAACTACACCACGGTATAAAAGTTATATATATTGGTAAATGAGCACTGTAATTACCATCTCACAAAGTGGATAAAATGCAAATTGCTCTCATACGGTACTCAGTACAATACTTTCTTTCCCAAATTTTTGTCCAGGAGTAACCAGTTCCATTGACCTTTTTTTGAAGTAGTCTTGTCGTGTAGTTACGCCACCAAATTGCGCCATTAGATCTTCGAGAAAGATGCAATTTACTGTAGTATAAAGTATCTGATTTTACATGATGCCAATCAAAATGATGAAAAGTTCGTCAAATCTTACTAGATAAATGTGGACAGCATGACCAAATCTTTATTTACTCTGGTTCTGGCATAACCAACATGGAAAGAATTATGCGCCATGGATAAGCGATTACTGTGGTAGATGCCTTTACTAATTAGGAATGGACTCCATTAAGGACTATTAATAACTGTCATGAGTATGACAATTGCTTCATTATCTGGATGCTTATTGTACTTTATAAATCTGACAATTATCATTGCATAGTCCTATATAATGATACTTTTGATGAACTACTTTCACAACAAGAGATTGCCCATGCAGTCGTAGATGATTATAATTCATCTAATTATTCCATGAAACACAGTATTTGATTTAGTATAGTAGATATTTCTGTAATAAAACCTAAGGAGAGTTAGCAACTACGGATTATTTCCTTTAAGGCTTTATAATTATAGTCACTTAGTGAAAGATTATGGATGTTACGGATATCTATTTAGTATAACCAAATATACTTCAGCCCTCTTTTATCGGGTGGGGGTTGGGATTATAAGTTATTCATAACTGGTGACCGTTTGCGTTGACGGATTATTTTATAGCTCATACTATGTTGTACTGTATAAATCTGATCATATGCAATTTCAGGAAGTGAAATGCTATATTTTATGGACTAGATAAAATAAATCATTAGTTTATACAGTACCATGCAGCTTTCATATAAGAATGTTTTGGAGGGCGTATTCAGTTACGAGAGATAGAGTATTGTAAATATCGTGAACTCCTAAATATTGGTGCATTACGCGTATTTCCATCGCATTATTAATTTTAGCCCTTTTAAATTAATACAGTATACTATCATTACACTATTATCGAAGCACAGTTTCCTGCTTAAACTTTACTTCCTGCTACTGTCTAGAAGTGGTAGCGGACACAATCGATGGCACACTGAGAAAATGTACGGGGTTAAATGCTAAGCGAGGAGCGATTGATAAAAGCTAACTATAATTTGCTAAAAAAAAGTGCTGATTATTGTCTAACAGGCATAGAAGCAACGCTAATGGTCGTCAATATTCTAACGACTAGCTTATATAGTATTCTAACGAGTCTTTTCCTTCTTTTGAGTATTTAACAACAATTTTTGGTACAGTACTGGTACTAGATATGAGAACACGCATATTCGGCAAAGAAAAAGTACGGCGCGAAAGTATTGTTTTAATTTCGGGATTACAATATAGTTTGAGGGATTTTTATCAATAGTAGCCGAAGCTTCTTGTTCTGATGGAAAATTAATCAAGGAGATTTTTTTAGTGTAAATCTATCAACTTGAGCTTCTGGAAGCTGACAGGTTCCTTCATTATCTGTACGATTTTGTATTACGAAAACTAAGAATGGTCGTTCCAATTCATGAGTATCACCGTGCATGCTTTCATTCTTTTCTTGCAGTGCTTTATGCGATTCATTTAAATGTCGCTGCCGAATACTATGCACCAGCATCACATCTATATTCAAAATCGAGATCATTTTCTTTACAGTTACAGGGATAACAGTTGCATCAATTGAAGCAAAATTGGAGCAATACAACTATAATAAAGACACCATCAGTTATTGAAGGGTTTGGATAGATTGAAAATTCAATAAAATAATTCTCCAGATTCTATTTTTTCAGTGCGTAAATAATATTATCACCATTTTTGACTGAAACTCAAATTGGTGAAAGTATTGCATGTTAAAGTTCATTTATGATATTCCTTACAACAGTATTGATTCCGTTTGAATAAAAAATATCCAACATATTTATGTTCTGGAATAAAGGTATCAACAAAATTTATAGTAAAAAAAAAGAAAAGATAATCATTCTAGTACCGAGAATTCGATAGCTATTGTTCACTATCGTTTGTCGCTCGCTTTATTCAAGACGGAAAGGATGCATTTAAACCCAAGTTCAGATTCCTGTATTGACTCGATATTGCAGATTCCAGCTATGATTTTAAGATTCTGATTCTGAACGGCCGTCGTCTTTTCGATTTTAAGATCAAATCAATGCTAGACATGATCATTATTAAAGTTCAGCCTCAAGTTATCATCGATATCGAAGAGTTACACAGCTTTACCTATAGAAATTATTTAATTTAGGTAAAATTATAGCGGTACGCTAGAGTCTGGCTTTGTAGCTAATGTATGAGACGAAAAATCAAGCGGAAGTACTATCCTACAGGATATTAGTCAACGTCATATCTTGAAAGTAAATAGTAGTGATAAGCGAATATCAATACGACACTAGCTGGATTACACGTCATGAAATATCTGTATTCTCTTGGTATTAAGAGTTATTATCCAATGATATTACTATATGGCGAGTTAACGCTCAAATCGCGGCTACTTGTATAGGAAATCGATGATGCTAATATAACAGAGGTTGCAGGTGAATGTTTTGTATAAATGAATTATATAGCAGGTGAAATGCTGTCCAAGATAAAACTAAACCTTGATATCACTCATGTTAATTAATACATTATAATAATTCAACGAACTCCACAGTCTGGCATAAATATTAGTTTAAACTTCCTGCTGTCTATTTAAAGCATAGCTTGCGAGAAATAAAATAACAAGCGAACATTTTGTAATCTATAAACTTCATTCATATAAAATATTTTTCAAGTTAACTTTGATGTTATCATACTACAGTAAGCAAGGATAAGATATCATTGTTATATTGTCTTATGATGTCCATGTTCAATTGTTCATGTTGTACTGTATATAAGTATATAATCTGGTTGAATATAAGCAATAATTGATTGCTTTGATTCGATTCATGTAATTATGTAGAATACTTTATGACAACGCTATAAAACTAAGATAAGATACAAATTTTAGAGAATAGCTTAATGAATCATAATTGACTTTTTATTGACAACCTTTCGCTATCAATAGCAATTATTCAATTCTACCTACAATTTATAATAGTGGCCATACACAGATTTAATTTGTTATATGAAATTTCCAATACGTAGGTTAATACTTTTAATAACTGACGCAATTCATCAATTAAGTGGTTGTATTATACAGTATTAAAATTAATGGACTTGAAACAATCTAAGACTTGGCAAAAACTGATAAAAATCTTGAGATTATGATTTACCCCATATCCAACCCCGTACCAAGCCACCAATACCACCGCTTTTCTTTTGTTCCATACGATGATCCAAAGATGGAAACTCCACGTAATTATTAGCAATGTCAAAGAAAAGAGGTTTACAAGGGATAGGTTCGAATTGCGGCGGAAATTCAACTAAATTTGGCTTGTCCGTCAATGTCGAAGGATCCGAATAATAAACATCTAATCTTTCGCTAAGAGGCTATGTGAATAGTAGGCAAAAAGTTTTAATTAGCAAAGTTACCAAGGTACTGTAAAATATCAGGAAAATAAAAATAAGTGCAATTCATATCGAGGACCAACACACTAATTCATACCTGTTGGCGTAACTGCTCGATCGACTCAATGGTACTTCCTTCTAAATCGTCACCTGGATGGTGATACGCGAATATAGCATTTCATAATGTTGAGATCATTAATATTCCTTACTTAAGTTAAAATCTTAAATATAATCATTCGTATTAAGTTATTAATCTTGCGCTACCGACGCTTACGCAAAAAACTGTACCTGATAGCAATTTTGCATGAGCTACACACTTTTGTCCACGCGCCATAGAAATAAATCGTTCAAGCCGCTGTAAATATAACTAGTGAGGATAATGGCTTATGATTAGAGATGGTATTAGAGCGATCCTGATTATCAAGTATTTGCATTGACAAGATTTTTACTTGGGATTTCCTTTCTTCGCATTCCTTGAATCTTTCAATAGCATCACTACACCGAGTTATAGTCTTTTCAAATAATGCCATAGCTTCGTGCCACTTATTAGCAAATACATAGGTCAATCCAACGTGGTAACACCTATATCCATCCAAAATAAATAAACGTAATTTATAAGATTATTGTTCCAGTTGATATAACTCATAAACTATGCAAAGTAATCACATTCCTAAAGGCCTTGAATGCCTGCGTTTCTGCCATAATACTCGACGCTAAAGTTTCATCATCTTCAACACCAGCAAGTTGCAATTTGTCTCCTAAAGTCTGAGTTAGAATATTTAAAGTATGCATACTTAGCAACTGTAGATGAGTATATCTTATCAATCTAATGCAAGATTAAGATAAGAGAAATGTCAATTAATCATTTCCGAATTCATAAAGGTAAAATTTTCGCTTTCATTATGGTAGTGCAATACCTGTAATGCAATATCATACAGCCTAACTAAATCGTCTGGTTTAGTCGGTTTATTTTTCGATTTACTAGAACCAGTACTTTCAGGTAGTTGCATACGCTCTTCCAGAGAATCAGCCATGACAATATTTCTCTCAATCGTTATGCAATATTTAAGGTGTGAAACGTATGATAAGAGGTCAAGAGCCTGGGATTCCCCTCTAGAATGAAAATTCTTTGCGGATGCCTAAAACGATGATTTCAATATCAGATATGTGCTGTTGGTTTAGTAGTTTAACTACTATTCTATTCTAAATCTATTAACCTACCGATGCGTCTGATTTTAGCGAATCTTTAAGTATTTGCAAAGCGTCTTTGCACTCCATCAAGATACCGTCATAGACATCAATTCTACTGTCATAATCTGTGGCTCTAGCCAATTCTTCCGAAAGACCATGATAACGGAGAACCAAAACACGAATTTCTTCAGAGACTATGGGAAGTTTCTTACCAAGCCATATCACTTCGTGAAGGGTAGCCGCTTGTTTTTCTCTTAATTGAGTAATAGTCCGCTGAAATAAACAATCAATGATTTCAGAGAAAGTTCATGCTTATGTCAAAGTACTTGCAGCCTTACGTTAATTTTAGCAGCTAATAGATCTGAGCCGCCAGGAGCATTCTTCAATTGCATTAATTCTTTAACATCAGCACTTGATTCATCTAAATTAAACAGGCAGTAGCGAATATTTGGTGCAACTTCGTTAGCACGCTGACTGTAGGTTGCAGCTTCACTTTCTATTAAAATTCCAGCCAATTCTTCATAGATTTTTCTAACAATTTCGTTGATTAATTAATTAAGCAATGAGAAGATTACTCCTGTGCAAGAAAAACTTGATATCGGCGATAAATAAGAACTACTGTACAACATGGATGACACAAAGAATGATTACTCCTATCGGCCAGCAAAATAGTTATTCTTAATCGTTAATTTCATTAACATATCTAATTGTCATGTAAAGGGTATAACGTAATGTCCTTGTAATTAATAAATCCTACCAAATTCATATTAAAAGCAAGAACTATCATTTCCACTTACTTTGCACGAGAGAAGAGTTCATATGACTTGTCCCATAATTGTAGTTCAAAGTTTAGGTTAGCTGCCATCCATGAGTAATAAGCCTACAAGTTTAAAACAGAAAGCTTGACTTTGAATAGTGAACAGGTTATACGAGGGTATGAAAATGCTCCCATAGCGGATTAGTCGCTGTATGTTAAGAATAAAGAATGTAGATCATCTTCATATTCCTATTTAAGAATCTGAAATGTAGTAATTATAATGATGTATGGCATTGAATATGGCCACTATCAATCGTGATCATGTACTGTAATATCGAAAATTATTCAATATGTATTCAATAATACGTCCAATTGAATCATAACTAGGCATGGACAAATTCTTATAAGACCGTTATCCTGAGGAATTAATACTGTAGTATCGTTGAGCAGCAAGACACTTCTTTTGATGATGGACGTGAAATCAGTTTACCTGAGCTTCTAGTTTGGTGCGAGCATCGTAGCCTTCATCATCGCTTAATTCGTGTAACATTTTAGCATAATAAACTGCTTTCTTCATTCGGCGAATCAAATGGAATCTTTTTCGTATTTCAGTATTGGATAACTGCTTCAACTCCATAGCATAACTCCAGGCGCGTTCGGCACACATTAGCGGCAAGTAAAGGTACCTAATTATACGATGACAGTTCATTGTAGTGAATTGTAGAAATGTTACTTTACTATGAGTAGGGCTTTCACACAATATTATAGATAACTACAACGGTGCAGCAATGGTAGTCATCTTTGATCCAATTCAGTCGGTTCGATGCGATGATTTTGGTCAACTAGTTACTACATAACGTGGTAATTTGTCAATTGGTCGTTTTACTTTCGGTTAACGACTACTATAAAATGTAGTAAGCTGTCGTGTGGCAGGAACAATTTTGTACCCGACGATCGTGATTGATGAACAAGTAAAACTATTTAATTTTAGTTGTGACTGAAATTTCAATGCATCCAATCAATAATATGCGGTATCCTATCATCCCAACTATGAGCAGAATGTATCGAATATCCTATTGACAACGTTTCCATTTGATCATTTGATATACGCTTGGATATTAGCTTTCATTCTGTATTGAATAAATGAACGCAGTAGCAGAGCATCATCTTACCGAACGTCTTTGGATGCAATTTCCGTGGTTATTGCCTTCTTCCTAAAATGATGGCGATTACCATTGACAAAATGTAACGATTTCCTAAGCCTCCGTATTCTTCTACTGCAGTATTGCCTAGATAAAGAGTAAGACATAACCATTATGAATATCCATTGGTTGTATCCTGGTCGTTGGTGATTATTAAGAACCCATTGAAAGTGGCCATTTTAACAGCCTAGCATAGGTTGCTGCAGTATGATGAATGTACCTGTATCGTTGGTAATCGCCATGGCGTAAACCGTGCTGATTTTGTGCATTTTTGATGACTAACAAAACTATATAGTATATTAAAAAAGAAAATATATTGGTTAGCAGTATAATAAATGGACATGCAGTCAACAAAGTGTATCGGCAAGTCATGGAATCATTTCTGTGCCATGCCCTTTCCCTTTGCATTCGCTGACGCTATCATGAGTGAACAAGGCTGTCGACTAATTTTGCTGTCTATCGCTTGTTTCTTACTCTTTTACTTTTTTTTATTGAAGTAAAAAGAATGACTAATAAGTAAGCTATCCATTTTTAAAGAAGATTAAGCACCTTCCAAAGGAACTTTAATGGCTTCATTGGCCAAATCGTCTTGGTGGGTCTCTTCCTTTCCACCGACAGTCATGATGGATGTCGCTTTCACGTTGAAACGGAATGGTTTGGTAGAAAGCGAGTTGTACTATACTGTCCTTACTGCGCAGTCGCTGGAGTACAGTACACAGTAAGAAGTGTACTATACTGTAGACTGTACTGTTACACTGTGGGGTACAGTACAGTACAGTTGTACAGTACAGTACAGCACAGTACTGTACAGTACAGCACAGTACTGTACACTGTACAGTACAGTACAGTGTACAGGAGAGTAAAGTACTGTAGACTCCAGTGTAAAGTACTGTACACTGGACTCCTGTACAGATATTCGAACATGCGCATGCTCTAGCATTGAGATGACGATATCAGCACAAATTAGATTAACAGCTTTAGTATGAGGAAAAAAGAGTGTCCCAAAATGTGGACCCATTTTTCATACAAAGCCAAATAAAATGTGTCCAGACTTTCCGGACGCCCTCAGTACAGTACAGTACAGTACAGTTATACACTGTACAGTACAGTATAATATACTGTACAGTGGGGTGGTCTACAGTACTGTACTGTTCGGTACTACAGTATATTGTACTTGTAAAGTTCCCTCCATGTGCTTCTCTATCAAAACCCTTCCAATTCAACGTACTGTATCATGGTGCTGCCTACTTCAGTCTGTCAATAAACTGGAAATAGGCACAGCAGGTACGAGAGATGTTGCTTACTCTGATCTCATTTGTAATAGTGACGTATAAAAATGAGCTGTATAAATCAATACTCTACTGTATCTACCCCAACTTGGATGGTTCACCAACTGCATGATCAGATTTGACAGTGACTTCTACAAAACTGTACAGTATACAGTACAGTACTGTACTGTACTGTACTATACTGTACAGTACGAAGCCGTACAGTATAGTGTACAGTACAGTAGTACTGTACTAGAGGAGCCAGAATGGACCTGAGACCCGCTCCGAGCACCGTGACACTTTTGTACTGTACAGTACTGTACTATAGTGGAGGAGAAACGCGAACCTCTCCTTCTCTTGCAGTCATGGACTTACGGACTACGGACCCGTGGTAGAGCCTGTGCCCTACTGTACGGTACTGGAATGTGGAGAACAAAGGCGAAGTCGCGAACCTCTCCTTCTAGCGCAGTCACGGACTAACGGACTACGGACCCTGGGTAGAGCCTGTGCTATCACTTTACTGGAGAAGTACAGTACAGTACTGTACTGTACTGTACTGTGCTGGAGAAGGCCGAACCTCGGCCTGGATCGCAGTCATGGACTGATGGACGTATAGTACTGGAATGTGGAGAACAAACGCCAACCTCTCCTTCTCTTGCAGTCATGGACTTACGGACTACGGACCCTTGGTAGAGCCTGTGCCCTATGGTACAGTATTGTGCTGGAATGTGCAGAACAAAGACGAACCTCTTCTTCTAGCGTAGTCACGGACTTACGGACTACGGACCCTGGATAGAGCCTGTACCCTACAGTACTGTACTGTACAGTACTGTACTGGAATGTGGAGAACAAAGGCGAACCTCTTCTTCTAGCGGTTCTAGCGCAGTCACGGACTTACGGACTACGGACCCTGGGTAGAGCCTGTGCTATCACTTTACTGGAGAAGGCGAACCTCTGCCGCGATCGCAGTCATGGACTTATGGACGACGGACCTTGGGCATAGACTCTGCTACAGGCCTTCAGGGCACCGTCCAGTACTGAGTGTTCAACACCGACTTGTACACAAGGGGTCGATAAAAAAGGTCTCCCACTGCCCCACCCTACTCTCCTATACTGACAAATAGAGGACGCAGTCCTGTCCCAGCGTCGATCAAGGCAATACTGCAAGAAGTGAAGAATCTTGATCAACTGCCATCATTAATTGAATGATCAATAATATCCACTTGCTACTTTGCAAAAGGGATATCTCTCCTTTGACGACCTTCAATCAACGCTATTGCCGTCTAGGATTGACTCCAATCTCCACAGTCACTTTTTCATACCAGCTTAGTCTACAAATAGAGTTGACCGATTGTTACATATAGTATTGGTAGTGCGCTTGTTGGAAGTGAAACACTCCCCACCCCCACGGTTTAGCCAAACACCATGAAGAAACAGTTTATGAGAGCTAAACAAATTGCTAATCAAAGCATTGGAAGGTAAATGGATAGTGTAAGATAATCTTGAATAGAGCTTTATTCATTGATCAGTGGTTATCGCCTAATGGTACGGCTGTATCATTTCATGCAAAAGGAGAAGGAGGGATGGATCAACATGATACTACAAACTTGACCTTGTGTATCTTTTCTCATCTGTACTGTATCTTGACAACGATTGCTATGCACTCTCTTAATGGATTAAATGGTAGCATCCTTCCGTTACCGTAGTCATCAAATCGTTCAATATTCCTCTATTCATTCATTGATAGTCATAACCATCTCTATACAGTTGTAGAAAAGAGATGCTCTCGCTTGATCAGTTTCCTTGTTTGCAAGCACTAAACCATCAACAGCAACATGATGGTCAAGGGGATAATTCAATCGATCCAAACATCATGCCATGTACATTGTACAATTGGTGTAGCTTAGACACTATCTAAATATCTATACTTTGACCATCAACAGCAATATGATGGTCAAGGCGATAATTCAATACATGATCATCGATCAATGGATCCAAACATCATGCCATGTACAATTTGTGTAGCTTAGACTTTATGTAAATATCGATACTTTGTAATGGTGTAAGTAAAGTAATATGCGTAATATTTATAGGTGCGATAGATGAAGTTTATATCAATTCAATTAGATACATTATCCCCATAATAATACAACTATTATTATAATTGTGCATATTATTTCCTCTTAAGAGCCTAATTTGCTGTTAACAATACAACTGGCCAGTGATTGGAACTGGTTTTCTGATGGCTATACGAGAAATGCAGATGCACCTGATTCATGCATTCATAGCTCTTCGATACAAAGGCCAACGATCCCTTGAATAGTTCTTAATAATATTAACTTAATTTTCTGTTTAACTTAGAGCTACAGTTCTGTTGCACTACTAATTTCTTTTATATCCAACATAGATATCAAATTTCACAATAATGCTATCATCTCATGTCTATACTCTATAATAGTCTCACGATATTGTCTAATGAAATACGAGTACGTTCTTGGACATTAGTTTATCTATCTATCTATCTAATCTGAATGCCAATCAATCTATATTGCTAGTATTGTACGTATAATAGAGGTTATCAATTAATTATTTTTCATATAGCACTAGGCACTAATGATGCAATGCATGAGAAACTGACGTTAATCTGATGACTAGAGAAACTTTGTCCAAAGTTTTTGACTAAAATAACAATCATTTCTTATCTTATTAGGGCAGAGAAAACAGAAATCTCAGATAAACTACAACAGGTTCGTATCAGGCACTTCTAAGAAGTTCCCGTATAAAAAATTATAGTAGTAGATAGTAGACACTGTACGCTTGAAGGACAGATTATAACTTACTGATAATTATCATTCAATGAACTACAGTAAAGCATTATCATACGAAGATGCGACATGTTTCAAAATATTATTCTAACGTTATGTAGTAATCTAGTCGACTCTATAAAATACAGGATTCAACTGACTGTTTTGTTTATCTGCTAACTAATTGAACCAAATTGCCTTTTCTTTATCCATTTTAATAAATATAAGATGTCATTTGTTTGAAAAATTATTATGACGTTAATAGATTGAAAAGAAATCGGAAGCAGCTAAAAAGTCATTATCGACTGTAGTTAAGGTCTTCGTACCTTATATTAACGGTACCGGAGTTGATAAAGAGAAACGACTAGTAAGTAATGCTGATTACACAAATTATCTTCCATCAGGCTTAAGAGAATGTACTGTTATAATTTTACTATAAATAATAGGATCAATGTAATACTTATTTGCACAATCTTTTTCTGCCTGTCTATACAAAATTGTAGCGAAAGAATCATGCAAGTCATTTAGGTCAAAGTTTACAGGATTGCACTGCAAATCTTCCCAGCGATAGCGTCCTAAAGTAAAAATCTGTCGTCTTAATAATCGCTTTAATTACCTTAATGAAATATACTCTATAGCTTTGAAAGTAGCTGATCAATAGCTGATACTAAAGATATAAGTAGATCTAATAGTTAGTGTAAGTTAAAAGTAGCTATCAATATCTTCAGAGAATCATCAATAATACTTCTCAATATCAAGCAAGGATATTAAATTAATGTTGGAGACTAAATTTTACTATACCTCTACAATGACATTTAAAGAGCTTCGTAAACTGTATTAAAAGGCTAAAGTGAAGATTATTATTTTATATGCTTGATTATAGCAATAGTTTGCTGTCTCAGTTGAATAGACCAGAAATTCTGTTACACTACAGTGTGGATATCATAAATAATCTATAATCTATGGCCATAATTTCATACCTGGTAATTTATTATAGACAATTCCTTAAGCCTAATAATCATTTTCGATCGATATATTGTAGGAGTGTTGTCATGGATTTAGGTACTGCTTTAAATGAAGTAGGAAAACTACAAGTGAATGCCGAAGCAAATATAGATGAAGATGTAGTCATTCCTATCAGTAACGTATTAGAGGTATAAAATCTTCACTGATATAATACTTAGGGATAATGAAATATGCAAAAGTTTTATTTCATAAGTCACAGTTGTACACAATGAGTAATAGTATATAGTAAATATCATAGGCGTTACTATTCCATTCTAAAATGGAATCATACCATATTCACTGCATGAAGTTTCTAGTTACCTATGAAATGTGAGCAAGTGCACAATATAAGACAATGACCGGACACATTATATGCAACAAGATTGATAGTATTAAATCACCTAATTCGCATAAATTACATTAAATTTCTATCAGTTTGGTGTACGACATATTATTGATTACAACACTTTTTCCGACTACATATTATGGTCGTAAGAAATGATAGCATTCTATTGATTAATCTTCGAAATAGCAATTAAAATAGTAAAAATCGAACGATCTATTTCAATCTGTCAACGTAGGGTAATAATTAATCTACATTCTTCTCTTAAACTTGTTTAAAATTGAAACTATTCTAAATTCATGATTATAGATTGGCAGCATTAGTATGGTTATTAATAAATTTCTTAATATTCTATTTTTAACAAATTAACATGAAATCCTACTTATTATCTTGGCACCTACTTATGAAGAATGATGGCGCTGCCAAAGCCAAAAAACGATTATCCGGTGCTAGACTAGATATGGACTCAGCTAAATCGAGGTAACTCTTTCTTTCTTACACTATGCAAACTGCTGGTAGTTTGAAAATGTGAATTAAAAGAATTATTACAACAATAATTAGTGAACGTAATTTGTTTATTCATGCATTATGATATTACAGATTAATCGCATTTAGTGAAAATGTATTTTGTACTTTTCTTCACAATGTTTTATTCATTAGACTAAACAAGGAAAAGGAACGCAGCAGTGGTAGTGTCAATATGGTCAAGTTAAAGACGTTAAATGATGAATACGAAAATAATGAAAAAATATTTAACCAAGCGCAAGTAAGTCCTATAAGTACAAGAAATTACATTCTTTTTGATTTCATCTTTAGCTTTACTTCATTACCTGTACTTAAGTAACTGATCAGTAAAGTAGTGGCTATACAGGTATAAAATTCAGTGAAGAAATTATGCTTGATTTTATTCAGCTAAGCGACATGATTCGTTTCACAATATCGGAAATTCAGATTTTACCATAACCCCTAGTACTATGCATCATTTCGTTGATACGTATTAGTTAATAATAAATAATATACATGATAGGTTCTGCAAGTCTAAATTGATTCGTGATTGAGACTAATTGTACTGTATCACAGCTTAGCTATTTGTAGATTTCGTATTCTCCTTGTGATCGTTAATTACTAACCTATCGTGGTATTGATAGCATTTATTGATAGCATTCGTAAGCTCAATCAAGTATACCTGAAAGCGTCTCATTTACTCCAGCTGACATCATGTCAACTAATTATCATTTAAATTTATTTCATAGGATGGCCTAGCTATCGAACATTTGCAATTTCTCTCCAATGAAACTATGGTAGCCTCATCCGTTTTAAACGTAAATACGTATATGTTTATTAATAATTCTGTTAAATTTAATAATTTCAGCACTATTTACTAAGACTGCTATCGCACATGACTAAAATTCATGTAGATTTAAAAATCTAACGGGGACAATCGTTATTAATAGTCTTCAGTAATTTGTCGTTTAGGAGATTATGGCATTATTCACTGTTACTTATATAGCATATATTATTTTTATTATCCATTCTTGTAGTTTGTGGACCATCAAATGCTGTACCTTAAAGAAGCAATTGCTGTTTACGAAGCATTTAGGCCATCCATACAAAAATCGATTGGTAATTTAATAGTTCTGATTGTGGTCTTAGTCTAACTGCTATATTGTGCCTATTGCTTTTACCGAATACTTTTATAATGGTTTACTTTTTTGATATTGTAGAACAATCCCCTCGAAAAAAAGTATTTGGCGTCACGTTAACAGAACATTTGCAAACGTTCAAGCGTGAAATTGCAGTGGTATTGGAAGAGTGTATAAAGTATATTACCGAGAATGCAATGGAAACTGAAGTACGTAAGTTGTTATTCTAAGAAGCTCGATATTCATCAAAATTAATTGTGAATGGTTTGCCAATGTTACTAGGGTTTATTCCGAATTACCGGAAGTGCTTCTCAAATGAAATTGCTTCGGGTATCTGATTGAACTTTTGTTGTATTAATTACTTTATTTGTGTCACGAATTTGCCCTATGATGGAGCTTAGTGTCTTGTTTAAATGGAAGGCATATATTATCAAGACGTCAACTCAACAGTCAATAAATGTAACCTTTATTATACAGGCTGCTTATGATGGAGTTGGTTCTATTGAGAGCATCCTTGACGAAAGGGATTTTATTCCTGGAATTCATTCTATTGCAGGTAGATAAAATAATGTCATCATCAAGCAAAATAGTTAAATTAACATTTATCGCAAGCATAATAGGTACCTTCTAATGTATAATTGTTATGTATACAATTTACCGAAGGTACACTAAAGCAGTATTTGAGAGAGTTACCTGAACCATTGATGACTCATGAATTCTATGACGAATGGATAGATGCTGCCAAGTATAGTATAGTAGCTTGCTATAATAAAGCGTTATATATGTATCCATATTTAACTCGCTGTAGTACATATTTGTATTATCGTATATGACGATAGTCCTTGTCTTTGATCTAATTATTATACTATCACGTAAATACCACCAGGATCACTGATCCCCAGGAGCGCTTGCAGGAGTTGTGGAGGGTAAATAGAAGCCTTCCGAAAGAAAATTATGAAAATCTAAAGTGAGAATATTTTAAATTATCAGTTCCGGCATAAAATTTAGACTTTATTTCCTGCTGTTTATATTTTGATTCATACTCTTCTTATAACTATCAATGAAATTGTCTCACGACCGCTTGATAAAATCATTTTTATGGCTCTATTCAGATTTTTGATAACATTCCTAGCCACCTTAGCAGAGAATGCGGAAATCAATAAAATGAGCAGTAGCAATCTTGCTTTAGTTATGGCACCAAATTTACTACAATCTTCACTACAAGGCTTAGAGAGTCCAACGTAAGACATTAATGCATTACTAGCTGTATACTAACTAGGTTATTGCAAAAATATTTATGTAAAATCTATCAATTATTGCTATAAAATGTAAGTATTCCGTTATATCATAATATGACTACCTACTGTTTCCTAGGAGTCAAGTACATTTCAATGAAATTACATCTGCCGTACAAAGTTTAATCGATCACTGTGAATGGTTTTTTCAGGAAGACTGCGTTTAATGTTTTGTATGTGTAAACTATGCTGATATTGAATTGTGTCTATCGAGGCATTCTTTACAAAATTTCGCCTATTTTTTATGCGCTGATGGTAGTGTGCATTTGAATAAGATAATGCAATTTATTATTATTATTATTACTTAAGAACTATTACGAACTATAATTATCATTTAGACTCGAAATATTAACTGAACTTACTATATGCAGCTATCCAATATTACGCAGCAAAACTAGTGATGCGGAGTTGATTTGCTATATTACTGTTATTCAATATTAAGTCATTTTTTACAGAATTATTGCAATCATCTTCTAATAGCTTCATAATTCAAAAGCATTGGATTATGGCATGCAGATATAGCCAATTATCGCCTATAATTAAAACCAGTACAACGTAGAATATTCTGCTGCATGATTTACTGACACTCAGTATGTATATCTCATTGACCCAGATTAGCTGTTTTTACGTTATTGATATCATGTCTTTAGCCATATTGCAAGAACATAAGAATCTTTTGTGACGAAAACATTATATGACGTTGTCCTAGCAGGATGACTTACTTCAGACATTGTATGATAAGCTGTTGAAAGCAGCATTTTACTCAGTTTTCTATTATTTCAATTCGAGATAGGTACACATTTTTCTCCGTTCTAGCGTAAGGTTGCTTTGCTGATTGGCTTACGTACATCATAGCGCTATACTTGTATTTGTATTTTACCCAATTGTACTTCAGTTTTGTAATAGAGCTATTGGTAACTTGTAGCGATAAGTGATCACTGTATGATAAAATTCGTAATCTTTATTCTATTAAAAGTAAAGATTTTGTAACTCGAATGGTATTTAATTTCGTAGTGGCAGAGTAAGAGATAATATCATTACCATGCTGGAATAAATAACTACTTTCAATTATGACACTAGGCTAATTAAATTGATATCTTAGCAATAAAACTTAATCGTTGATTAGACATTCTCCTACAAATACTACCCTACTACGCATGAAGGGGCAGCATTTGAATGCCTTAGCACTAGTTTATCGTCCCAGAAACAGTCGCTTTATTTTAGACACTATCATATCTTTCTAATTAAGGAAGATCTAAAGTATATAACATCTTTAGCTAAAGTAATTTCAGTAGTGTAAATGCTAAGCTTTTAATGAAACGCAATCTATGACCCTCAACAACCACCAAATCAATACAAGTAACAGACTCCATAACTGTCAGATATAAAATTTAATACGTGCACATATACGTGTAGTGTCCCAAACTTGTTTACTATTGGAAATACTAACTTTAAAACGTAAATTATAATGTATGTTTGCTTTAATCCGGCTTATATATGTTTATTATTTATTATTATTATTTACAATTTCTAATATTGTTATACTCAGTGTGATGGAGGGTTCAATATCTCAGAGGATTGAGATTTAGTGGCCATTTACAATTATTACAACAAAGGGTTTATAAAAGTTATGCTTTATTGTAGGTTAGTAATGTGAAGTACAGTGAGGTAGTTACGGTAGATCACCGTGCAAGCTGTCGTGAGTAACGAGTAGAAGTATTAGACTGTGAGAGACTAACTAGAAGACTAACTGAGAGGCTAACGAACTCTGAGGTAGAAATCGCCGGTATTTATAGTTTTAAAGATAGAGCACATGCAGAGAATAGGATTGTGAAATTAGATACAACATATACCATAACAGGTTACAAAATAGCAGATGATTGTAGAAAATAGCGAGTACCGTAATAACTAAATACAGTAGTCTATATATGAATGTAGAGTAAGCGGACTGTAGATCTGTCTAAATATAAGAGCAATACAACATGTCTATATTTAAGAGTGGAATATAGTTACAATATATTCTAAATACATTACACTCAGGAATGAGACTTGTCTGTACAGTATATAGAGGAAAGAATTACAGAGAAGGAAGTATTGCTTAGTCTAGTTAGATTCCAGAACTTGTGAAAGTATAGAGTTGTCACTGGTTGAAAATTTAAAAAATAGGGAATAAAAGTATCTACATTGATTAAATATATTTAAGGTTTATAAAGTTTGCTCGTGTAAAAAATAGTCAGATTACCTATACTAATCCTTACTCACACTAATCCTCCAGTAAACGAAGTACGTAACAATCTTCACGCCTCTAAATCTTCCCTTTTCCGTTAATGATCACGCAAATTGTAATAGGTGTAAAATCATGAAATGGCATTATAGGATTGGATTTCCTACATAGAAGAATTATTTTTATCAATTCTAATATGCACTCATGATTTATAATGGATTAAGTCGTTCTTTGAGACAACAGCAATGATTGTCATAACTTGAGTAATTATAAATTTATTCGTATTCTTTATATGATTTTATTAAAGGATAATTTTTATTGGACCAGAGTTACGGTAAATCATAAATGAATTACGAACACCTACTAAGAAACTGACATTAATCAAATTTGCGATGATTAAAAATCGTTTTAAGCTCCAGTCGATTTTTCCACTGTATGCTTGGTATTAATTGAATGCGATACTATTCTAGCTGTAGGTACTAGAGAACAGATAGAGAGCTCAATCTGTCCACAACGAATATTAGAAAATCCTTACTCTAACATCGTACATGGTACACTAATAAAGGACTTTGTGTGTAGGTATTAACCAATCACATAATCCTTTAAAAACACTACAGTTATTCTTAATAAGTACCTCAAATTTTTGACATAGAATGCCAGGTACATCATTATAAAGTATAGACTGATTTAGCGACTGGTATGCTCACGTAATATAATTTAGCATTGGCATCATAGATTATTTACTATGTTTAGTATTGTGACGGAGGGTTCAATATCTCGGAGGATTAAGATTTAGTTGCCATTTACAATTAGTACACCAAAGGTTGTATAAAAGCTATACTTTATTTTAAGTAGTAAAGTAAGTACAGTGGGGTAGTTGCGGTAGATCAGCGTGCAAGCTGTCGTGAATAACGTATGAAGACTAACCAAGAAACCAAAGATTTCTGAGGTGGAAATCGGCGGTATTTATAGTTTTAAATATAGAGCACATGCAGAGAATAGGATTGTAGAATTAGGTGCAACATATACCATAACTGGTTACAACATAGCTGATGATTGTAGCAAACAGCGAGTACTGTAATAACTAAATATTGTACAGTAGCCTATATATGAATGTGAAGTAAGCGGACTGTAGATATGTCTAAATATAAGAGCAATACAACATGTCTATATTTAAGAGTAGAATATAGTTACAAATTTTCTAAATACACTACAAGTATGATGTAGCACGATAGCGTAGTTTCTATATTTATCATAAGGCATATTTCCGAACTCATGCGGGAAGTAAAAATAGACACTTAACTTATATATTAGGATATAGATAGTTCGTTATCATTTGGCTAGTCGAAAAATAATATCTGCGTAAGTACGATAGCTGTATAGCGTATTGGATTCGAAGCGTAGATGCTTCATTGTAAGATTTTGTTGTTTATATAATTTAAATATTTATAAAAATAAGGTAGAATATTGGTATGCGGATTGAATTACTACGAAAAGCATTTAGGCAGGCAACTTTGGATTATTATTAGTTCTTTCCGGAAGTCAATTCTAGTTGTTATATTCGGCTACAGTAGAGCTATTTGCAGATTATCTTTCAATAAAAATCGAATAAAGTTCTAATTTTCTGCAAATTTTAAAATTTCGTGATCAGATCTATCACAGTTCATTGTAAGAGTCTTTATTCAATTATTTTGAATATAGGGATTCACATGCTATTTAAGTTATTCTGCTTTGTATCATATTCTAACTGCTTTTCGAATACTTTTCGGAAATGAGGACAAAAATTGATTTTCAAGATTCTGTACGCAACTCTCTACCTTCGTTATCACAATATCAAAACATCTGTTATGCTGAATGTTTTGTTAAATAGTATAATTCAATTCAATACCGTTTGACTGCTTTTATTATCATAATTAAGAAACATTTCTATATTTGATGTGCCAGTAAACAACTCAATTTAATATCATATTATTAGTTTCATCGTCGTAATCCAGAATTAGATCCTTGCGTTAGGTATTGATCCGTCATCAGATAATTCAGTCTAAGATCATGCTAATACCTATTTCGTCCAAGGCACTATCAAATTAATATATTATTATCATATCTTTACCTTCAGAATTATAAATGCAGAAAGTTTTTCATGCATGATACGGTTACTGATTTATCATCAAATAATTCACCTTAAAATCGTATTGTTACTTCATTATAGTAATAACGTTTCATAATTTAATTATCTTGTTTTGAAACTAAAGCTTAGAATTTCACGCAAGCAATGTCCATCTATGATACAATAAAAATTATTTATTAAGATGTTATATAGCAAATCTATAATGATGATCGCAGCCAACATTAATTTAATTTATTTGCTATCCAAAAATTATAATCGAACTATAACTGTAGGTCAATTCTTGTGAAATTCGCTGTAGATGGAATAGAAAATATTCTATTCGTGTTCTTGATATAAAGAGCAGCGCTACGTACCTTAGGTCATCTTAAACTACCTTAAACTGGCTTAAGCTAATAGTCATACTTTAGGTATCTAATATGAATTGTTATTACTTTAACTTACTTGGCTTTAAAATCATTTAATAATATCAAAATCATTTCGTCAGCATAATAAATTTAGAATGGTAAGACCTATTTTTATAGGTGTCTATTCCATGTTCAAGATTGACAGTCGCTGACTATATGTATTTTTTTAAGCACTAGTGCAAACTCCCGTCGCTTTGCTGACGGTTTACGATAATGTGCTCATTTAACAAATAGTATTACCATTTGATAGACCTATCAGAGGTTCAGTAACTTTTTACCGTGTACTCTGTACTGTTTCCATTTTTGGTAGTGACTAATGCTTGTCGGTGTATTTTCTGTTCAAGTGAATTTCTGTTGTATTAAAATTCGTACTACGGTAGTACTTATGTATCAATATTGAAGTGATTCTTATTTATTAGTTTCTTCCCTTTCAATATCACCACAAATGCATTAGCATCATCACGTGCCTAGCTGCAGATAATGTAGAAAGCGACTATAAATACTTGGTATACGTAGGAAATTTGGGAAAATTACTTATACGAGTAATCATAACTCTATAGGCTTAGTCAAGAAATTAAAAGGCCGACAGATCTTCATTTCATCATCTAACTTACGAATTAAGGTTGTAGTAATACAGTAGCGACTACGATATATCTGGATTAAGGCGTTGGCTATCACTGGATTCAGTTTGATAAATATAAAATATTGACTCATTGGCAATCAAGATCTCAATATTAGTGGATAAGTCTTCAAATATCAGATTTAAGGCATCCTCCTATCTACTACTATTACAGGGTTAGCTCGAATAATCTAAGGCAAAAATTGGTTCATTAGAGTTCGAATTCCCAATAATAATAGATTATCACTAAATAGTCGACTATATTTATCCTAAAGTATGTCACTATTAATTAATAATTAATATAAGGACCATTATTAAGTTCAACTCACGGAATATAAAAAATTATCTTAGAAACCTTTAAATTCCTAAATAAATCATTTCAGTTATTATTAGATTCAGCTCAACGGATGTTGAGAATACTATATTACCTCATTAGTTTCATACTTTCAAATATACCTTTTCAATTATTTATCGCTAAATTCGGTTCGACGAAGATATATGATTGTCTTATTAGTGCAGTCTTCAAATTCTCAAAGTACGCCTTAATTATTAATTATTAGATTCAGCTAGAGGAAAGATAAATAATTGTCTCATTAGCACAGTCTTCAAATTCCTAATTTTAGTGGATTAATCAACAAAAATAAGTATCATTTGCCAGTCAACATTGCACAATTATGATCAGATTCGACGAGTGAAATCCCTTGTTAGTCTTTAAATTCCGATATATACAGATGAGGACTTGGTAGCTGATTATTTAGTGTACACGCAGACCTTTGAATATACAAACATTTATAAATGGCTTTAACTCAATAAACATAAAGTTTTCCTCCTTAATCTTCAAATTCTGAAGTTTTAAGGGATTAATAATCGTATAGCCGATTACCTTTATCGATCTTCTCTCTTTCGAAGCATGAATATCAGCAACAATACTACAACGCCAATAAGTATAAATGCCACAGCATCTGCTGGATTTCAATACATAGGTGGCGTTGTAACTCAAGTATTATTTGGAATAATTGCAATCCTATCGATTGTCGGTAATGCCTTGGTTTTAGCGCTCTTCTCATACAGTAAACAACTTCGAAACTACTCCCATGGGATTTTAATATGGAATTTAGCTTTAGTAGATCTCTTAACCGGTATCTTTATTATTGTTACACCAGCACATATTATTCGTGAAGCTTATCCCGATCCGCCACCAGGTTTAGCTGGAAGTTTATTTTGTAAACTGATTGGTGTTGAAACATTTACCTTTAGCTTTGGTGTGATTTCCATGTCCATTTTAGCTATCTTGAGTCTAGAGCGACGTTATGGCGTTGTCAAGCCATATCTTCATGCACGTTATTTCCGTAGGAATCGTACTAAGATCATGATTGTATTTGCTTGGATTTGGGGGATTATCTTAAATGTGACGAATATAATTCAAGGAGTACATCATCAAGGCAGCCAACCTCCGTGTGGATGGGAGAGCTTAGCTGGTGGACCGATTGTGCAGAAGACAGTTTATGGCATTTTGTTTGTCTTGCGATTTCTGCTGCCTTTGCTATGCATCGTTATCTGCTATGCCAATATATTAGCCCACATGAGATCAACTATTCGTGATTTAACCGAAGCAATGGATAAAAAAGAGACGGTAACCTATAAGATTGCCAAGAAAGTAACCATAACATGCGCTGTAACATCGCTGGCCTTTCTACTGTGTTGGCTACCAAATCAAATTTATTTTACTTTAATTAATTTTCAAGCGGCAACGATCAATTCCGATATTCACTTTGTAACCAAATTATTGATTCTATTCAATTCCTGTATCAATCCCTTCATTTACGTCAGTATAAATCATTATTATCGTCAAGAATTTATAAAAATGATGAGGTTAAATAATTATTCAGGATATAAATCTCGAGCAGCGATGATGTCATTATCACTTGCAAATACGAATAGCCCGACAGAATAGAAAAATATTTCTTATCTTACTCTACCATAAGCTTAGAAAATTCGAATGGATATCTATGTAGTTATTATTTATTTAATGTACTGTACTTGTATCTGTATAACTTAGTGTGTTACTAATCCATGATTTATACGATAGATAAGCAATCCAACGCGATATGAGTAATACTTTTGCATTTCACATTGACTACCTGCCGTATTTTCCCTTTGAGTTGGTTGTTGATTACGAGGCATTTATGGTACTTTTACTATTATTAATAATAAGAATATATATTTTAAAATTATAGATAAAATATGTTAGTATATAGCAAATTGGCGGTAACTTGTACACAATTGGTTAGAAATCACTTATTCGTAGCGCATAAAATTGTTAATCCTTGCTTACAAGTACAAATCATCTGAATATATCTACTACAAAACTTAATCACAAGCACTTTTACAAATCCGATCATTAGCATATATATTGCTAATATATGAAATATCGCCAATTTATTTTGTAAATCTGTAGACTTTAAGTTATATTTTTACTTAAATTCTTTGTCATTAAGATAGTCCTATACATTATATATTTTTACTTGTCGAATAGCTGTAATGCGAGGTATTTGTTTCACAGTTATTACGATAATAGAATCACATTTTACTTTCGATATCGCTGTATTTGTAGACTTGAACCCTTCTGCTTTTAAGTTTATTTGCTCAAGAATTAAATACTTCTATCATGAAATACATTTATTAATAGTGGCAGGATACACATACTTTAAATAAAATCACATTTTTACTTTCGATATCGCTGTATTTGTAAACTTAAGTTCTTCACCTTTAAGTTTACTTGCTCATGAATTTAATACTCTTATGATGAAATACATCCATTAAATTAATAGTGATAGAGTATAACCTTGCATTAATAAAATCATATTTTGCTTTCGATATCGTGGTACATGTAGACTAAAGTCCTTTACCTCTAAGTTTATTCGCTCAAGAAATTACTCCTATGATGAAACCATGAAAAACTAGATAGTATATCTAGTATCACATAAATGAAACACATCTATTAATATTAGTAGTTTGCCATTGCATTTGAAAAACGTACGATATGTCTTGGAGTGGAATCCTGTACGATTATTAAACATAAATCACTGCAAATTTTCTCTAATGATAACGTGCGATATATATGCTGTGTTATACTTGAATTTACTTATCAGCACGATGTTCATCTACTCGATTTGCTAAATTTTTTATTTTCTATTTTCCGGTAATCAACTTTTTAACTTGAAAGATCTATCAAAAGTTCTAAAGCCCTATGTTAATCCATACAATCCTTTAGATACATCAATTTTAAACAGTACAGTATATATAAAATAAGGCCAAAGGAAGCTAAGTAATAGATTTTCTTTCTAAATTTCGATATCAACTGAAATTATGTATACTATTTTTGCGAATATGCTTAAATGATAGCATTACACATACACATATACTAATTAAAGAAGATCTGTAACATTTTCACAGTACGCTATACTCAAGAATAATATCTATTACTTTACCCTCGGCTGTTTCTTTAATTGAAATACATTTATAATCCTTTTGCAAAAACATCTCTGCAAAACGAAAATTGATATTACAAATTGTATTCAGTATCACCATTTTAAACGCTGTGACTTAGCAAAAAATGTAGTGCTGCAACACATATAACACACTCTAATTTACAAAAACATGTAAGGTATCGTATAATTAAAGTTAAAAATTTTAGACCAGTTGAAAGCGACCTAGAGTATGATACTATACATCTTCGATTAACTTAGATTAAGATATGTATAAATATATTCTTCCAATTTGAAAAATATTTGTAAATTCTATGATAAAATTTCCAATTATTATATCAACTACCTACCCAAACAGTTTATGATTTCTACTTTTTCAAACGTTATTGCAGGATCGACACGCTATTCATAAAAGGCATATAATCCATTTGAAATAGTTATACTTGTTTAACGCTATCAAAAGCAATTTCATAACGTTATTTATAACTAATTAATGCCATTACAATTCGCTCAGTTACTCAACTAATATAAATATCTGTAGTCAAAAAATTTGGGGCAGCAAACTCTGAATTACTATGCCCACTGCTGCAACTGTCTAGTTAATGGTGCTTTATTCTAATATTTAGCGTACTGTAAGTGAGATTTCAAACTAGATTCTGTCCAAAGCTGACAATCCTTAAATTTTTTTTATTGACTAATTCTCTAGATAAAAGTGTTCATAGTTTAGCAATTACTATTAACTTAAGTGATGTTGACAGCTCGACTTCTTTAACTCGTTGAAAGGGATAGTAGAATTGCTACCAGTTTCAGTAAAATATCACTAGGCGATTTGCGGTACGTACGTACTGGAAATATCTTCCGTAGTCAGAACCACAATCGACTGGTCTAGACAATAAATTAAGTGTTCAACTTAAAATGAAACCATAAATCTAATTTATTAACCGAATCGGTAATCGTTCAAATAGCTATTTTGACGTTATTTATCGGTGATATTCCATCCAAAATGTTCCATTTAGGACTTCTCTAAACTCTAATCTAGTCCTATTAAATGCAGAATTAATTTGGAAGATATCCCCGATCATCCTTAATTCTTATCTAACACATTTAATATGTATAAGATTTTAATCTAGAATATTCAAAATTTTATTTACAAAATTACCAATCGGGTTTATAATATATCAGCAGATAATATTAGCATCTGCTAAACTACTTCCTTACATCTATATTCAGAAATCTACCGCTAAATCTAGGAATTATCATCTTAAGGGAATAGTATCTATCTACTTAAGGTTATAGCTTTATAACGTCAATATTGCTATGACCGATCTTGGTCATACTGCATGTATTTAAACTATATTTAGCAGTAGAATAATATAAGAACCTGGATGGAAGTCTTCATCCCGCTAAATCTACATATTTGCATAAATTGACTCCTCACAGTAATTTAGCCCCGTGACAAACGTCAATAATTGATCGCTTTAGGTATACAGCCAGCCAGTACATATGGTGGTTTGACAAATGTTGTAAATTAAATACTTATGCGTGGAATGATTGCTTCACAGGTTACTATATGAGAAGTACCTTAGTACCCTGTATAAGATTTAATGGCTATATCTTTAAAAATATCAGTTATAAGGTAAGAATCGAGTATCTTATCCTATCCTTAGAAATCAATCCGTTTTCATCAACTGCAAAATTACTTAATTGATATTTACTAAACGACAAGCATGTAGAATATGAATTTTGCTAGGCTATCATCATGTGTCACAACTGAAGTTACTAATACATTCAATATAGTGCTGCATTTTAGTAAAGTATAATATCAGGGTAAAGATTCAATGGGCAAAAACAAAAATCGAGGTAAAGAAGTAAGATAATAAAGTTTAGTTTTGGGGGTAAGTAATGAGGTTTCTAACATACGCGTAAATCTTATTGTTACAACTGTCAATATTAACAATGAAATTCCACACTCTGTGGAGATTTGTGGCTATTGAAATACCTTCTGAACAACCTTTGGATATACCAATTTAATAATCAAAAATAGCCATGCCGTTACTGTATTTGATAATTAATTAATAGCTTAATTAATGATGTAATTAGTCGGATAATGGCTCATAGTATCACTGTTGAAATTATAGCAATATCGAGACTATCTTATCATAATTATTACGCAATTATGAAGGTTTTTCTGATAAATTTGATGAATTACAAAAGTATTACGTAAGATCTAATTAAAGTTTCTATTGAATCTTAAATTTTAATGCTTTTTTTTCTTCTAAAATAGATTAGCCTATTAATAGGCGCCATGGATGATATTAATTAATTATTTACGTTTCATATGGATAAAGTACTCATTTTAATCTTACAAGATACCCTATTTCATTATTTGAACCCAATTAAGGTCAAAGCGATGTATTTTAGGAAATAGTTGTAGTAAATCTCTTACATATATTTGCATTTCAAATTTTATCGTTGCTTTTTGCGTATGAAAATTAAACTTGCATATCGTTTATTAGCCAATATTTTTAGACAGCTGCTACAGGTATCTCCAATTCGCAACCTGAATCCAATTATATCTACCATCGCATTTAATTAAAATGCTAAAGCATAGCACAATAATATATTCAATACCAATCAGTAAAATCGCCATATTCATAGATTAGGGATATCGCAGATTAGAATAAGTGTAATTTTTTATTTGTAAATACTATAAATTTATTATATAACTAATCATTTTAAGTTGATAATGGAAAATATTAATAAAATATTCAAATGCTTTACATATTGTTTACGTGCGATACGAAATAATTTTTCTGTTTCAGTCACGTAATTAATCATACCTGGAACTAGCAAAGAGTACAAGATTATAATAGATATTTTCTTTCTGAATGCTGCATAAGCTATCATTAACTTGAATTATAGATCTTGTTTGCATCATTGAAAGTAGTTAAGAGCTTATAAGTGCACAAGAAGCAGCACATACAAAATATTACAAATATAATAGATCTGTTTACTAAGTTGGCATGCCTTTGCTAAGCCTTTCTACAAGCCAAATTCAACTTTATAAACTAAATTTTATATTATGTAACCATGTTTAATAATTATTAATTCATGGAACTATTTCCATTTCTCTGATATTATTTCTATTATCTGAAGCTGCTATCGGAAAATCCTACTATCCACACATTCGCACGTCATTGCGTATCATTTTGATGGTAAGAATTTCAGATATGACCATGCTAAGGAGTCTACTGTTAAAGAAATGTATTTAATTAAATTAATAATTGAAAAGGTTATTGCCACAGAAGTAAAATCATCAAATTCAAGAAACTTATCATGTGAAGTAAACCATATCCTTAATGCCCCTCTAATTATATATATCAAGGTTGTTCTTTTGATCATCAAAGTAATACCTTTATAAAACAATTTTAAATTTGCTAATGGCGTAGACGACTTTATTTTCCTTAGACATTAGATTAATTGACAGAAGATTGTTCGATTGTGAATAGTTAACCAAAATTTTACTATATTTCAATTACGATACTCGCCATCCTGTTTTGCCTACGGGCTTTTCTGTCATAATTAACACATTATAATTCAACACGATTACCTTATATCAAACTAATCTTTTCTAATCTATTCAAATAGGCTAATACATTTTTCTGTATTAGGATATATTGTTAAATTGATCAGCAGTGAAAATAAAGGCCAAACATGTAATAAATTATTAATATCATTAATTGGTATTGACCCTATGAATAATTAATCTATTATTAATAACGGAATATGAAATGGCGCCTGTTCAATTCTAGCAAGTTGCACTGTTCACTGCTAGAAAATTTATTCTATATAGACCCTTGCATATCTTTCTTGCTATAGATCTTTTACAGAGTTTCCTTAGAAGTTGATCATTACTTGAAGTCTCCATCCAATGTTGGCAATGTTTGCAGCAGTTGTAAATGGAATGACAACTTAGATAATGTTAATTGACAATAAGACATAAAAAATTTCTTTCATTCTTTTATCGTCTAGAATTTTGTATAATAGGTATAAAAAGATCGCAAATTATCATCAGAGCCGCAACCAAGCTATCAATTTATACCAAGGTTTCTTTTGCAATTTCGTAAACATATCGATATAGGAACTATAATAAAATTAGCAAAATTAATTAATATGTGCAATTATTTTTTGTTGCAGTGCTATAAATTATGATTTAATTAGACGATACTTATATGCACAAATATAAAACTCCCACGGGACTATCCAAAGATCATATTGTCTAAAGTATGCTAGTACTTGGCTCCATACATGTGTAAAAGCAATATATCGCGTTATAATTACTAAAAAATTTCATTTAACTGCTAATTCACCTAATATTACATACTTGCCAAGACTAGACTAAGGTTTCATTAAAGGACATCGTATCGGAATAGTTCAAGGCTAATATTTAATTTTCTCAAGCAAATATTTGTTTATATCATGCCTGCCCTAACTTAATGCTCTTTTTCTTATTGTATCGTCCAATTTAATATCCGATTTAAACTATCTGTTTTCTGATTAATCAACGCTCATTCCGATTGCAATTATTACCATCTGTAAAATAAATAGCGATATTAATTTAGCTATCTATGGCTACAACATATGAAAATTTAATCGCTCGGACTAAGGCTTTAATAAAATACACTGTATCGAAATGGTTCAATGCTAATATTTAGTTCTCTCAATCAAATACTTATTTATATCATTGTATATCTTAAATTAGCAGTCTTTTCTTATTGAATATTCGATTTTAACTGTCTATTTTCCAAAATTGATCATACTCATTTCTATTATAGTTCTTAACATCCGCAAAATAGCGACATTAATTTAACTATCTATAGCTACAACATTTCAAAATTTATCCTAATACAATTCTATCAAACAATTATTTATTTATACTCGTATCATTACCTGTCCTAACTTAGCGGTCTTTTTCTTATTCAACAAATGAAAATTGATCAACCAATTTCTATATCATGATGAATTTAACCAATTTTTCCGCTATTCCTAGCAATGCTACACAGTTGCCATCATCTGGCAATTATTCCAGTGGTCATAATTATCTCGGTGGACTAGCGACGCAAATTTTCTTCGGAATTATTGCAATATTGTCAATCCTCGGTAATATAATCGTATTTGTCGTCTTCTTATACAGCCCAAGGTTAAAGAATCGTTCTCATGGCATCTTAATTGGAAATTTAGCTCTTGTTGATATGCTAACTGGCGTTTGTATTATCATTACGCCAGTTCATATTATCCGTGAAAATTTTCATCATCCACCACCTGGCATTGGTGGTACTATCTTCTGTAAAATTATCGGCTCAGAAATGATGACATTTAGCTTTGGTTTTATATCTATATATACATTAGCTGTGTTGAGCCTTGAAAGACGATATGCTGTGGTCCGACCTCCGCTTCATCGAAAGTATTTTTCGATTCGAAATAGTAAATTTCTAGTAGTACTCGTTTGGATCTTGGGAATTGCTGTTAATATCGCCAATGTTTTACAAGCTTATTATAAAGGCGATAGCAATCCACCTTGTGGTTGGAAGTATCTCGTCGATTCTGAATTCAGCATGATCCTTTATGGAATATTGTTATGTTTACGCTTCATATTCCCCATATTATGTGTCATTATTTGCTACTATGATATACTACGCTATATCCAACGAAAAGTACATCATTTGTTGCATTCCGTTCATAGGAAGGAATTTGCCGCCTATAAAATGAGAAAAAAAATCACAATTACGTGTGCTATAACGTCGATGGCATTTTTAGTATGTTGGTTACCCAATCAAGTTTATTTTTCATTTATCAGCTTTCGTGCTATTACTAGAAACAATGAAATTCATTTAATAACAAAGTTACTAATTTATTTTAATTCTTGTATTAACCCATTTATTTATGCAAGTACTAATCCCTATTATAGACGTGAATTTATTGATCTGTTCCATTTAAAATATAAATTTTGTTGCATTGATTGCAGCAAGCAAAGCGCATTATGGAATTTTTCACGAGACTCTCATCGTAAAACCGACAACGACGAAAATGAATTGCACATGGACAAAACTTATTCCGCAAAATCATTAAGGATCAGTCCATTCAGGGTCGAAGAAGCTAAAAGGATATAAATACCTGGCTATTGATAGTCAATGATGAAATCTGTCTCTAGTTTTCCATACTGTAATGTACAAAGGAGTAAAATTGAAGTAGACTTTAAATGGATTATCGTATCTCATTATCCTGCTATCAGTAGAAATTGAACTAAATCCTTCTGGTTTGACTAATTCTATTAGTCGAGCGTCAAGATATTTATTTGAACTTGTTCTACTAGCTTTTCTTTTCTTAAAATACCAATAAAATACCATGATACCTTATTAGCGACACTTTGTTATGAACAGAGTTATTGGAAAGCTTTTAATGTAGCAAAAGCCGCCATAATCAATTTTAGCGTTGTCATCTCGATAGCTAGATGAAGAAATTCTTCTTCCTTTACGTATATTCTTACTCTACCATTTTAAAACATATTATGGCAATAGATTACTTTCTCTCAAAATTTCATCATTACTACAGAAATAGACTGTAGAATTATAAGTCTCCATATATAAATTAATTCTATATTTAACATCCACTCTCTTCTATGTTACGGCTTTCACGATTTAAAATATATCTGTATAGCATTACATTAAAAACGTCATTGTTCCAATATTCAATGTTTAATAATATAGTGTAGTTTTAATTTGCTTAACTATACTATGATAGGCTGTAAGCCCTTTTTAGGTCCAAGGTATTTCAGATATCATAACGTTTACAATTATACAATAATAAACAGTGACAAATTGTTAACTTAATTAAGAGCAATAATAAAGGATAATAGCCAAATAAACCTTTCATATCCTTGATTGATTTGGACTTATTAGCGTAATTAATCCATTATTTATAACAGGATATGAGATGATCCCTATTCTATTCGTAGTAAGCTACAATATTCAATGTTAGGAGTTATTTTTCTATATGGACCATGGCAAATAGTCTATGTTACCAGTTATATGAAAGTTTCCTGAAAATTGAATCGAAACCTTTAAGTTAGTATCTAAATATAAATTTTAGTATAAATGAAGTAACAATCTAGATATAGTTAATTCAGAAGTTAAACTTAAGTATTCTTCTATTTTTATTGCATGTAATTATATATGGATAAGAGGTAGTAAAAGAGATCGCGAAAATCAAATTAGTATTGGTACCGAAAACAAGCTATCGATTCTTGTTTGAGCAAGCTGCCTTCAGAGGTTTTCTGTCAATTATGTACATATATCGATATAAAATTGTGATAAATTAAGAAGAATCAATTTCTAGAATATTACTCTTTTTCTCTAAAATGTTTTTCCTTTCAATTTCGTATTAATACTGATATAAAATTGCATTAAATTAAGAAGAATTCATTACTATTATTTCATTTCTTTTTCTCCATAAGCTCTTATTCCTTCAATTTCGTACACATATTGATATGAAATTGTAACAAATTAAGAAGAATCAATTAATGGGATAGTGTGCCTTTTTCTCTATGACATCGGAAAATAGGCTCATCTACGAAATTTTAGCCAGCCGGTCCTAAAATTTATACTATTTAATGTATTCTAAGGATTTTATACGATATATAAGAGCAGTTTAACTTTCATAATTACAAGAATAATTGATTTGACTAGGAATTCAGACAATATTACCATAAATTGAATCCAAATGGGACTAAATTAAGGATTGATTATAAACCAAAGTACTTGCATATACGGAAGCTGCAATTAATTCTCTCATTCAAGCATTTATTTACACCATTGGCTGTTGAACTTAAAACTGCTTTCCTAATTTTATCATTCTGTTAGATACTCGAATTCAATAGAACTATCTACATTATTTTTAAAGGCTGAACAACATTTATTTTTTTCTTAAATATCTTCAAATAACATTTTTACGTCATTATATGCTGCTAAAATATGCTATTAATAAGATAGAATTATCATATAGCTCAATTGAAAATTTTCAGTGAACTATTCTATCATGATCTACTTGACCAATTTTACCGTTATTCCTACCAATATCACGCAGCTGCTTTTACCTGGAAATTATTCTAGCAGTCATGATTATTATGGTGGACTAGTAACACAAATTGTTTTAGGTATTATAGCTGTGTTGTCTATTGTAGGTAATATGTTCGTATTTGTCGTCTTTTTATACAGTCCAAGATTAAAAAATTTATCTCACGGTATCTTAATTGGGAATTTAGCTCTTGTGGATATGCTGACTGGTGTGAGTATTATTATTACACCAGCGTATATTATCCGCGAAAATTATCATCACCCACCACCTGGCATTGGTGGTTCAATCTTTTGCAAAATTATTGGCTCAGAATTAATGCCATTTAGCTTCGGCTTTATATCGATGTATACATTAGCTGTACTCAGCCTTGAAAGACGATATGCTATAGTCCGACCAATGCTTCATCGAAGGTATTTTACCATTCAACGAAGTAAATTTGTAGTAGTGCTGGTTTGGATTTTAGGAATTGCTGTCAATATTACCAATATTTTACAAAGTTATTATCAAGAAAATGCTAATCCACCTTGTGATTGGCGACTATTAGTGGGTCCTCAATTTAGTATGGCCCTTTATGGAATTCTACTATTTTTGCGCGTCGTTTTCCCTATGGTATGTGTCATCGTTTGCTACTATGATATATTGCGTTATATTCGGCAAAAAGTTCGTAATCTATTGCGATCCATTGATAAAACAGAATCTGCAGCCTATAGGATAAAATCTAAAATCACATTGACTTGTGCTATAACATCATTGGCCTTTTTAATATGTTGGCTGCCCAATCAAGCTTATTTCACGTATATTAGTTTTCATGCTTCAAAAATAAATGACGATTTACATTTAACTACCAAATTATTAATTTTTTTTAATTCTTGTATTAATCCATTCATTTATGCAAGTACCAATCTGTATTATCGCCGTGAATTTGTGGCTATATTCCACTTAAAATGGCAATTTTGTTGCGCTGATTGCCACAGACAAGGCTCAATATGGAATTTTTCACGAGACTCTCATCATAAATCTGACAACGACGAACTTAAATTATCCATGGACAACATTACTAACAAAGGTAATTCCACAAAATCAATAAAGCCCAATCTATTTCTGGTCGAAGAAGCCAAAACGTCATAAACTTTAATATCTAATTTTAGTATCAATCTCTGATTAACATTACTACCCGAAGTAGTAAAATTGAAGTATGCCCAGAATTGGCGCATTATAAAATCGTCCTGCCATCAGATATTTAGCAAAGTGCCGATCACTCGATTAATTAATAGCGGCAGAAAATTAATTATAGCTTAATCGCCTATCTTTCCTTCTGTTAAAATGCTACTACAATACCATGATACTTCTAGAGGGATGTTATTGGCTATAAATTGAGACACTAGAAAAAACTTTTCATGTAGTAAATTTATAATATTATTACTTCAATAAATTTCTCGGTATAATCACAACAGTTAGTTAGTTCCTTCTCTTTAGTATGCCATTACTTCACTATTTTAAAATACCCATGTAACATATATAATGATAAAACATCATTTTATGCGAAATTCTAAATATTATAGAAATTACCGAAATAGACTGTATGATTATGGTCTCCACATGGAACAGATCATTTATGCCTTTTTCACTAATTGGAATTTTCGTTATTTTAAAATCTACACCTGTACAATAATAAAGCAGCAGAATACTGAATAAAATAATGTCATGGACAAGTATTCTATATTTAGGAATAGAACCTAAAAGTTTAGATTAGCTTTACTGTTTCATCATTTGTTATTAGCTCTCTTCAGTTTCAAATAGTTCATGAATTACTATTTTCAGCCATATTACCTTGCTTATAAGCGCCAATATGATAAATCTGATTCCGACATCAAATTATGACTGTAAAAATTGGGATATTTGGACTCTCTATTGCAAATTTTTTTAAGATTGATATCTATATCATTTATATATATATAATTCTGATGCTTTATTTATTAACAATAACATTCTTATACTAATACCATTTTATATTATGCGTTTGAATATTCAGTCAAAACATATACGCGCATTTCAGTTAGATCGTACATAGAACACTAGAGCATTCTTTATAATATAAAATTGCCGTTTTTGCAATATTTAAGTAGAAGATAACAGCCTAAATGATACAAAGATTTGCTTCTAAGAATCAAATCAATAAATCGCTGTCTTGCTTCTAGCCTAGCTTTTGTTGGGTGATCGAAGTTTCCTATAAGGATAGAGAAGAATATGGAGACTTTCGAATTTAATTTAATCTACATAATTTTATCCGATATTATTATAGTTTCTATGACATACTATAGCATAAATTATAAGTACAATTTAAAGAAGATTAATAAAGTAGAGTCGAATAATATCATCTCAATACTGTGTACCTAATTGCTATCATCTAGTGGAATTGACTTCTTAATTTAATCGAAAGTTATCCACTACCATTAACTACCGCATATTTTAGTTTTTAATACCTTTAAAATTTTTAGCTTGCTTATATACAGTATGTGTTAAAGCTTGCGAGTGAAATTCATCAGCTACGATATATTTTAATTCTTATTAATGTCTTTAAAATTTTTAGCTTGCTTACATGTGTGTAGAAGCTTGCAAGTGAAATTCTTTCGCTAGCATTATTTCACGCAGCAGTTTTTTAGCATCGTCACTTGGGTAGGTAGATATTATTTCATTCTAAATGGAATTAAAAAGTTAAAGAAGTCAAATTTTTTATGCATCGAGCATACTTTATTCTTCTATTTGAGTTTGCATTTAATTGCATCAGTTGCAGATATCGTGCAAAATTATAAAAATTAGCATGTGACGGAAAATCAAAAGATGGCAATAATATCTTTCTGAATTATTTTATAATGCACGGAAAACAGTTTTCCATCTTTGTAATTTTGGCGTATACCCAATGTCGAATAGGAGACAGTATCCTACTTCGTTAGTGAGAATTTTATGTTTAATTAGAAGCTCTAAAAGTTCATTACTTATTCATTCACAATTATTGTTTTAGTTATTTGCCAATCACTCGGTTTTTATCGTAAATTTGTTATTCTTCAATATTTTAAGTATTGCTATTGTTACGCGCAAAGCGGTATTTTTACTGGTATTATTATGGTAAATTGCTATTGATTCATATTTATGAAGCAGCCTTTCTGTGTGTTGCCAGCATTATTCTGTGAAACTACCAGCTGTTACATCTGTTATACGTGATGTTGTGATAGATATTACATACCTCATTGATGTTGTAATTATTATCCGCAAGCTGATTAACAATTTCTAAGTTGTTCTTCATATTAGGATTATATTCATGATACCTAATTTGGAATGGATTACATTTAAGGTTTATATGTAATCTGGTAGTTAGAGATTAAAATATATTCATAAAATATCCTCTAATTACCGTCACTAAACCATGTCCCATATTTAACTAGCTATCTACGGCTATTAGAATATTTAAACTCTACCATAAAATGCTCTTGTTTAGAAGTGTACAGTAAGATAGAACGTAGGGTAGCTAGAGATTATACAAATTTTATACGACAGTTGTATGAGATAATTGTACCGCCAAGATTTTAAGTTCTTTAACAAATTATTAGAATATCTAAAAACTATCATAAGCTGGTCCTGCTTGGAGGTGTTTAGTATAAAAATGTACGGTAGGCTAGAAATTATACAAATTTTGTACAAGATAGTTACATGAGATAATTACACTTCCAAATTTTTGAATTTTTGAATAAAAATAGCCGCAACTAGCTTATTTTACGCTTTGTAACCACATATAAAATCAGGATAAAATTAAATAACATAGCATGGCACACCAGTATGGGTCTACTGAAACGCCCGTTGTTACATAGAATAAAGAATAAGATTTAAGACAGAATGCTTACCTTCCATTATTTTGATGAGCTAATTGCCGTAAGAACTCAGTTGCAGATCTTAAGAGAATAAATTTTTATAGAAGTAAATCTTTACGAGATAAAAAAACAAAGCATCTAGAATACATTAGTTATAACAAATGAATGCGTAGTGATTATATACTGCATTATGCTAGTTAATTGTTAACTGTCAATCAGATCTATAGCTTGAAATAAAATTAGTAAAGTTTATTAAACTTTTTCTATAACTTCTGCAATGAAATATTTGTAATATATAAGCGATAATTCGTACTGGTATTTCACTATCTATATATATTCCTTTCTTCAGGGTGAATAAAAAAACGTACAATATACGATGCTAAGAGTGTTATTTGTCTTATTTGGATATTGTTAATGAATATGATGATAAATAAATCCTAGTCATTATACCGACAGTTTGGACTATGTTTAGAATATACGAGTAATAGTTGGATTAAAATGAGCTGTGTCATGCGATAATTTTATTATTAAATATTTTACGCAATATAAAGTTATTAAAAAACATATACAGTACAAGCATTTTGGCATTAGGCTTTATGAGATAAAGAGTATAAGCAAAAGTACAGTATATGGCTATAATTAGTGTCATGAAGTTTTTGGTAGAGCTTGGTGTGACTTTTTCGTTTGAAATAAAATACTACTATAGTAGCTCTTGTGCTAGTTTGTGATAGTGCTAATATTGAAATATCTTAGGAGGTAGATTCTGTATCTAAATCATCAACATCATCGCAGTTTCATAAAGTATCTATGGAATTTGCACGTATGTCACAAACACTGTTTATAAAATTTTCTGACCTTTTTTCACAACAGTATGCGATCGTATGAATCGCGACAGGCTTTTGGCTTCTCCACTCCTTCACTTTACGTAGGATCATATTTGAAGGCTTATCCTGTTATTTAATACCGACAAGAACATAATATAAAGTGAAAATTTAAGCCAGAGTCATAGTTTTAACGATATACATGCATCTAGATTAATAACATGAACAAATGTGTTATTCAGCTAAATTACTTATGATGGAAGTAAAGATGACTTGGTTAGCAAATTTGATTGATATACAGATTTATAATGTCACAACCGATAGATCACGATTACACCACACAACGGCTTCACAATCTATCATCGTCAGCTAGTGCTTTAACATTTGCATACCAAATATCTTAAAGTACTGGTTACGTACAAGTATTCTGAAGATTGCGAACATGAAAATATTAAAATACCCTCTTTAATTAAATTACAGCCACGATACAACATGATATAAATTACTTACAGTCATGCCATCGCTTATTATATATATAGCTTCTATTTGATCTTGTTTAAACGTATACTGAAAGAACAAATGATTTCAATGTCAGATTTACTAACTTTATTTGAGATTCAAGATTGAGGGTAGTACAATAACGAAGGTATCCTCTAACCTCTAAGGCGTCCAATATATTTGTATTACCGATAGCGTTCAATTTTGAGATCCAATTACAAGCATTCATACATGTGTTATCGTCAGCCGTGGTTATTCTAGATTTCCAAGAATTGATCTCGTTCGAAAACTGGACGATATTAAAGCTAGTATCGAAATAGATATAAAATTATTAGAAAAATACTTCATCGTTGAGGCAGGAAGCTTCTACTTAATTACAGTAGTCAGTAGCGTTATATAGCAGATATACAGTATCATCTTGAGTTGTTGAAGTAGCTGACTGACGCGAGACGCCTAAATTAACGACTGAAAGATCGTGAATCGTTTTCATACCATTTTCGATGCATCATTTGTTCCCAGATTAGCATCATTAATGCCTGCTTTAGCTGCTTAAAATACGATTCCATCGATCCAGAAGCATCAAGTAGAATGGTCATCTACGTGTATAGAAAGCGGTAATTATTGTCATTCTCAACGAATCTAATTTTTATAGCTATCCTGAAGTATTAGTTGACTTTAGTAAATAAATTTATACTATTATTTTAATCATATTGTAGCTTTATTACGAATTTAAATTATAGCTATTAAATAAATCTTAAAAATTACATAATCATCTGCTATAGAATTAACTCAGCCTATTTTTAGGCATTTTATAATCTTACATTTTTTTCCATAATGACTCCAAAAACCCTACGACTACCTTGAATACATAATATTAAATTATAAAATGAGAACATTATCGGCAATATTATAAGTCTTAAAGCTCGTCATTAACACAATCAAGCATACCAATTTTTATAGCATCATTAAGCAATAGCGAGTAGTCAAATAGTACATAATTACCTGTAAGTAGCCAATTTAGTCTGGTAAGGTATCGCTTAAATACCTTTGCGATTATTGCTTGATAATTCTTTAGTTCCACTAATGTAAGAGAAACAGTACATTGATCCTATGGTAAAGGACAGAAATATAAGTTGCGTTACTTTTCTCGGGTTCAGGTCCAGAAGTCCATGAATTATATAGCACTCGATCAATTGGTGATAAATTGTCAGCAAACCTGGCTAACTTTAGCGGCATTCGATGATTTTGTTTTCCTTAATAATATATTAAATTTATCAAAATTACTATAATAAACTACGTATAAATGCTAGCTCGTAGTACAACATGCTGTCTACACTACAGTATCAAGGTCTTCTATTATAAGAGTTTATCCTATGTTTAAATGATACACACCTTTTAATAACCCATTTATCGAAATCGAGATACAATTTTGACAAACTGTATTTCTTTAACCACTAAGATATAAAAGTTTAATCATCAAAGAAAGTCTATTTGATAAATTCTTTAACAGTTTTGATTAATGGCGTTGACTGGTCGATATAACGCTATAGAAATTGAGATATCCTCCGGATAAAAGCGTATTTCTCGTATTTCAGTAGCTCATTATGCATTATTAATAAAATCTCTGCAGTAACTTGAATATTTTTAATTTAGTAAAGTTGCTTAGTCTATATATATTGTTAGCAAGATTGAGATATATTTTGGATTAAGCTGCATTTCTTCTGTCACTTATTGAGAATTGGTAAATAAAATCTATGTAGCCACTCTTAACATTTTTAACTTAATATAGAGATATAAAAACTCTTTTTATAATATTTGAACTATAATCAACATTAAGATATATCTAGATATACTGTATTTCTTCAGTCAATCGATACGAATCATTAATTAAATCTGTTCAATCGATTTAAACACTTTTAATTTAATACAGATTTGTCTAATTTTTATTATCGAAGTTGAGATGTGATGCGGATAAAATGTATTTTCTCTTGCTCGATATGAATTATGAAATTTTCTTAGCTGAGACTTTTAACATTTTTAATAGAATAACGCCAGCAAAATCAAGTAAACAAGCATTAAAGTGTAAATTACCTCTTTTGAGCTTAATGATTCTTCTTCATTGGGTATATTACAAGCGAAATTTTTTCCTTCTTTATGTGTATCTGGATACTTAACATAGACATAGCCTAACAAGAGGTAATAAATACCAATAGCAAAGCGGAAGTTATTTCTGAATCTGTATATATCAAATTTAACCAATACTTGATGTTATAGCTGTATTACAACAGGCAATACTATTGTATCTACGAGCATTCAGCAAATAGATCATACAGTTAGCCATAATGCTAACATATTACATATTCGGTCTATCTATCAAAGAAACGTTAAAGAGTAATAGAGCGTAATTTACCGATATCTTTTTTATCTTTCTGGCTCCCAATATAAAAGGGCTGCAACTGAGCCTTTTTAGTTTTTTTACCGGAAAACCATTCAGCTACAAAGCAGTTTAGAGATTAAAGATAAAATATTAACCAAGATATGATCATCATATTCGTATATCTTTTACGTGCATTAAACAGATTCCTAATAACTGTTTAATAGATTTCTTATAGAAGATTTCGTATAAATGATTGAATATCATTGTATTATTGAAAACCATTTATGGTCATTTTAGTATTAATCAATAACGACTATCAGTAATCAAATTTAGGCTTACGATAATTCTGGTATGCAGGGTCCGATGGACCAGATGGCTTCCATGGCTTTACTTTAGCCGTTTGATTCTGACGTTTTGCTTTGCTGGATGTATTCTTACTAGTAGATGGAGTTTTACTTGACTAGAATCATGTATTATAAAATCATATCAGAAACATTAATAAGAAATTGAAATGAATTTTAAGATAGGAGGGGACTAATAGTAGAAATTTCACAACTTTTACCGATATTTTAGAAGGCGCACTTTTTATTCGTTTAGGTAAGGTGTTTGTCTTTGATTTTTCATTGACTTCAGTATAATTTATTGCTGAACTTCGAAAACCAGCCTTTAATAGGACCAAAGATTTATTATGGTTCAAAATATAGAAAAATCTAAAATTAAATTCTATATATAAATCGGCTACTATCTAGCTAGAGTCATTTACTCTTTTGGTATTCACTTTATCCATAGTGTATTGTAATAGATATTCGGCCTAAAAAATAAATATGTATAAAGTGAAAACAACCAATAAAAGCAACTTGCTTTCATGAAAAGATGACTGGCTACAAACATTATTGCCACAAATTGAATATACTTTCTTCTATCGATAATGAAGCAATCACTGATACTAGATCTAATAGCAATTTACTTTCATGAAAAAGATACCTTTTCGCAAAAATCATTGGTCTGTTCTATTTCTTTTCTAATTATTTCCACATCATCTCCTTCCACGACATCTAGGAAAATTTGTAGAGCAATTTAAGATTATAAAATATCATTCTACGAAATCAAAATTAAAATCGCACTTTATGACAAGGGTTTTGCGTATCTTTACTATTTCACTTACCTTGATCTCTCCTATAGACATGAAATCTGCCTGTTGTAGCATGGGCTAAATTGCATAAAACTTTATCTGCCATAGAAATTTTACTGATATTGCCGATAATCGATTCTGTCTCCTGGCTAATATCATAATAGATGCAATGTAGCGGTAACGTTTGAAATAGTAAACGTTGCTGAAGGTATGACATAACTAATTCCTAACAGAGGTAAAGAATATGATAGTTCAATAAGCCTGCTGTTTAAGAATAAATCTGTTAAATTGCCTTCAGAAGTATTGATAGCAATAGCGTGATATTTTTGGATACAGTTTTAACCTCTTCAAGAATAAGAAGAGAAGTTGATAGAAAATTTTATACTCACAATCGGTTGATCTGGCTTGGAACAAGCTATTAAGTACATGCCAGAAGTATCTATGGGAAATTTGAATTTATGTTTGTTATTTATTTCTACAAGTTTAGCTTACAAGTGGTTGTTAAGTCATAATTGATTCAACAAGATCTACTCTAACAGGTCTTCTTGTACTAATTATTGATTAAGCATTGGTCTTAACAACTATTCAAGTTAAAAATATTGGTCATGGCAGTGATAGACTGTGCACATTTATGGCGTAATATCTGTAATTTTGACATCCCTATTCTTAATGATTCTCTTTAGCGGTCCTTATTGAAGTTTTTATTAACTAAATACATTTTATTTATTATCTATACCTAATAAATGCAATTCTATTGTAAACTTTAAACCCTCCAATAGATTCAGGCGTCCATGACATTCTTGAGTTGTTATCCACCTTAGAAGTAGATTAGTATGATTATCAACCTTATTGGCTAAAACTCCTTTGCTAACTGAAAATAAGTAAGTACCTATAACACTCTTGCAAGCTTTTTTTTGATGTTTCGACCATTTTCGTTGTCCAAGCACGAACTTTGCTGCCAATACTATTCATGAGCACATATAAAAATAGTCAATGGCGAATACCAACAACGATTTGACTATAACGTTCATTAGACCAACTATTTACCAGATAACGTTAAAGGCATGTGTATGGATTAATTGTTCTTCAAAGAGTAACTTTAAATCTTTCTTTAATCGATTGAATGATTTAGCCATTTCAGTGGATGTTTCAATAAATATAGTGACTCTATTCAATAGGATTTAGTCATTAAGAATCAGCAAATAATCATCAAGGCAAAGATCCTATAAAAATTCATCTTGATTTTTCCAGAACCTTTTTTCAGCTATAACACCCAGAGTTTTTCTGCTGCCAGATCTCAACCATAGTTCTCTCAATTTGAACAGGTCTGCTGCCTTCTGTAAACTTGCCTATATATTCATGTGAAATATCGCTCTATAATTTCGTGTTAGAGTGATAGGTCTATCGAAGACTTTCTTACTGTATAGTCTGTAAATGTTGCAGGATCAATATGAACACGCCTTTCGGATCCATCTGGCCATTGAAATTTAATCATAGACTACAGATATGCGGTGGAAGGTAAAAGTCCAAATGTGAAGAAGTAATAATGAGAATTAAGTAGCATAAACGTTCAAGAAATTGAACTTACATCATAAACATGAGCTCTAATTTCCTTCTTAAGGATAGGAACGTATGTTACAGTAGGTTGAAATGAATTTGGTTCAAGAAGTTGATAAATTGATAGTTTTTGAGCTGAGAAAGCAACAATATCATAAAAGTTAGACTTCCTATAACGGAATATTACAAATCATTGCAAATATGGAAGAGAATATCAGCCATTTTATGAATTATCGTAACACAGTAAGTGTAAGAAGAATTATAAATTCAATTTAATATCAGTACAATTACTAAATTAACAATTATTAAATTAGCCATGATAGACATAAAAATTGGCCATCCATGTGTGATTTAGCACACATAATTACTCGAAATGAATATCGCTGGCATTTACCTCTTAGGCCATTCTCTTTTAGCCATTCCCTACTGCTCTTCGTATTTGTTGAACTGTTCGAATTAAAGCTAAGCGCATCACTAGCAATAAGATTAAGATTCAGAACTTAGAGAGTTACATAAATGTTTTAGGCTTTAAGTACGAGTTATAAATCAGAAAAAATTTCAAATCATACGCGGTAGAATCGCTTGTCGCGGCTACAAGAGTTGATAACTGATCGTACATTGACATACAATAAACAACAAATTAAAATCGTTAGTACAATAATCTGTTAGGATGTTGTTACTACATTGAAGGGGTATACTCTAACGTAATTTCTGAAATTTTATAAATGCAATTAATCACTTATCTACTAAAGTAAAAATTTATATTTCTTCAGAATAAAGTAGGTCTGCGTTAATAAACCTTGTTAATATTCTCCTCCAAAGCATCACTTAATAGACCGGCTTGCATAGACTTCATGCTCATCATTACCTCTACACCTCTAGATATTAACACAAAACAGAGCAAGATTAAATTACCACAGTAACAAGATAATTTGCTGGAGTTGCCCTTATATCAAATAAAATACTATTTCAAAAGTGAAGATTAAATTACCTATCTAATTCCTGTTTAAGTAAAGCAATATCTGTACTGACAAATATTTCCTCTTCATGCCTTGACGAATAGCAATGATAGCGACCTTTTGAAACTTCTGCTATTTGTTGCAACATGTCCTATTTGTATTTATTTCATATAGCATTATTTCTTGATTTGTAGTCGTATTATAATCTTACTGATCAATATATATGTATGTTTTCATAAACTATATAGGAGGCAACGTACACAGCATTCATCCTGTATACAATCGAAAGCAACAACATGTAGAGGCAGCTCAAGGCCAACTACGGCTTGCGATATATAATCGGAAACGCGTTCAAGAGGTTGATCAGGGCTTTTGTGAGAGGATAACGTTCGTACATTTTAAAAAGTTTCGTAGCAAAATGGATTCATGACTTAAACATTACTAATTTATCCTTAGGTACGGATGAATATTAACACTATAATTATGACACTGTATCATTCTTCTAACCTTCCACCTAAGATTATGATGATTGAATCAAATTGTTTCCTTTTCTTTAGAACTAATTTCAAAGCTCCGATTAGATTACAACCTCCCAGAGGTTGCAGCTGTTTTACGAATTGTCGAGTATCATCTAAGCTAAAATTGTACAGTTGTTACATACTCGTATTTAAATAAATTTGAAAATCCAAGATTGAATTGAATACACATCAGAGTATATTACACGATTATATAGATCTTATATAGTATAAGTCGTATAACGACTACATAAGCCACAACATGTGCTGTATGCAAGAATGAGAGTTTTAGTACCTCCTATGATTTACGCTGCGTATATTTCTAAATTGCGGTCTTGGATATGTTCCGAATGGCATGATATAAAATCCTTCTCTCGATGTTAACTGTTCATCAATTAATTTCTAATGATAATGGAATATGGTGAGAAGTTAGGTCTAGTCAAGAATTTATTGCAGGAACTCGCATAAACGAATTTAAGCGTACCAGCAGAGAGTCCTGTAGGGTAACTAATCGACCACAGCTACAATTATTGTCAGACATATCTATCAAGATAGCTATATTTTGACCATGAACTAGACCAAATAGCTATTTAGAATGTGTTCAATTTAGAAAGTGTAGCTCTAGATAGCAGAAATTAATTCTAAGAAACGAATGGTTAAATAAAATGAGACCTATCATCACCTTTCTACTCCCTGTTAATAACCATTCTGTTCGCCTATGATAATTGCCAATACATCTAAGTAAAATTTTAGATTATTAATTTACATTTACCAGACTGTTTAACATATTTAATTCGTATTAATTCTGTGGCTAACTCCATCAATTTCGTTCCAAAGCCCAACAATTTCTTGTGGTCACTGGTTCCAGTTTCAGAGAGGTCTCCTTCTGTCTTATACCTTAGTTTATACAGATACAGACTTGTCAATGCAAACATTGAATAATTCTTAAAGCCATTATAGTACGCAATATTTTCGTTAACTCAATCAATATAAGTGCAACCTCTCTTTTTCACGAGCAAAATCGGCTAAAGTTAGTTTTTGCGCTTCCAGCCCATATACCTTCAGCCAATCATCAGTTATTTTATGGACGTGATTTTCGTAAATTTTTCGCTCACCTGTATTATCACGTACAGCCTAATTTATCGTTAATAGAGAAATTTATCATCATTCATCTATTTTTAGTCAATAACATTGTTAACATTTCCATTTCGACAGCTATAATTACAGCATAACAACATTTAGACCCGTAACTATAAGTTCAACTGACCCATTGATCATAATGTTGCTTAACGGAGGTTATCTGCGAGTATTCCATGACTAATTATCCGGTTTAATTATCTGAAATAGAATAGAAGCTTGCTCATGAAACCAGAATTCTAAAACAGTAAGCAAACATTTTCGTAATGATGATTGTAACGTCATGTACTACACCAACGTGTTCTGTTTTATAGATGAAGAATAAAGTTGATATGAAAGATAACCAAAATGTTATTTTGGATTAAATTACAAGTTGATAAATCTAGCATGGTTGCAGAGAACATCGTAGATTCCATTGATTTAATTAGGGCAATTAAACGATATACTAATGCTAGAGCTAGGCTGACTTGAATCTTATTGTGTAGTACAGTATTAGTAGATAATAGTTCAGTTTTAGTTATCGATAATTTGTGACGCAGCATCGATGAAAATGAATTACGTATTTAATATAGTAAAGTCTAAAGTCAATTTCTCCAGATAAAATACTCGTATATAAATTGAATAAAATGACTGTTGCTTACTAAAAATGGAATCAGTTGCGATAATAAGAAGACCTACCTACTTATGAGCACTATCTTGTAAAGTAATTACCTAGTGAGTTTTCCATATCATGATGATCAGTACAAATGTTAAAATAATTCAATGGACCTTGAAAAATTGCTGTAATCCTTTTCCGGCATACGAGTACGTACACAAGTAATGCCTATAAATTCCTGATCGATAGTTTAGTCGATTTACTTGTACAATTACCGCTGTCAATCTTGACTACAAGTTTTATTCCTTTATAAACTTTGCTATGATAAAGATTGCTTCTCAATGCTAACTTGAATAAGGTCAGTAAGTGGTCAGTTATCCAATTGGTGAGTATTCTTACATTAGCGTAATGATTGTGTTGTCATTTAGGCTATTCGTGTAGAATCCTACGAATGCTCAGTAGTGCTTATGAGTATAGCATAAGCACATTCACAGTACTTTGCCGTACTACCTATTCTACTGGGACAATCTATACGGTATGTAAATCTTGCATAGGTCAACTACAGTACAATATTCTTTTATACCTACTTTGTGCAACTCTTTCTATTTATATTGATCATGCCAATTCGTCCTCTGTTTTCAATATGTGGCTGCTTTTATATAGACACATGTCACGTATTCTAGTACTGCTGGAAACTGTAGCTTGCGTTGCCAACCCACGGTGCATTCATTAGCCGTAGTAAAGTGCACAAAACGTCGATAGAGATTGGTCATAGATGAAATACAAGCAATGCAAATTCCTCTACACTAAGCTCTCCATTTACAGCGGCAAATGTGGAAGAATGTTGCCATGGTTACGAAAGGAAATGTTGATGAGTAAACGAACGCCTCTGATTCTGCGCATACTGCACGGCCATGATTGGAGTAAGCAAATTCATTCTGTCCAACCTGCATATCACACTATCATTTTCAGTCAAAGTTCTGTACAGCGAACAGTGGTCACAGTAGGAGTACTGCATCAATTCAATTTTTAGAGTGTCTGGTTGAAAATAGCTCTCCAGTACTCTGGCGCCATTTCCAGTCAAAGTTCTGCACTCTGGCACTCTCGAGAGCAGGATTATAAGCCAGATATCGCGTTGCAGTTTTAGTCCAAGTTCTATCACCTAAAGTGGATAACTAGCGAGGAAAGAAGTTGGAATAGCTACTGCAGCAGCACAGCCTAGCAATAATAGTTATAATTATTACCCGCATTGGTTATAGATTACGTAGTATATGCAGTCTGTATGGACGTCCTTGTATTTTTTTACTTTACCTCATGTATCCTGCAGCATTCTGGAGTTATTTACAGCCAAAGTTACTCGTAAGAACAGGATTATAAGCCAGATATCGCGTTGCAGTTTTAGTCCAAGTTTTATCACCTAAAGTGGACAACTAGCGAGGAAAGAAGTTGGAATAGCTACTGCAGCAGCACAGCCTAGCAATAATAATTATAATTATTACCCGCATTGGTTATATATTGCGTAGTATATACAGTCTGTATGGACGTCCTTGTATTTTTTTACTTTACCTCATGTATCCTGCAGCATTCTAGAGTTATTTACAGTCAAAGTTACTCGTAAGAACAGGATTATAAGCCGGTATCGCGTTGCAGTTTTAGTCCAAGTTCTATCACCTAAAGTGGACGACTGGCGAGGAAAGAAGTTGGAATAGCTACTACAGTAGCACAGCCTAGCAATAATAATTATAATTACTACCCACATTGGTTATATATATTGCGTAGTATATGCAGTCTGTATGTATGTACTTCCTTGTATTTTTTTACTTTACCTCATGTATCCTGCAGCATTCTGGTGTTATTTACAGTCAAAGTTACTCGTAAGAGCAGGATTATAGGCCAGTAACGCGTTGCAGTTTTAGACTAAGTTCTATCACCTAAAGTGGACTACTAGCGAGGAAAGAAGTTGGAATAGCTACTACAGCAGCACAGCCTAGCGATAATAATTAATTATAATTACTAGTAGAACCTACGTTGGTTATATATTGCGTAGTATATGCAGTCTGTATGTACGTACTTGTATTTTTTACTTTACCTCAGGTATCCTGCAGCATTCTGGTGTTATTTATAGTCAAAGTTCGGTACACAGGCACTCGTAAGGGCAGGATAATGCTCTAGTACCGAGGAACTTCGGCTGAAATCAGTTCTTCAGCCCAGCAGTACCCCCCCCCCCTATCGCGATGCACTTTTAGTCAAAGTTCTATCACCTAAGGTGAATAACTAGCAAGGATAGAAATTAAAATGACCACTTGGCATTAAATGTAATAATAATAATTACTAGTAGTCTGTATGGACGTACTTGCATTTTTTTTTACTTTACCTAATGTGCCTTGCAGCATTCTGGTGCTGTTTCCAGTCCAAGTTCTGTACGCTTTGGCATTCTTAAGAAAAGGATTTTGTGCTAATACTGCAGAAACTTATGGGAAAAATCAGTTCTGCGATCCAATACTTTGCCTATGGTACCCTGCAGCGTTCTGGTGCTATTTCTAGTCAAAGTTCTGTATATTGGCACTCGTAAGAGCAGTGTTGAATTGCTCGACGCCAGGTTTTCAACGCTTGTGTGAACGTACAATATGCGGCAGTCATGACGGAACCTGCGGGGAAAATCATTTCTGCAGTCTAGCATGATTAGCATCCCTTTTTCGCGATACACTTTTAGTCAAAGTTCTATCATCTAAAGTGAACAACGAGCGAAGAAAGAAGTTGGAAAGACTACTACAGCAGCATAGTTTGACAATAATAATAGCCCTGTGTATATCATACTGCCATCATTTTTTGTAGTTACTGGGAGCTGGGCGATGCATTCGTCAGTAAGTGAACCTTGAAAGTGCCATTTTCAATCAAAGTTATACGCTGTTGCATTTCCAGTCGTCCCTGTTCGAGTAATATCTACCTCCTCTGGTCATTCTGCTGGTATAAAGTACATGAAGTTAACGAGCTAGAACTACACCGATGGAATCGACGCTAGGTCGACTTATTTCAGTACCTCGCAGATCATTCTATTTGGGCCATTTTTGCACTCTACTCTCAGTTGGGGGCAGATGCCATGACTCCATCAATCAATCATATAGTATGATGGAAGAAGCTCGACGGCGCCAGTGAGTACTAGGGTCTCATAGGAGTACAACACTCGACACTTTTTTTTACACTCCAGTCATTACTTATTGACTCATCGCTGGAAGTTCCTAGCCTTCATATTGGTAGTTAGCGCATTGGTGTAGTGGAGCGCTGTTCCGGGTTTTTTTATGCAGCAAGCAGCGTAGGATAGTAGAAGAGGATAGTAAAGACTCGTCGATCATATGCTAGTCACGAAACTACTATTGTTCCCCTCACCTTGCAGTTCATCGTGAGAACTACATTGATACAGTAGACATCGCTAGCTGTTCATGAGTTTCGATTTTGTGTTTAAAGCTGAGAATTTGAAGGCATCCAAGCAATCGCTTCCTTATCGACTGACTCAGATCGTAAACATCCTCAATCCATCAGACATACGCGTACACTTGTACGTAAATGGATTAGCGGTAGATGAAACGATACTGTTCCATGGTGAGACTTGACATATGATTTTAAGCTTCTTGTAAATATAATGAATCGCTTTCTATGTTGAATATAGCTAGCTAGGCTATTAACCTTCACAAGCACTAAGGATGCGCGTAACTCATAAGCCTTTTAAAGGAAATACCGTCGTTTTTTTTAAATTTACGTTTCAACGAGTCGATGCTCGAGGATGATATCGAATGTAAAGTCTAATCGGATACCGTAAACTGGATAGAGTAGAAACAGTTACTGCTATTCAATATTCAGAACTGAACTTTCAGTCGATTATCCCGTTTGAGTAAGAGTGTTATAGCATCGGCCGGGTAGGATAGGACTCATGGGGTTAGCCAACGAACATGGCATCCTGATAAGTAGCAGGCAAATAGTCACAGGCGCAAACAAAATATGATGTTATATAATATTTTCACATTGAAATCATGACTATAAGAAATATGTACGGTATATCAGTATTGGCCACGGGTATTACTCTCAAACTACATGCGTCCAAGCCGTTCACAAAAATGAAATTAAAGTTGAAACAGTAAGATACAAGAACGTACAGATTCCATTTCTATAATCAAGTACATTAGCAAGCTTTCAGCGAATACAGCGTAATGCTGTGAACGCCTATGATGATTGCTAGCAATATTGTAAAGGTATTTAAGCTTTGTATTACGGAGATGTAGCAGTATATCTTTATCGCCACAATAAAACTCTAAACTTCCAGCTTATGCTTCTGTAAATATTAACTGATATTAAAGGATACACTCTCATCGTCGCTTGTGCCGTACATAAGGATTACAAGCATATGCAAGCCTGGTAATGATATAAATGTCAGTGCTCCACGCATAAAGTAGCCTTATACTCATTGAAACGATCAAATGGCTAAACTACTTAGAAGAATCCCTTCGAATTTCTCCTCCACTTTTTCGTTCAGATTTTACAGCATTATAATGCTCAAAATCTGTACCCTAACATTATTTGTGCCATAT